CTCTGTCACATAGCCGCACTATACTAAGAGCAAACAATTTTTATCACCACATTCTCAAAAGAAATTATAAAAGAAAGGAGGAGATGCGAAGTAGCGTGAAATGGAATAGGAGGAGTGGGCGTTAGAAGTGAGCTTCGGAGAGACAGGGCAGGTACCTTCCAGGGTTCAAGGCCTGAAAGCACCTGGGGCCACGTGGACTACGACCTGGCAGGTTCAAGGCCCATCCCCTCATTGACGCTCTCTCAAACTTCCGAAGATGTCAATGGGACCAACCCCCATTAAACAATAACGGATGAACGATTCATTCCATGTTATATTAAGACATACTGAAGTAGATTAATTAGATTAGTTGCATCAATGACTTGGTCGTTTTACCCCTATTGAACAATTTACATTTCGAACTCCCAAACATGAAATTTTAAGTCGACCCCCATGAAAGAATAGAATTAACTAAGTAGGTGACACGAGTCATAAACCCATCCTAGAATTATTTCCTTTTAGTCCAATCCAGTGAAATCATTTACCGATATATTTACAAATTTAATTTGTGCAAGGCCGATTAGGATATGAACTCGAAGAATGAAGAACTACGAGCCAAATACGACGGTCCAAATATTCATCCTGGCTTCTATACCATTTTCTAAGATCTTCCAGCACAAAGCTTATGTATTGAAATGAAAGTATTGTCCTTACTACATGTAACTACTACAATTTTAATATTAGTACATGGATATATAAGTATTTCAACTTAACCCATATCTATACATCGCGCGCATCAACATATAATGTAGACACTCGTTCCGCTCGGATTGCGGACGTTCAGTTGCCAACCCTGTGTCGAAATATTTCTGACCCCAACTCCACCCCCGGTGCTGTAATGAATTCTAGAGGGTGCCTGGGCCCCTCTGTATTCACCCCCGGTTTCTTCCCACCCCGCGAACCTCACCACTACCACACCTACTACACTCCTCATACACACACACACACACACACACACACACACACACTCTCTCTCTCTCTCTCTCTCTCTCTCTCTCTCGCTCGCTCGCTCACACCACCCACCCATACATACACACACACACGCACACACACATACTCACTCACTTACTCACTCTCTCTCTCTCTCTCTCTCTGTCTACATCTCTCTGTCCCCCTTTCATTGATTATAACATTGGTATTGATCTGCATACTAGGGAGTTACGTCGTTAGCGTACAATCGTTTATTAGGACCACGATTATTATTTAATCACCATCATCCTTATGACAAAGATCATCAGTTTTTCACCTAATGGATGTAACGTAGTAAAAAATGAAAGTAGATGGAGAACGGCTATGAGGAATACGAAAGATTTTAGCAATTCGAAACTACATCACACCTAAAATCTAAAAAATTAAGTATATCCATATTTCTGACAATTATTACCCTACTTACTAACAATATTGTGATCATTTCAAATATATACAAGAAATATATTACATTAAAACTGGGCAGTCGTGTTTTTGTTTTTAATACTATCTGTAGTAAAACATACAAAAATCTATTCTGGTGGTTGTAATAGGCTTTGTCCGAGGCTTAGGTTAATTAATGAATCGAGAACGAATGATTACTTATGATTACACCGGACAATCATTATGATGCTACGAGTACATTCGATCCGTTAGTTCCATCGCCAGGCAAAACAACGTTCCACTAGTGACATGTGGGCGTAATGCATCTATACAAGTTGACTGGACATGGCGAAACAATGCATCAGCAATAACCATTTTCTTCCTTGGTCCAGTCAAGTTCGAGTATCGACCTTGACGGCTTCTCGGCAGCAGGTAGGATAGATATATATTTAAAGTAACTCCAGATTGTCTACCGCCGGGGAGGTGGGACGGGAATGAGCACAAGAGAGGCAGAGAGGGATAAAACGACAAAGAGAGAGGAGAGCTCGTGTAGCTCTTTCTTTTTTACCCCTAATAATTACAGGGTAACCATGGAAACGGGGCGCCCTCTCACCGATCGGTAATGTACAGTCGGGGCCTGCAAACATGGAAACCCTCCTTCCCTCCCCCTTTCCTCACCAACGTCGAGCCACGTATAAAGCCGCAAAATTTCAATTTAGAAAACAAAACGACAATACGCCAAATTTAATAATAACACTAAATAAAGCCCGAATTAATGCGGGTTTTATATTTCGAAATTTCACTTTTCCGTATTTTCATTTTTCCTATATTCTCGTTATTAAATCTAGGAAGTTAAGGGACACAGAAATCAGCCAAAGAATTAATTGTAATTAGCTGTTACAATTAAACTAATTGTATTTAATACGGGGGTAACTAAAAAAAATTGGTTTATTTCAAATAAATTAATTAATATGCGTACAACTGGAAAGTAAAATTTGTATATTCATATGTACGAACACCAAAAATGACTGAACGAAAAACGTATTTCATCAACCTACACATCGTATAATAAACACACATAAAAGGTTAATTAGAATTTAAATGAAGTAATTATGTGACAATATGGTCAATGGTAATAAGGTCTGCCGGAGTTCGGATTACAGAATAACCAACCATATATTTTGTACATGTACGACAGACTCGGTCAATATACAGGGGTGTCAAGTTAGTATACTGCCACCCCCCGATTTTCTCAAAAACTACTTACTAGATCTACTTTCAAAACATTCAGTAATTACTTTTTCTTTTTTCAATTGATAAAAAAAGTTAAAAAATGAAATTTTGTTAATCAATAATGGTCGCAACCTACGTTTTCTTTTGTGCATTCATCAAGTCAACGAGATTTTATGAAAATGGCGGAAACCATTTGAATATGAACATATTAAATTTAATTTTTAAATTTTTTTTCAAGGAATTGATTGGCAAATTAAAAACCCTACAAATCCAACGATATATCGATATATAAACCGATTTTTTAATGGTATTCGCAATTTGTCATAAAATCAAATTGAATCGATGAATCCGCAAACAAAAATGTGGTTGCAGTATAGAAAACAAAAATTTCATTCTTTAACAATTTAAAGAAATTGAAAAAAAAGAAACACTTATTACTGCAATATTTGAAAGTAGAGCTTATGCTTAAAAATACTGTTTTACTGAGTAGTTTTTGGGAAAACCAGGGGGACACTAGTAATTTGGTGACCTATTACTAGCGTGTATTTTTAAAATACCTAACTGTAAAGGACTATAGAGGCTTATAAATTAGTAAAAAATTAATTTTTGAGCTTACACGCTCACAAGTGCACGCGTGCAAGCTCACCTCTCTCTCTTAATTTTTTTTTTTTTAAATGCACGTATTATTTTTATTTTGCCTTTTTTCATAACATACATTACATAACACAACAAACACACAAAAAGAAATTATTTTCTTTTTAGCACTTTCGTTTATTCCCACATTTGTTTTATATATTCTTATAGACACGTAATTCAATTGTATTACTTATTTTAGCAAACAAGATGGATCTTGTTTGTTTTTTGAATTATAGATAAGAAATAAACGAAAACGAAACGAAATGAACACTTTTCATTCATAAAAGGCCTAATTTTTGTTTTGCCATGCCATTGTTTTATTTATTACAAATTTTCACTAATATTTTTAATTTGTGTTTTTTTATATTTTCCATGTGGTTTTTTATAGGAATTTCCTGCTTTATTTTACATCACGTTTTTTGAGTGTTTAGGGAATTTACAACCAACATCAGCATCTTATTTTTTTATTTGTTAAATAAATTATTTTATTTATTCATTTTTATATTCAAATCATGATTCAATTTTATGAATTCATAATATATTAATTTATTAATGCTATATAATTAATATATATTATAGTGTATATTAATTTGTTACTTATAAAAGTAAGATCCTGATGATGGATGTAGATTCTCGAAACGTATAAAAAATTGAATGCAAAAATAAAGAAGTAAATTCATATTAAAAAAGCCACATGCTAAAGTTAAAAAATGAATAAATAAATATAAAAAAGACAATAAATCTTACAAAATCTATGTTACAAAATAAAAATTATAATTAATATTTTTGTAATTTGATCGTCTTTGATCCTGGTCATAGGTCAGCAGCTTCGACATTCACCAGAGGTGGTTTTGTGACGAAACCGCGTCTGACAGATCAAACAGTCAAAATTAGCGGATATCAAATCACAAAAATAATAATGTATTTATGTGTCATGAGAGAAGCAATATGTTATACTGTGTACACACGAGTAGTACACATAACTAGCCGAAATGAAAACTTGGGGATGGATGGGAAACCACCAATGAAACTTTTAGGAAAGCCTCGGAGATAATTCCATTTTCATCAACACATTCGTCGTGACTACTGTAATTCCGATTTACATAATTAATCATATCTGAATGTGAAGATGTGAATAAACGGCATACAAAACAAATGTAATAATTCATTTTTCTCTAATGGAAGTTCAAAAGTTGGCGGGAGGGATGAAAGTCGTGATTTGAGAATGTTATTCTGGAGAGGGGTGATAGGAGAGGGTGAGAAGACGATAAGAGGAAGTACGGGGAAGTAAAAGAATGATCGGAGAAGCTGCCCGAGGTTTTTACGGCGCCCTACAGATGTCAATAGTGTCCAAAGGGCAACCATTCCCGCGGAAATGTACAAAATCTTCAAAATAGGTAACGCGTTTGTATCAAGTTAACAACGTAACGTACCGCCGATCCCCCGAGGTGTATTTATTTAAAATTGTCTGCAGAACTGTATATTACAAATTTGGTTCCACTTCTTATTGCTTATACTAAAAAACATATTTTCATTTCAAAACATGTACAATAATAAAACAAGTTATTTTTTAAAAAACAAATAAAATAAAATATAAATAAATGAAAAAGTCGCGGCTCGAGGGGCAAGAAGTCCAACTGGTTTATTTACAACACAGTCCGGTCCGATTGAGCTTACAGCGCAAGCATCATCATGCGTCAGTACGTTCGGACGGACGATGGACGAAATAAACTGCAACTTACCCCTGGTCTATCCTGTCGACGGGAGCTTGCATCTGTGGAGGGATGATTCCATGTCCGGGCATAGGTCCTGGCATGGGTCCGTGGGCGAAAGGTGATCCTGGGGGAAGACCGAACTGGTGGGATCCGAAGGGTTGCCCCGGAGATGCGAAATGGGGGTTGCCTCCTCCGGGTGGTCCGAAAGGAGGCCCGGAGGACCCCGGACGCCCGACGAACCCGGCCCCCGAAGGGGATCCGAATGTCGGGCCGTTGTAAGGAGGCGCGACACCCGAAGAATTCGGGGGCGGAGGGAATCCCCCGGGCTGGGGCGGCCCCGGGGTCGAAGAGCCGCTCGGGGCCGGGGAAGCGGTGTACTGTGGGGTGGTAGACCCCGGCGGGGGGTAAGGACCTCCTGAGCCAGCAGGACTACCGCTTCCCGGTCCTTGGAAGGGTGAGGGCCCTTGGTAAGAGTTCGGAGGACCCCCGGAGAAATTGGGAGTCGAATTCGGGAACCCCTGACCATCCCCAGGGGGCCCCTTCCAAGATACCCCTGGGTCTTCCAGTGTGGCCGGTAACGAGATAGGTGGAGCGACTCGACGGCTACAGCCTGTAACAACAAACAATTATCAATTAATTAACTCATTTAATTTTCATGTATGCTTTATATTATTTTAACAACTGTGTTTTTAAAACCATATTTAAATATTCAAATTAAAAACAAAAATGTTATTTACGCAGAGAAAAAAGAAATAAATAATGAGGCAAATTATCACGTCGTTTTACTTTTTACTTTACTTATCAGCAATGTACAATTCCTAAATCACAGATAACAACTATAGAAATATTTATTTGAAGATTTTAAATTGTACTTCATGTATATATTGATTTTAGCCTACTTATTTATTCATATTTCGAAGTACGTGATAGACGATAATGCTGAATTTACAGTGAATAAATCTGCTGAGTGATAGGACATGTAGAACAAAAAAATCGACAACGCATTAATGTTGTTCACGTGTAGGAGAACTGTAGCCCCCAGAGACCCGGTGGTGATGAGCGTGACGCTATTTCTGCTAGCGGTGAACGGAATCGCTGACGGCTTCCCCCCACAGATAAAGAGAATGCTCTTTGTCGACGACCTTTGCTTCTATCTGGTAAAAATATAAGAAAGGTCGGTGGTATGATGTAGTCAACGATAAACGCTGTGACTCGGACTCTTGAGGAATGATTCACATTCTCCTCGCCAAAAACGGTGTGCATCCACTTTTGGGAATTAAGGAAGCAGTGATCACAGCCCGTCAAAAGTATTTGAAGCGCGGCTATACACGAAGAAATTGACTTATGGTTGCAAGGCCTATTCCTCGGCCCATAAAACTTCTTGCGAAGCTCGACAAGTTACTTCGCTAGCTTTTGCTGCGAGCTGGGAGTGCTACCGTCCTAACATTGGAGACTGGAGTCTCAACTATGGGGCCGAGTCCCAAGAGTGGCCAAGAGGACCTCTTAAAGAGGACGTGGTCCTAGGATACCCATACAAGAAAGTCTGGTGACCCTGATCAGATTGACTACACTGCATTTCCTACATCGCTAAGTTCCTCGAACTTAAGTGAAGGTATGCCGATTTTCGTGTCTTCCTCATGGAAGGTGAGGCCTTTGGCGTCCTCTCTCAACCATATACGACCTAATGCATTGCAGTATGCACGGCCGTGGTGCTTGAAATCTGGCACGCCCTCAAAATATTACACGGACTGAATCCCTGAGTGCGTTTTGGGCTCCAAAGTAGAGATTATCGGTGGAAACTTTCGTCGTGCTTTTGTGCGAAAAGTCCGCTAAGTTGGAGCGTCTCGAAAAAACTTAGTAGTTGTCTGGGACCCAGACTCATAGAGCTGGAGGGCAACGAACGTGCGGAAGAATGTGAAACCCGGGGCGGCTCATACTCCAATCCTTACTATCGCAATTCGACCCAGCAACGAAAATTTAGGTCGCTGAGAATATTTTGTATACATGCATACATTTTTTATTATCCATAGTAATTTAATTACTGTATGAATACATAAAATATTTTTGATACTTGCATTTTGAGTTAATTCTTTCGTAATATATGTGTAGGAGTGAATGTGTAAAGGAATAGTGAATTCCTCACCGATCCTCAAATAAACTAGTTACTTAAGAGTTTTTGTGTTTATATGTGTAAAACGTGATTGAAGAATGTCGAGAAATCCATCATTCCACTTCATAAAAACGAAGTCTGACTCCGACCACCAAAACACCGGACCTGGTGATCTTGCGGCATGCAGCCATAATTCGATTCTGCACATATGTGTATAAATATAAATATATGCAGAATTGAGTTTTTATAAATCAGTCAATAACGATATACAGATTTCAACCTGGATTATTAATTCAAAAAATAGTATAAATGTATGTACTAGCTGAAACTGGTACAATCACGCAAAAATAATATTACTAAGAATTCCCAACTGATTTAAGGGGCGAATTTGGAACCAACATGATGGGTATCATTCTTATTTTGTTCTGTCTTCAAGTCAATAAAGGAAATAATAAAATAAAGAAAAAGAGTTTGGTTTTCACTGGAGTTCTAAAGCATCGATGACAGCCTGTACTGTGACGACCCCCAATCAGATCAAATTCCTCTAGATTTGGTTTTAGTCTAACAACTCGAAAGTGAAAAGTACACCCTTCGATTTCTCAGGTAAACTTTGAGCATACGATAACGGTCGTTTGTCATTCAATTTCATCACAAAGCATTATCCAGTGTCGTCAACAATATTGCTTGAAGTAAACGAATTTGTATGCGAAGGAATTAAAACTCTTTCTCAAGCTTTCCAACTGGAACTATTCATCGAATAATTTGATATCTTTGCTATTAATGTATGCAACACTTAACAAAATAAGGGGATTATTATTTAAATATAAGCAAATTGAAGCTATTTTTTATAATCTAGTTTATATTTATTATGTAAGCAAGAGATCGTAAGTTTTTAATAAATTAATGTAAATGTGTTTAAGAGAAAAATGCACAGGTACAATTATTGTATTTTGAGAGAATGTACATTTTATTCGGTCAATTTTTTTAACATTACGATAACAAAAATAAATGACTAAACGTTTACAGCAAAATTTAACGAATAAGATAAAACAGTGTCAAAATTGTTTCCTTTTTGATAAACGTCTACCATCCTTTAAACAAGTAGTAGTATTTCTTCGTTCATAAACGGTGACAACAGGTACCGCCAAAACAAACATATAAAAACAGGTTTACTATTTTCAACAATATAAATTGATGACTGATCCAAGGAAGCCGAGGAAATAATCAAGCCACCCAACATGTGCATCGTGGAGGACAGGGCAACAAAACTAAATCTGCACATAGCAAAAATCCATAATGATGCTTTATAGAATATGAATGCTAAATAGAATTCCCGTTGAACATTTCTCAGTTGTACTCGCGTGATATCATCACATCACATTTATATCATGCTAATTGTTTTATGTTTTGACGCCAATAATACTGAAGTAAATTTTAGACTCGATATAGCTCGACAAAAAGAAGTCGAGAGGCGTGAGGTCTAGCGAACGAGGTGGCCACTCGAAGAAATTCCATGGATTTAAATAAATAAACTTCGTCTTCAAACACGTTCCTTACTTAATTTTATTACGGTATGTATAAGTGCTGGACACAAGTCGTGTTCAGAATAAACATTTTCAAAACTAATCAAATATTCTGGGGACAATATGATTTTCCAGCATAAAACGTTTAAATCTGTTTTATTAACAAATTACAGCATGCTATACAAACATGTTGCGATAATCATACTTTAACATAACCAGCTGCAGCTGAAGGGGATGCTTTGTAACATCACATTCGTAACAATATCAGCTACGTTTTTCTTTCAAATATTAGAAATGTTTTTAAATTAGGAAAGTACCCAATACATATTCATTTCTGATCAGTGGATTTTGTAGCTTTATTTATTCGTTAAAATACTTATTTTTTGTTCGACAAAATTCATTTGTTAACACCTTTAGATTGCAAATTTGGAATTAAATTCCTTCAGGGTTTGCCGAGAAATTGGTTTTAATCAGAAAATTGAACCGGAAATTGACAATTAAGCCGGCAATGCATTGATTGTCCTCTGGTGGATAAAAAAAATAGATTCGCACGTGTCGCCGGTATTGCATTGGGTTGACAAACCGGAATTCACCCCATTAGCAATTATTAAGGAAACGAGAGCGCAAGAGTTCTGTAGGGTTTTCAACACTTGATTATCATTTTTAAACCGAACATCAGAACCTTTTCGGAACGAAGAATTGTACATAGAAGAGTTTAATCAGGGAGGAAAATCCATTTTTTTTAATACGCACTTTATGTTTTTAATGTGAAAGCGTACTACAAATTGTAGAATTATGTATTGATTTGTACCAAATATTAAAACAACTATGTAAAAAAAAATTAAACGTTTCGTAAGAATTGGCGTTTCGATTTCTCGAAACTAGCTAGCACGGTTGCTAGATCTTGAGAGATTTCTATCCACGAGACGAAATTATCCACCACCACGTCTGCTACGCTACAATTGCAATACGCCAATCGAACGTATATTCACAGATAAGGTTTTTTTAGATGTTTTTATGTTTGTTGTTTCTGTAGTACATTTACAGTAATAAAGACTTTTTCTCTCTTTCTCCAAAACACTGATATATGAAAACAATAAAGAGAGAAACTCGCGAATTTAATTTTTGATGGAAAATGAAAACATGCAGCGAACGAAATAAAGGAAAAACCAGACTAAATAATTTATTTCTCCTATCATCTAGATAAAAACAATAAATAGAATCGTTATTTAAATGAAATATGTAAACTGTGAAGGTAATATTTAATGTTACGAAAGAGGAATTTGAAGGATATCTTAAGATCAAAACATTATAATTTTATTTTTAAAAAAGCCAAATAATGGCTTGACTTTTGGTGTTGGACAAAAATAAAAGATATTTATGATTAATGAGTGAATTGAATAAAGGCGCGCTTGACAAAGCCCTTTCTCTCCCGACTTTGGAACTTGTGGAAATTTAATCGGAAACGGGGCAGACTGAGTCTGCCAACCGATGAAAACTATAACGGAATAGTCTTTATGACTGGTCGTTGGCGGTCACCATCACGGATTCAAACACCTTTTTCAAAAATTAATGTTCTCCACATTTTACTCGTCGACATTTTACAATTCACTTCATTCCGAAAAGTGTATAATTTAAGAAAAAGAAGAAAAACTAAGAATGAAAACAAAAATGACAAATTAATGTTGAAAAATACAAAAAAGAGAAAAAAAAAGTATGATCAAATACCAGCATTTCTCATGACAGAAGCCTTCATTTTTGGCAACACTGAATTCTGAAAATACTTTTTTTCCACCGTCTTTAAACCGCCGCGATGAAACCGCTCTGCTTAAACTAAGTTTTGCTCTGTTCAAAAATGTTTGAAAATTACATTTTTTGCTTCGCTGACCTCCGCGTCCTTGTCTCATTTTGTGACAGCGAAAACACGTGAGACAATGTTTTGAAAGACAGCCTCTCCCTGCGCTCGGGTCAAACAGGGCTTCATTTTCCCGAAGCACTCAACACAGCACTGAACACACGCGCTCGCAGCATAAAAAACGCAAACACTGTCCATCCCGCACGGACAAATCAACACCGACCCCTCTCCGGTTGACTATACCTCATTTCTAAATAAAATCAACTTCTCAAGAAAGGCAGCAAGTAAACACTCGTGAAGTCAATTGAGCATCCGGCGCGAACAGGTTTTTATTATCGGCACGATTGAAAAATATGTTTTCCACACAGTATTTAAAACCCGGTGTAGGAGTTTATGGAACGGCGATCGGTTTTACGTTTGGGGACCGGCGACTATTTTATAATGGAGGTTTTAAGGGTCGAGCGACGCTGTTTCGACTGAAGCAGTACTGGCATTCTCGCTCGCTCCCCCCTACCCCGCGGCTGCTCCGACAACCATGAACCGAAATACACCAGTAGAACCTCTCTTCCAAACCTTTTATACTAAAAACCCCTTCTCGATTGGAAGAGACGAGTGGAAACGCCGTGTTTTCTCGCGATTTTCACGAAGAAGGGCGAGAAACCCTTGGAAAAGGGCCGAGGAGGTTGAAAACAGACCGGGCCCCCATACGAGGGGTCTTCGGACAAAACACAGAAAAGGTAACCGTGTTTCTCTCGGCCCGTCCGGTCTCGCTCCTCGTAAAAAGGCCCTCTTCTCCATACGGTCCGAACAATGAAATGGCTCACCTTTTTTTCCCGTGATTGCGCCTTGTTTTTCCAGATGGGATGTCAAATGATTTTCTTCTTCTTCCTAGAGAAATTGTCGCTGCTCGCCAGTCGGATAGGTGCCATTTTCAAAGTGACGCCGGTAGAAGGCACATCGCTCTCGTCCGATTCACTCGCTTCACACAAAACACACGACTCGACCTTGGCTCTTTCGGATCGAACACTCCGTTTGTGCGGATTTTCTCGCCGGAATCACGAAATTGTTAGGGGGCCCGACTATTTTTTCCCCCTTCTCTCCATCGCGAAGACGACGTTAGTTGACAGTGTCACCCCCCCCTAAAAAATCAATAAAAGTACGGGGCTGGACCACTCTCCCCGCCACTATCACTGAGACCTCGCTCGCTCTCGTAACGGGTAGTCGCTCCGCTCTGCTCTCGCCCACGTCACCGGCAGACACGCTCCCCGCTGCCTCGTTCGCCGCCTACGTGGCGGCCGGCACCCGCGACGCTTCGCTGCCTCCCTGCTTCCGCAACCGCGTACCCTCACCGCACCGCTCCAAAGGCAAAAAGCCAAAATCTAGCCGGCATAAAATAAAAAACGGCCATCCTCTGTATTTGAGTTTTTTGAACGCCCAGCCTGCGATCGTAAAGGGATCATTCCTCATTCCTTCTACATTTATTCCAGACGACATAAATTGCGTTTCTACTCTTTACCCCCAATTTAAAATGAAATTGATAAATTTAATTTTAAGAGGCCCGAGTTATTGCCTTCTACCATGAATTTATGTTTATTATTTATGTACATTATCTTTTTCATTTCGCAAAAATCCTACGACCTAAAAGTTCCTCTCCCTATTTTATTTTTTTGGTGTACAAGTTTGTTCAATTCAGTTGAAAGAACGGTGATAATTGTATCCACTGTAATTAATACATTTTCAATTTATTAGTATAAAATTGCCAAAAATCGGTTATGATATTACATCAGTAGTTCTACAGTCCTTTAAATCCACTTTTAGAATGGTAGACGTTTGGAACAAAATTAATTTGGGATCTTTTTTTGTACTTTCGTTTCTGAGAGCGAAAGCCACGGACAGTCGTCCGACGTTTGTTTTCATATATTGCGACCGAGAACACGTTCCTCTTTGCCGCAACTTTAAACGAGAACAGCAACAAGTCGCTTCCACTGCAGTGTCAAGATCAGGTCGAAAGTGGCAGCGCGACTGTCTCAGACGAAAAATCAGACACATTTTTTCAACGAGAACTGGCCAGTTTTTTTGTTTGCTTTTTTAATCTCGATTTTTTTTTTTTTTTCTATTCGTGTCGCCGGGCGGTTTCAAATTTTTTATTTAAGCCCAGGTTAGGTGAAGGCGCTTACCTAAGGTGTGTTATATCATGGTATGCGCTGTTGCCAAATAGCGTGGCCCAATCCGAGGGACTGCACTGGCTCAAGGATTTCTCACCGAATGCCGAGGAGTTTTCCTTCTCATTCATCGCTGGGCAATCAATCTATTTAGACATAAAGAACTATGGTCGGTAAAGGGACAAACGGTAAATTCTACTAGGAACGAAATTGGCAAATGCAAGATATAAGACGAGGTTCACGTTCCCTAACATCTTATTCAAAAGACGGTATTTAGTGTAATTGCTAATTAAACTGTTTAAAAGGCAAAACCAAGTCGATTTTTTCAATTCGGCCCATACCGTTGTAGCTGTTACGTACATGGTCCTGAAAAATACCTCGTAAAAGAAAAAATCGAAGCTCCTCAGTAGAGAGTACAAAAAGGAATAGGTAAATTTTGCAATAATATATTAATAAGAATTGCAAAAAAAATTAAATTCCGTTGTGTTTGTATTTTGTGAACCCAGCTCCAGAAACCTCAATGATAATTCCTAGTTCAATTATTATAATTATATAAAAGCCGCCCAAAAAAAAGAAAAAAAAATTGAAATTTGAACATAAACTTGTCCTAGGACCGCATTCTATTGTCGGTTGTAAAAACTATCAAACTCATGAATGGAAAGGATTTATTTTACACGCGCAAATTTGCTACCATCCATTAATAAAAGAGGAGGACTTAACTGGGCGTAGGTAGTGATAAATTCTGACCAGCTTCCTCTTCAGTGTCTCTGGAAGATCAGTTCTAGTCTTGAACGATGATGCTGAAGATGAAAACAGACAAAACTTTAAAAGCATTATATATTAAAAAATAATAAAAGATCAGAACACTCTCATATGCAGATGACATTGACCTTGTGGTTATCATGGCTAACAGCTCCTGGAGCCAACTTGAACGGCTGGACAGATAAGATGAAGGTGGATGATTCCTGAGGTTCTGCAGTAACTCATTGTAAATAACATAAGCTGGAGTTGCTGATGGATTGTGAGAAATGATAAGTTCAACTCTGAACACATACATGCATGAATGTGCAGGTGCAGATTGGAGCTTCATAAATCATAGGATCTCCTATTTTCCACACTTATACCATTAATCACAGCTTGTTAACCAGAGCAACTTGTATTAGAGATCTTGGCTGCTATGTCCATCTATATACTACATCCAGTTGTTCGACCTATTCTTGAATATGCCTCTATCATCTGGAATCTGGACTACTACACTGATACTACTTCTTCAAACTGTTCAAAATAAATACCTTCATACATTATATTTCAAATTAAACTGTCACAATGATAAATCTTCTCATGCTCCCATTAAATCTTACTCCAATATTCTTAGCAGCAGAAAAGAGTATTTTGAGATTTTTTTATTTTCAAATTTATTAGTAATCGTATAGATTCCTCAGAAATCCTTGGAAACTCCAATTTTATGTACCTACTTGCCACCTCAGAAATCAGAAAATATTTTTTATTGAATATAAAGGAACAAATTTTTCACTACACTTCCCGATGCACGTCATGATGATAGATTGTAACAACATATGCAATACTGTTGATTTATTTTCTTATACTCCTGTTTCCTCATTAAAATGTTAGTTACATAAAGCATAATAATTTTATTTAGTAAAATAAAGCTAAAAATGTACTATGTATATAGTTATAATGCTTTATTATATTATTTAATATATATTTTTTGTATAATTCTAGTCATTACAATTATGAAGACAGGGTGTTTACTTAAATCTTTGTGTTGTTTATTTATAAAGATTTTATTTTTGTTGTTCTTTTTTATTTTTTTCATTAATGTATAGTATAGTGTTTTATTCATTATTAATGCTGGGTTAGTTATAAGCATTGTATTATTTATATATATACTTTTCTCCTTATTTTTGTACATTTTTTCTTTTTTTAAGAAATGGGTTTTTGATTCATAAAAATAATAAATAAATAAAAATAGTATTGTCAAAGAGAAACCTCTAGTAGGAATAAAACTAAAATGGAGAGATAGCAACAGTCTAATGATTTAATTTTAATGTTTGAGTTTACTCAAAATTTCCAAATAAACTTAGGTACCAAAAAAAGAATGGTTAGGAGAGAAAAACACCTTTAAGAATGGCACCATTTACTGATACACAGATGGATGTAGAAAGTAAGAAGGTATGGGGGCAGGAGTCTTCAGTCATGGAACCAAATACTCAAAACCCATGAGAAAATAAACCAGTATCTTCCAAGCTTAGGGCTACACAATCGAGAGATGTACTCTATTCATCCTGCATAAAGGGTATAAAAACAATAACATAGCTATCATGTCAGATAGCCAAGCAACCATCAAAGCACTAAACTCAAATACCATTAGTTCAAAGATGATGTTGAACTGCGAATCCAAATTAAACATATTAGGTATGCAGAACAAAGTGAGCCTCAGCTGGGTCCCAGGATATGTGGGAGTAGAAGGCAATGAGAAAGCAAAAGAAAAAGAGAGAACTATGGAACTCACTCATTGTACACAAACAAACCAAGAACCTCCTAACAAACTTTGGAAGTAAAGAGGTTACAGAATGCCTTAAAGGAAGCATGAAAAAATAGCGAATCTTAATAGGAAATGTATACATACATTTATAATTTCAAAATGTTTTAACAAATGTAAACAAGTATATAATAAAACCAAGTAATTTTTTTTTTTTTTGCTCTCTTCTTCATTTATTTACAACTGCATCTATTTTATGATAGCATTTTACAGCCGAAAACAAAACAAAATGAACATGAAAATATACAAAAAATAGAACAATGAGGAAATACTCATAAGTAGTAATTCCTATATATTAGCAGTTATCAAATTTGCTGTTATTCACAGTCACTTAGGAGGTCACAAGGCCATTGAAGCTTCAGCCGGGAAGATTATTTGGAAAGGTGTGGGATAAGTTTCTGATATGAGGGGTTTGTGGGACTGGATAATTGTTTGTGAAACTTCTTATACCGGGTTTTCATTATTTCAAGGACATATTGGATGTTAAGATCATTGTGAATGGTAGATACATAGAAAGGAGCATTGATGATGGTTTGAAAGATTTTTAATTTGTAGGGACTGGAAACGTTGAGGTTGGAACTTTTGTTGAACCTCAAAGTTTGATGCTGTTGAAATGGGCCTCAAAATAGATATATAAACGAATCGTCTGTTTAGCTCTTGTCTTTTGATTTGCACGTGAGAGTTGCAATGATTGTTTGTCAGTGTATCCGAGATAGCAGACTACATTAGCTGGTGGGAGAAGGATACTTGTGTAATAGATGGGAGTAGTGGCTATTACCCAAAAGGTGAATGTGACATGCTCACATTTTTGTATGTTTATTGTCACCTTCCAACGCTTGAACCACTGCTCAAGGTATGTGAGATGGCGTTGTAGGTTCCTGGTTGAAATTACAGGGTCTTTATGGGAGGAAAGGATGGTGGCATAGGAAGTAAAGATCATCTGGGAGAGTAGAAGTGACTGCGGTTCGTACAGTGAGAGAAACCTTCATGACCACCTCACACTACTTTTTTACACTTCATGGTGTAAAAAAGGGAAAAAAAGTATAACATTTAATTTATAAAAATCCACTCCGATAACTTTCACTCTCTGCAAAAAGATCTACTTCAACCAAACACCTCCCAACCACCATAACTCCTCAAAGACATAAACTCTCATCCTATGAATTCCATACAACCCTCCTCGATGATTAAAACGAAGATGGCTGAGAAAGCTCCTTTCCAGTGAGAGTGAAACACCTCAATTAATTTGAGAAAACATAGAACTCATAGGAGTACTGCCAATGGGTAGTTTCTCCAGTCCTCTTTATTTAATGGTTTTACACATTCATTGTTACTGGGTACCCATTTGAGGATAGTTGTATAAATTTAAGAAAAAGAAAAAAAGAGCTTATATAAAATTATTATTGTTAATATCTATATATCTATAATATCGTGTAATCTGGATTTTCTCCCATTTCTTTGGCTTATATAAAATTATTATTGTTAATATCTATATATCTATAATATCGTGTAATCTGGATTTTCTCCCATTTCTTTGGCAAAAATTGATCTTTTTTGTATATTTTTCTACATTTGGTACCAATTAAAGTCAATGGTAAAAAAATAAAAACTTTGTTGGGTTGGAGAAACACATTTTCTTGTAACATCTAATTGTTCTAAGTTAAATATTAAACTGTAATCAGTAAGATAGATATTGTTTCATTTTTAGAATACTAACTGTATTAAAATTTGTATTTCATTATTACAGGCAGATAGTACGAAATCAACAGGATTATATGGGCTGCTGGGGCAATAATAAAATATTAATACTAACATGCTCACTAACCTGACTGCCAGCAGAGACCATTTGTAAATCCCTCCTGAAAAAAAACAAAAAAAAAAAAACATTAACTTAAAATCAGAGAATAGAAGACAAGGTATATACAACAAATGGATGTTATATAAATGAAATTTCCCCTCTGAAGGCAACAATCCTCGTTTTAAAAAACCTTTGATGATCCAGCTAACTACACACTCTTCAGCACTCGCGTAACAAAACGCACTGCTTAAGTAGCACTTTGTAAAAATGTAGAAATGGATCAACACCCTTGGAAAAATTAAACAGCAAAAAAATCCTTTTGTTCTATGTATCTACTCTTCAATTCTCAGATTTTAAGTTGTTTTTTTTTTCCAAGAGGGATTTACAAATGGTAAATCAACTCTCTCTGCTGCCAGTCAGATTAGTGAGCATGAGCGTTTAGATACTGCCCCACTTGCTAATATAAAGATGATCTTGTAAATAACTTTTGAGTGTAAACTACATTTAATTTATTGTGTGCTTTACAGCTTGCTGTTTATGTTTTCCAACAGTGTTCAGCCAATTTAGTAAATTTCATTTTATAACACCTATTTGTTTTTAAGCTTAGTTTCTCTTAAGTTATTCCCTAGTGAGTACCACGCCAAACCGTATGTATATGTTAGTATTTATCCTTTTTTATTACAAATTCTTATTTCTTTTTTATTGGCACTTTATTTTGCCTTTTTTTATTCATTATTTCATACTTTAGGTCTATTCCTTTTCTTCATTCGCTATTTTTTCCCGTTCGCTGAGGCACGGCCGTATCGTCGAGAACGGCAACATCTTGTTTCAGTGTTCCAATTCCAGGTTCTGCCCAGTTCATTAAGACTCAAGCTATGAGACCTATACAAGTATATATAAGAGCTACGTATTTATCCTCAATTAAGAACACTCCTTAAACAATTTCATTATTTTTACTATAATGATTACTTTTTTCTCTGATAATTCATTGATTGATACAATTTATATACTTAATATTAACAATATATTACATTTTTCTTTGCGGCAATTGAATATTAGAATCGACAATTAATTTGAAGCATGGTGGGAAATTTTGATGAAGGGACCCAATAAATAAAAAAAAAACCTCTTGATTTATTTGTGTGGGGGAATGGAAGAATCGTTAGAGCAGAATCGACTCATCCCAGCAATTGAAGCGTTGGGAATCGATACACTGAAAAGAATAGTTCTTCCCATCACTAGCACGCATTGGCTATGAGCACATGAGCAAATTGTCAAGTAGCTATACTGCTTACCCATAACAGACTTTTTTTTTATTGTCGTAGTTGTGCCTCTTTTAAAAGGCATAGAAAATGCACGAATGGATGAAATGAATAAAAATCACCTGACTTCGTACAATTTTAATAAAAAAAAAACGTTGTTTTATTTTATCAATACTGATCAAAACTGGATTGCTCGGAAACATAATTTTAAATTTTTTTTGTTGTAATAAAAATTATCATAATGGCAGGCAGTGGAACCTCGTGCGCATGACAGCCGATTCGCCCGACTACGTTCTTTGTCCGATTCGTCAGAGCACGTGAATTTTATCCAGGCCAGAAAGCGATTCCGCTTTGAGCTCACATACTCCCGCTTATTAAAATAGAATAACAACCGAATATGCTGAAGTTGGCGAAAATATCACCGAAAGCGACCCAGCTCGTCTCTACCTCTTTTGTATTTAACGTAAGTTTTCTATTCTGCTTTATTTTAGGTTGGGCCTCAGGTTTTTCAGAGGCCGGCTTTCTTATCTCCAGTCTTCAAAATAATACAGTTTCTCTTTTTGAATTGGTTATGTTTTGTGATTTATTTTGGACGAATGATTTTTTGGAAATCGGCCTTGTTAATTTCTCTCCCATTCCAATATAACGTGTTCTACCCTACAATTGCTACTTAACCTTTAAGCTTCCAACTTACATGTACTTTCTCATTGACATTCTTAAATTTATATTAACAGTTTTCTATCATTTACAGAGACCGGTGCTATGTCAAAATATGAGACAGTTGGGAAGGAGATTCAAGTAAGTGGCCAATTTGCCTTTGATAACGATAATAGTTAACATTGCATCATTTTTTTTTTTTTTTAATTTTTTCTTTTTGTACCTTTTTAAAAATCAGTCATCAAAAAAATGATTTTGTTTTAAATTTGTTAAGCTTTCCTTAAATATAAATCATGTATTGTGTAATAGTAAGGTGCCACATGTGGATCAGAGGTTATTACGAGCATAATTATTGTTACTATTATTAACAAAGTAGCAATGATGATAAAGCAAAGTCTAAAGCAGGGAACACACCCCCTAATCCAATGTCCAATTTTCTATAAGATTGTATTACCCCATGCGCATTTGCCTGATGTGACGCAATGCCACTGCAATACGCTGTGCGATACAACCAAGTTCCCCACTGTCCAGATTTGAGTCGAGTACAAAGACAAAAGAACTGGAAACTCATATTCTTTCTTGTTTGTTTCAACCTACTATGTATTTTTGTCATTAAATTAATTACAACTTGTTTATTATTATTTCCTTATTAAATTAATCTGCTTATGTTTAGCGATCATAATTGACCATACTAATTATTTCAATTAATTATTATTTTTATCTAAGGCCTTGATTGAGATGAAAAAGTTAGTGTCACGAGCAGGATTCGAACCCTCAACCTTTGTCTCAATACGCCGCTGCTCTAACCACTTGTTACTTCAAGTAGCAGTGTATTGAGCCAAGGTTGTGGGTTCAAATCCAGCTCATGACACTTACTTTTTCATCTCATTCAAGATCTTAGATAAAAATATTAGTTAATTGAAACTTATTATATGAGTGGTGTGTGGTGTTAGTGACCGTTAGCCAATGATTATTTGGAGATCGTGAGGTGTGGTCTGGTGTGATGCAGGTTTTAGAAAAACGTTTTCTTTGTCATGCAACATTTCGATCTTTATTGAGACCATCTTCAGGGCTCAAAGTGTTTGTTTTCTGTGTAGTTGTGTCATTCTTGTGTGTCGTGTTGCTGCAACATTTATGTATGCATATGAATATATATACATATTCATTGTGGAATACACATTTGAAATTTTATCAAATAATTGTATTAACTTTCGCAGGTCTGTTAACTAAAACTTCACTTGAATTTAGTGGCATAATTTCATCTGTCACCATTTAAAAAGAAAGTTACATTTATTGATACACTTTGCAGCGAAAAATCTTCAATTTTTACAAGATGCATTTTCCAAATCATTTTTGAAAATAAAAGTGAGATTTAAAACGACTAAAAATTGCACATGGGCTTATTTAAATTTAAATTTGTAATAATCTAAAACCTACTTGAACATTCACCTCTTTAAAAGATAGTTCTACTCACAGAACTATATTTTTAAAAAATTATAAACATAACCCACCTTCATCATTTCTATTAACTGAACATTGCTTCCTTATATATATTATAATATACATTATTACAATATAATGTACAAAAAACTAAACATTGCTTCATCTTTTTAAAAAGATTAAACAACATACTCACTCCACAATTTATCATTTCTAGACATTGCTTCTGTGAGAAACTGATAGCAGTAGTTGACTATGGCTGAAATTAACAATATAAATAACAAAATAAGATATAACAGTCTATTAATTATTAAATTCTCTAACTGAGCAGAATCTTTAATACAGATGCTCTCTTAAGTTTACCACTCAATCCAATTTTGACCGTTAAGGTAATAACTTTTAATACTTAATCCTGTATGATCTTAAACTAATATGTATAGAGCAACCAAATGATTTACATTACAGAGAGCAAAGTTGTATTAAGTCAGAGTTAAATGGCCTGTAGTCATTGCACAGCTTGTTTTCAAAATTAGTTTTTTCTTGTTGAAAGGAGGTGAATGTTAATATCTGGGTTTTAGTATGTCGTATAATTCTAGCTGTACACATTCAAAAATCTCTTAATCTGATTTACGTGTTCTCATTTCTTCAAATTACATTTTAATTGTGTGTGATCTGTAATCAAGGTCAGAAACTGTCAGAGGGACAGTGATAGGTATCGATTTGGGGACTACCAACTCATGTGTAGCTGTGATGGAAGGAAAACAAGCTAAAGTGATAGAAAATGCTGAAGGTTCGAGAACCACACCCTCAGTTGTCGCATTTACAAAAGGTAAGTCAAAATAAGACAATGTATTTTTCACAGTCTAATCATTTTTATTTTGTACTGTGAGAGGGAGGTATATAACATTTAATTAACATGTCGACTGTGGCCTTGTCTAGCCTGTATCAATATTGTGTGCGTAATTATACATTACAATTGATTTAAATGGTTTAAAATTACAACTGCCATGTCAACACTGATGCTCACACCAGGGGAGGAGGGATGTCGACTATATATTGACAACCTCAGTCAATGTGTTAAAATAATTTTAAATGTGTAGTTTCATCGTTAAATAATTAATTTAGAATTTGTTTGTATAATGTATAGATAATGAAAGGCTTGTTGGAATGCCTGCTAAGAGACAAGCAGTAACTAACTCGGCTAATACATTTTATGCTACCAAAAGGCTGATAGGAAGACGGTTTGATGATGCTGAAATAAAAAAAGACATGTAAGTTTTTTAGTCGTGTATATCTATTTATTATGTTTGATTACGTCAACTTACAAAATTGTTACAAATTGAGCTTCGTTTTACTGAAGTGATAAATAGCCAACCAAATAGGTTCAAAACATCACAATTTTTATCCAGTAAAGTTCTCTTTAAGGATCCTCTCTCCTTCTTTTTCTTTCACACCACAAGGTAATTATGTTTAAAAGAAAATAAAACATTTTGCTTGAATTTCATCAAGTAAATAATGGTTATTTATAATACTTCTTTTGAAAATGGTTGTAAGACAAATATGCATATATTAATAACCCCTTCAAATTAGACAAAAAATCTATCCTAACTTTACATAATATTATGTGGATTTATTTTGTAGAGGGTTGTTATTAGTTATCATTTGTTAGTCCAGTCAATTTTGCATTCATTTTAATATTTTTTTATACTTGATTCATTCATTGATGATTGTGGGTACTAAGCACAATTGCTGATTAAAACAAAAGATGTCATTGTTATCATATAACCTGTGAGAGAGGAGAAAAAGTTTTTTTTTTTATTCTTACATTTTATTGTAAAACTAAGTATGGTCCCAAAGTTTATTTTTCATATTATTATTTTTATATTTTTCCCCAAAATTTTTTATTATGTTATTGTTTTATAAGTTTATGATATCAAGCATTCATCGATTTGTTCTGTATATATTGAGTTTTCCTACAGAACTCAATTTCAATTTGTTGTTTAAAGTTAAGTTTATAAAAATAAACACATTAAATTTTCATATTTTAATCAATTAAATGTGAAAAATTCCCTCCTACATAGGAGTTTGATTGTAAAATGGCATTTCCACAGTTGCAAACATTTAACACCCTATTATTAATTTGATAGCAGATTAATTGAATTCGTTCTTTCAGCACTTGGAGATCCCTACTTCTATTTTATAAATGACATTTCTAATGTTACCTCAAAATCAAAAAGTGTAAGGGGGGGGTCAGATCAGGAGACCAATCCACTACTTGGAAAATGCTAATCACCAAAATCCACCTCAACTTGATGTTGATTTTTTATGGAAGGTTGTCTTAGTCTAGTCAATTGTGCAATGATGTTTACTATTTTTTGTCGCTGATTCATTGATGATCATGGGTACTGAGCACAATTTCTGATTAGAACAAAAGATGTCAATGTAATAATTATATATACTGTGTTTTTATTTAAAAAAAGCCTGATATGTTGGAATTTTGAATGAATTAGCTTGTTTTTATACAGCGTCAACCAAACTAATTTCTGAGAGACATTACATTTTTGGGCAGCTTGTCTTGTTGACTGAAAGGGATCTATTCAAGCAATGTGAGGGTATTAACTAAAAGTAAAAACAAAGGGCTACGAGTAAACAGGTCAATTTTAAGCTATCACCAATAAATAAAGTGACAATCTTTTTTTAATCTGTTATGATCCCAGTTGTTATAAATTTACTAATCAACTTATGGACGTAAGATGGTTGAACTGGTTATTCCTGATGTGACAAGTTAAATTCATGAGCTGCTTCATTAATTGTTAACATTTCAACTTCCACTATACAAAAAGAGGATTAAAAGATAAAGCACCAATAGATTCTATATAAAAAATTATCTTTGGATCTTATCATACTTAGTTTTACAATAAAGTAAGTTGCATAAAAATAAAAGACTCTTTTAAAAACCCTCACACAGTATATATACGTACATTTCGAATTTTTTTTATAATTGTCTGTAATTATTTCAGTTCTAAAAAATTGTTAAATTTTGTTGGTTTTTATTTTCAAATTTCTCTCTAGGAAGAATATAGCATATAAGATCACAAAGGCTTCCAATGGCGATGCTTGGGTTCAAGGCAGTGATGGAAAAATGTATTCCCCTAGTCAAATTGGAGCGTTCATTCTGTCCAAGATGAAGGAAACGGCTGAAGGCTATCTTAATACTCCAGTCAAAAATGCTGTCATCACAGTTCCAGCTTATTTTAATGATTCACAACGTCAGGTAAATTTCTTCAGCTTTAAAATTAAAAATAATTCTAACAGTTTTTCATTATAGGCAACAAAAGATGCTGGACAGATTTCTGGGCTCAATGTTCTCAGAGTCATCAATGAGCCAACTGCAGCAGCTCTTGCTTATGGAATGGACAAATCTGAAGATAAAATGTAAACATTGTGTTCATATTTTACTTCTTAAATTTTTTCTTTCAAATTACATATAACGGCAGTACCTTCCACATGGGTTCAGTCTATCTTTCGTCTCTCTCTCTCTCTCTCTCTCTCTCTCTCTCTCTCTCTCTCTCTCTCTCACGCACGCACGCACGCATTCGCGCACACACACACACACACACAACGGTCAAATGCTTCAGACTTCCTGGGTGGCCGCAGTGGTTTTATTGTTAGGGCGCCCGACTCCTATTTGCTACACTAGAGTGGTAAGCCAATGGTTTTTTTAATGACTTGTATGAACTTGTTTGCAACACAATGGGTAGTTTGACATTAAGCCCTCCTATATGACAAAAATTAAAAACTTTGCGTTTACAGAGACATAAAATAATTACCTTTTTGGTATCATTGCAATAACAATTCCATTTGATATTTTATACCACCTATTGATAAAATGACTTTGTATTAGCTCACATTATTTTTCAGTGTTACATTTTATGATATGATTTATTTAAGTGAGTTCAAACATATTACAGTCCACTCTTGATAATATTAATTTCTTGATTATATGAACTCCTCAACAGGTAACTTAGGTAAATTGAAAAAATGGTGTGTATTTTTATAAACAACGAGAGGAAAAGAGCATTCTATAAATTGAAATTGAGCCACTTCCCTTTCTAATAATTCAAACCTTTTCTTTGTAATATTCCTCTAAATTTTCAATTTACATCCTTACAGCCTACATTTTCTCTAGTTTGTCGGTGATGTGTTGAGTGTTTTGTGAGTGTATGAGTGTTTTGTCAGTGTATACTCAGCACTGGTCATGTTCAAAAATTATTTAAATAAAGGACGCCGGACCATATTAGCACAAACCTCTTCACGATTTTTTTTTAGTACTGCATTTCAATTTCACAGTTGATTATTTCCACTTTTTCATCACTTTTACAATGTTTTCAATAATGTAAAATTCAAGTAATGACATGTAAAAATGCATATAAACTTTTTTTTCTTTGGATAATTCCAATGGTATTTGTGGCCTTGTGAGTTTTGATTTATCAAGAGTTGACTGAGCATTGTGAGTTAAGTGAAGAAAACTTCCATAATTTTTTCTGGAATTCTCTTTAACTCTCCCCAAAAACCAGATTATACGCTCAAATTGATATGCTGGAAATTGTGAATTGTGCGTTAAATTGTATGTACAACTTCTGAATAATGTAACACAAAGTAGTGCTTTGTAAGTTGTTGACTAACGTACCGAATTGATTTTTTTTTCTTTTTTCATCATCCTAGTGTGTATATGAGATAATCATTGATTAAATAATAAAAATACTGTTGTTTTGTGAAATTTGAGTTGTTATGAATTATGATTATGTGAGCAATTTCAAACATGTTATAACAAAAACACATCTCGTTACTACTGTTTACAGAATTGCTGTTTATGATCTTGGTGGTGGGACATTTGACATTTCAATCCTTGAAATTCAAAAAGGTGTATTTGAAGTGAAATCAACTAATGGAGATACATTCCTTGGAGGAGAAGATTTTGACAATACTTTAGTAAATTTCTTTGTTCAGGAATTTAAAAAAGAGGTAAAAGTATTACGTTGTACAAATTAAGTTTCTATAAATAACTAATCACCACACATTTCTATAAATAACAATTATTATATATACAATAATATAAATAAGAAACTATTTTATTAGACAGGAATGATATTTAATATATTTTTATTCATTTTTTTTGTTGAATATGTCTTATTATTTTAACAGCAAGGTATTGATGTTACTAAAGACCAAATGGCTATGCAACGATTGAAAGAAGCTGCAGAGAAGGCCAAAATTGAACTGAGTAGCTCACTCCAAACAGATATTAACTTGCCCTACCTAACCATGGACTCAGCTGGACCTAAGCATATGAACATGAAAGTGAGTTTGTTGATTATGGGCGACAGTACAAAACTCTGTTCTTCGATACAATAGTCAAAATATTTTCCAGCTTACACGCTCGAGATTTGAAAGCTTAGTCGGTGAATTGATCAAGAAGACGATAGCACCCTGTCAAAAAGCTTTGACAGATGCAGAAGTCAAAAAGACCGACATTGGTGAAGTCCTACTTGTCGGTGGAATGACTAGAATGCCTAAGGTAAGTATTGAAAATGGTTTATTTCTACACCTACTCTCAAAAGTTACACAACGATTTTCATAATTTGGCAGGTTCAGTCAACTGTTCAAGAAATTTTTGGTCGTCAACCATCGAAAGCAGTCAACCCAGATGAAGCTGTTGCTGTAGGAGCTGCTGTACAAGGTGGAGTTCTTGCCGGAGATGTTACTGACGTATTGCTCCTCGATGTGACTCCACTCTCTCTTGGTATCGAAACACTAGGAGGTGTATTCACCAGGCTTATTTCCAGGAACACAACTATCCCAACAAAAAAGAGCCAAGTAAGCCAATACAAAATCTAATTATTATCTTTTGAAAATAAAAACAGAATACAAAATAGACAGGTTGTGGTTGACACAATGGCAATTACAAAAATTATGTCTACATTTCTAATATTAAATTGGTACAATTTCATAATTTAAATTAAAATGTAATTAATTAATCTAATCCATGTTTAGGTGTTTTCTACAGCAGCTGATGGGCAGACTCAAGTAGAGATTAAAGTTCACCAGGGTGAGAGGGAGATGGCTGGTGACAACAAGTTGTTGGGCCAGTTCACACTTGTCGGGATCCCTCCTGCACCTAGAGGTGTGCCACAGATTGAAGTCTCTTTTGACATTGATGCTAATGGGATAGTCCATGTGTCTGCCAGGGATAAAGGAACAGGGAAAGAACAACAAAGTACGCTGTTTTCAATTTCAAATTCAAGTTTATTTCTTTTGTTTTTAAATACTTTTACTATTAAATTTCTTCTATTGCCCATATCAATTTGTGTGATTTTTTAACCGTTATGAGTTTTAATATGTACATTATTTTAGTTGTTATCCAATCATCTGGAGGGCTTAGCAAAGACGAGATCGAAAACATGGTCAGAAATGCTGAGCAGTTTGCTCAGGCTGATAAGATGAAGAAGGACAGGGTTGAGGCCTTCAACCAAGCTGAGAATATAATTCATGAGACTGAATCAAAAGTAGAAGAATTTAAAGATCAACTGCCTGCTGAAGAGGTTTGACCTTTTTTTTTCACAATTTTTAAATATGTAATAAATGTGTCATCTTTCATGGCAGTAAGTTAAAACCAAACTGTTCGTGAGGTTTAACAACTAACTCACCACCTCCCAACAAAACTTTACAGTTAATTTTCAACTCAGTAATTATGTTTTAGGTGACAAAAATGAAGGAACAGATTGCACAGGTTAGGGATCTTTTGAGCAAGAAAGAAGAGGCAGACCCTGAAGAGATAAGGAAAACCGTTGGAAACCTACAGCAGTCCTCACTGAAACTCTTTGAAATGGCTTACAAAAAGGTGAGTTATACATATTGTGTATATTATGCAGATTATTTAAGGTGCTATCTTCTATCCTTAATATTGTGCACATTGAAAGATTATAATATTTATTTATTTATTTTAAACACAGATTATTTAATAATTTGTTGTTAACAATGTGATGTGCTATATTAATCCAGATGCAAGGGCCTCCTTTCTCCATGAGTATTGACTGTGAGGTAGTATTACATCTGAAACAAGGTGAAAGAAAATCACAAACGGTCATTTGAATTATCTTATCAGTACTTCCCAATATGGAATAAGAATATTCCTTCTAATTTGAACTTTTTATTATTTTCTGATTATTTTCAAAGTCCTATTGTTATAAATATGGACATATAAATAGTTAATGGTTCATTCTAATAAAAACAATGAACCCGTAGGGGTATTAATGTTTGAACAGTTAAGTGGCATCCCATCACAAACGTATTATGATCGCATAATGACAGTATGATATTTATATCAGACAGAAATCGTGGCTAATGTGAACAGTAAAGAATTTATGGTCAGATATATATTTCAATCACTAGCATTTTGTGTCGACACTTCTATACCAGTAGATATAAATACCGGTTATATGCAAGTTCAACCTTGTTCAACACTTGTTGTAAAAGTTGACCACTCATCTACTTTTCTGCCATTGCAGTAATCGTCGTGTAAACGTGAGAGACAAAACAGAGTGGTTTAAATCTAAAATTTACCAGATGCTAAAGATCACAAAGTTACAGCAAGTAATTCTGTTACCCTACTTTTCTGAATTTGGTATCTTCCTTTGATATAAGGGGACCAATTTTACAAGCATGCTTTTCAAAATCAGCAGGTTTCATTCTTCAAAAATTCGTAAATTGAACTGGATACTCAATACTGAGCATCATATTATAATACAGCATAATATATTATATTAGTTGATTGTTGGCACTGACTTTTTCATATCTTGAAATCCTCTCTTGAACCAACACATAACATTTCTTCCTTTTCATCTTTAGAATAATAGTACACAGACCAAAATTTTGCATTTTGAGGCTTTCATCATGTCAAGATAAAATCAACTGCAGAATGAATGAGATACACAAGTACACAGGACACAAGGGTACACAAAAATCTATCTTGTATGTAAATGGGTCTTATATTTATTCCAAGTTTCGCATTTTGAGAACTGTCATTATACATATCCATCATATAAATTTCTAGTAATTTCTGTCAGCATGTAAACTCAATGTTTGACATTCGACATATTTTCGGACAAAAATGTCGATGTAAATGTACTTTTAATATCTGCTTACAAATTATTATCTCTTTCAGTGTTTTTTTCCTGTGACAATCCTTGAGAGATTGTCTGAGAGCAAATTATATGCAGGTTAACAAATAGCCTCAATAAAACAATCGCGGCATTTTACATCAGATGTTGCTTGAAGAGTTGACGTGTAAATCATATAATAAACACATTATTTTAATAAATAAAATAACATTGTCGACGTCAGTGAGATCCCTCTATCAGGATAGTTTTTCATTTAACTCAGTAATTATTTGGGCATGTTGCTCTATCTCACATTATGCTTTCTGTATCACAATTTCTTGACTTTTATTTAAAATGCAACTCAACAAGATAATCTCAGCAAGCATAATGTTCCATTTCCCTTTTTCCAATCAAGTTAAATTTTGTTATACATAATATGTAATTTTTTTATATATTTCATGAGTCTAAGTAAATAAAAACATGAGTTCTTACATTTAAAATAAATCTGTCTTATGCCTATTCTACAAGAGTTTTTAAAAGCGGGTTTGGAACACCTCCTGCCTCTTGTTTTTTTTTTAATGGTTTCTATATGGAGCATTTGAAACGCATGCTAGGAAACGGGATACAATTCTATACACATGTAAGAACAGCGCATTTCAGTGTAGTTAAATTTAAAACGAACCCTCTTCAGGTTAAAACCCTTAAAATAAATAAATAAAATAATATACATACAAAGCCAAGATTAACGTCCATGTAGATCGAACAAATTCTGTGCGTTAGTGTTGCTAATGTCTTGTACTGTGTTAGAATTCATTCTTAACAATTTTGTAAGTATTGCTATGAAGTTATGCTTACAGATACTCTTTGCAGCAAAAAACATTAATGTAATGACATGCACTTTGTCAATAAAGTTTCTAGAAAAGTTTTCCAATAGACTAAAAACTTATTTTGTTTCAGATGGCGTCAGAAAGGGAAACATCTCAAGAAAAACCTAGGGAAGAAGAACCAAAAAAGGAGGAAAAACAGAATTAAACTGACTGAAAAATATATATACACATATATGTTTATACAAATATATGTGCATATATAAAATATATAAATGTAAATTGTAGGACAATTGTTATTCTTGACAGTGAAGAGCAACAGAGTACTGAGTTCGGTGTTTTGTTACAGCACAGTGATTCCATTACAAATTTTCATTAAATAGACCCCCTTTTTCTTATTCTCAGTTAATATTTATTATATTTATGTATCCTTTCTTCGCCATGTATATAGTGTTTTTTATAATGTACATGTTCTTCATTTACTTTATAAACCAATAGGAATGAAGTAAATCTTCATTTCAGGCAGTAGTATCATAAGAGAATGATTGACTGATGTCTGTCTGTTTTGTATATGTGGATGGCTCATTGTGCATTTAAGGCAAAGATGGACTAGTTAAGTGTAGTATCTTTAGATTTATTTGTAAGTACATTGAAATTAATGTTGATTTCTTTGTCCCCTAACCACAAATTCATCGTTACAAACGGAAATTTGTACAGCATAGACCACATTTAGTTACCGCTTTTTCTTGTCTGTTTATTTTCCTTCAATTTTTTTTTACTTTTAGTGCAAAATGGCTCTGTAATTAGTATAGATTTGTTTCCTTATTGTTTTTCAATTGTTGAACATTAAATTAAGAAGTGATGAATGCATTATCTATACATATTTTGGTTAATAAAATGATTTATTTTAAAGTTGTTTGAAGATAACCCTGTAAGAAATATTCCAGCAAGCATTAGGCCGGTGACACACTGTTCAGAGTTGTAGATGTGGTAGAAATTGCTCTGACACATTCGGATGGAAAAGGCATTCAGCTAGCTTGGATGCCTTGTCTCCCTCCCTTCACCCTATTGCCTCTCAATCGAATGTACAAAATTATTTATTATTTGTATTTGTTAATTAAATTTATTTTATAAGTTGGAAGAATGCTGTGGCTTTGGCCTTTCTACAACACAAAACAAAAGCCGAATCTGAGAGCATGAAATAAATCAAAATAGAGAAACCTTTGGCGGGTATCATACTTTAATAAATCTGTATAAAGATTAAAGCCATTTAGGATGATCAGGGAGCAATTTGAAACTCTACACGGAAAAAGTGAAGAGAGAATAATAAAAAAAAAGATACTACTTTTCGAAGAGCGATCTGTACACAGGAAAGATTAGCACATGGAGGGGGTGCAACAAAGGAACCTTGTGTGTGTCTCAGATGAAAATCCAGAATTCCAGATACTCTGATCTCATTATGACAGAAGGCGGAGTGTTCGACGAATGTGCAAGCCTTGCACTTACTTGCAGGGGATCTAGCTGAACGAACCCCATCCCGACACGTCCTGTCTCAAGTATGATGGTTAAGGCATTACAGTAATATGGTTTCATGCAAGTACATAGCTATGCGGTTGTTACCAACAATTTTTGAATTATCTAACCCCAAGGGTGGGTCTGACTGACACATTTAAGTATTTCACCACTTTCAGTTCAGACTGATGAAAATAAACTATTCCTGAATATGAGGAGATGCCAAAATGTGTCTGGCAGTACTCAAGTTCTAATTATTAAACGATTTATAATTTGAAAAACACCAACTTGCAACGAAAATTATAGGAAAACTTGAAATAAGGGGTCTAACTAAGCCTAAGGTTTTATCTCTAGAAACCTGGCACCTTCATTGAAAAACTTAATCTTATGGACATCAAGGCCTTTTTGCAAATAGTTTCTTCTCCACCTTTAATTATAATTATGCATGTTGTTTGCAAGGTTTTTTTTTTTTTTTTTTTTTTGAGAATAATAAAAATAACGATTTAAATCCAGGTGCGCGACCTTGAACGGGCAGATGGTTCTCGCCATCTTCACGTTTAACAATAATTTCTGATACAACCTAGTTATTAAATATGTTGGAATAAATTTAGTAAATATTAAATATATTATAACTTGTAACCATTCAAACAAGGACGAATAATAACTTTTCTTCAAGATGTTGTTCGAGGCAAAATTTATGACGCGTAACTTCCTAAGTAAAATCGCCGAAGCGGAAATACCGTAGAGCCTGGTAGGAGAAGATAAGCCCCGCCGCCCAAGCCCAATGCAAGGATAATACAGTATACACTCTCATTTTATCCCTGCTTGAAAACGTGGGTCACCTCGGGCAAGGGGATTTGCCAAGAATCGCGTTTAAACGAATTTCTTCTACGATTAGAAACACAAATTTAAAATGAAGTTAAAGAGTTTTTGCCGTCCCCTTTCCTCCATCTTTCTTCCCATTCCACCGCACCTTGACTTTGCGAGAAAGACCGTACTAATGTCTAAATAAAGGCAGTGTTTCCTTTAGGACTTTAGCATTATTGATACTTCATTGGCATTATTGCAACTGTGAGTTTTTACCATCATGTCCCGCTGCGTTGCAGTTGTCTGATGTACGGAGCATCAGATTAGGGTTCGAAACGACGACATCGCTAATTCAATAGTGTAATCGTTTTAACAATAAATTTCACCATTTTGTTTTAATTAAAACAAGTCTGATGACTCCAGCTGCGAATTCATTTACAACTAAAAGAATTGTGGGTTGTTAAAAAAGTTGCTGGAGAACAAACCCTCAAAACGTTTCCTCTCAATTTGATTCCATGGATTTGTATAAAAATAGTCCGCTTCAATGGATTTAAACTTTAATTATTGCCATACTAACTAAAGGATACAACCGGCTATTTATTAAAAATAAGTAAATGTTTATCAGCTGTAAAATGCTGGAACAAATGATGGAATGAAAATACATGTATTTACATAAATAGAATGAACTTGGATGCCGAACACAACAAAATTTCGTACAAAAGTAAGCAATCAGAAAATAGTAAGGAAGTAAGTAATATTTAAGTTTGTTAGATTATTTCTTGACATTCGTGTTAGTAGCATCGTGAGACAAAAACTAATATCCAAGAAATAGTTTATACTTTTTGAATTTATACTTGATTAATGACTGTCTTTGAGACATTTGTAAAATTCAAATCGCATTTCCGCACCTCACCTCACAAAGTAATATTATCAATTGAGAGGGAAAGACTATTTCTAATTATTGTAGGATTTTTTTACCGTGTAGAAAATATTGAACAATTGCAAAGTATTTTCATGAACGAGGAGAATGGATGCATAGTTAGTTTTTTGTTTCAGAGCGGGTATCGAATCAAATGTTTGCGATGTGTACCCTCGATCCAGTCGATGCCGAAAGGAAAGCGAAAAAGGACGTGTCATTCTGGTAGAGTGTCGTTCAGGCAAAAAAACCGTGGTCGTCTTCGGAGGATTCCCATAGGGACCAAAGGCATTAGCAAGGCGTTCGAACATTGGCTGACATCGGCCGGAATGGCTAGATTTCAAAAGCAGGGATTAAGCGAATTAGTAGAGGCCGCTTCCTCGGCAGCCAGTTCACAAAAGTTGTTGCTCCAATGTATGGAGAAACAGAAACGAGTACAGTCGAAGGAACACGTCGATGTCAAACCCTTCACGCCCACCCTGTGGGCCAACGTCGTCAATAACGTCGTCAACTACGTAGACGCTCTGAAGTCGATTTCCGATTTGCTCTTCCCTTATAAAGTGGTTGACTACTCCGATTGCGGTACCCGTGGATCTTCTTTGGTCAGCTTCGACTGGGGTAATTATCTAATATACATTTCCAACCTGATAACCTCTGCGGAAACGATCAAACAGTTGCTCCAAAATGGTGAAGTATATTCGCACTGTCGAAGCCACGGCATAACTGGGATCGTAGGACTGACGAAATCGGACTGGGGAAAACTATTCGTCGAATTGGATTCTGTTATCACGATTTCAAAAAATCTTGAATATCTCGTCGTCCAAGCTCATGGGATCCCTCTCGTTTGTATCATAAACTCATTCCCTCCGCCTCCTGGAAACATAGACTGGGTCACATTTTTCAAAGAATGTGACCGTCTGAACTTATCAGCAAAAAATGTTTTAAATTTCCTCTACTCCATATTTTTCTTGAACGACAGTCTTATATGTGAAAATAGTGACTCTGGCAAACCAGGCGCAGGCATCTACGAGGAGATATCAAAAAGATGTTTTCATTGGGAAAATGGAGAATGTGATTTTAACGAACACTTTTCAGGCAGCACAGAAAAAACGTTCGATCCTGTTACTGCTGATGGGAGTAAATGCGATTCCGATTCTACAACAGGGATGAAAAATAGGAAATCCGAAAAAAACAGCTTCAATTATATTTCTAAGGGAGAGCGGCGTTCCTCGGTCAGGCCCATTTTCCTCAACAAAGTGCAAGAGAACCGTTCGAAGGCCCGGGTCGCCTGGATCCACCCCAAGTACAACATCATAGATCTAAAAAAGAGAGCCGACAGGGGAATTCTCCACAAGAGCTCCGAAGCTGTCAAAGACGGACTGGAGAACTCAAAAATCGTTATTCCCGTAGCATACCGTAAAACTCCGTCAAACGTTAAGGGCAAACATTTCATTCGGCGACACACTTCATACACCAATCTGCCAGAGGCTAAAACCACGAAATACGAGTACGGCAAGTACGTAGACAACGGTATTTCAGCCCTGGTCCCTTTACACCGCTACGTATCGTGTTTAGTACTAAATCTACTGGAAAGAAATGAGGTTTCGCTTAATCAACGCAACGAATTCGAGTTTTCCGAAATAAAAGAGACTTTCTGTTCTCCGAACAGCAACGGGAGTCTAGCTGTGCATCCGGCCGTCCGCAGGATCTCGAAAAGGACCAACGTCACTAACGGTTCAAAACACGGCTGCAGGAGGAAGGCTTTGAGCGAGACGAAAATCATTAACGGCGAGAATAGCAAAATCTTCGAAAACCCGATCCCAGAACGACGATCCGTCATACCAAGGGTGGTGTTGAACGATCCTCGAATTTTTGCCGAATATCGAAAATTACTCAACCAAGTGAACAGTTCGGAAATGTCACAAAGATCTGTGATTTTTAAGAACACGGCCAAGGCGAGGCCGTCTATTCCGTTGTCCTCCTTGTCGCGGGACCATCCCCTTTTGATTCATGCGCAATTCTTCGACAAGCTAAAGAAGAAGTCGGAAATCTCCATTCAAAAGTCTTGTAAGAATTATGATTTTCAACACAAGAAAACATTGATCGGGGATAACAGAATTATCAACTACTGCATGCTGCAAAAGGAACAGAATAATGATATCAAAGACAATGAATGCATTGAAACGTCTTTTGTACCTCCTTCCAATCATGGTATATTCGAGAAAAAATCTCAAGAGTTTGAAGCTTTCGAAATTCCTAATTGCAAGGTCGATTTGCAAAGAATAGAGAGTTTTCTCAAATGTAAGTGCATTTAGAAATGTGTGTGCGCGCACGGGAGTTTCTGTCCGTATTTATAATTCTATAAATCTGTTCTAGCCGGTCTAAGGCAAAACAAATTGAAGAGTATCATGGAAGAGATTCACCTAGAAACATGTCAGTGCGCCACTTCTGAGGACGGTATCATTCACCTTATCTCGCTCCTGTTGGGGGAACAGTGCAAAATTCAGCCTGGGGTAATACGGCTGAAAGACTACAATGCAATAATGATAAAGTTGTTTAAATTCGTTTACCCGACCGCTCTTGTAAAAAGTGTGGATGGAAAGGATATTCAACTTGGCCCCATCCGTAGGGATGATCTGACGCAGCATTTGGTCTCCTTGTCAGACGAAGAAGTCGGCTCCTTCGACAGAGAAATGTTCACCACTATTCTCACAGGCGCAGAAGAAAGGTATTAAATCAATTCTTTTAATCTAAGGAATTTATTGGTATGCTTTTCTAGGTTCAAGGAAGGACATCGGGTTGCACAACACCTTGCATCCCGGCCTTCGATGTCGGCTTGAGCGGAAATCGAGAAAATAAGTCCATGTACTCTTTGCAACTAGAACGCCGCACTTCGAGTTCTGCTGAGACAACAATAAGCGATCTACTCGGCTCTCTGGCAAATTGGTTGGTCCTGTCGCAAATGTGGACTACGTACAGCCCATACGACCCGCCACTTACCCAATTCTGTTTCTTCTTTTGTCCACGTTTTCGGTTCCTATATCAAGCACACAGCCACCCACTACACTTGTATAAATCTTTTTAAAAAAGACAAACGAATAGTTCGTTGTTTAAATATGTATAGACTTTTAGTTATAGTGCTTAGAGGTTGATGATAAACCAAAAACCACGTATAATACTGTCATTATAGCGAGAATTGTGTATTTGTTCAAATGGAATGAAAACAGCTGTTAACAATAGGGAAACGTTTCATTTAATTATAATTTATAGACACTATTTATTTCACAGCTGTTTTTATGGAAAAAGTATAAAATATTTTTTCTTATTTGCGTATGGTTTGTATGTACCGATTGGTCCTTGAATCAGGAAACACGCGCGTATTGTTTAAACAAACTGTAGTGAAAAGTCGGTCGGTCAATCAGCGAATTACTAGAAATTGGTTTCATTTGATTGAAACCTCTTTTATTTGGCCATCGCCAAAACCTAAAAGATAGATCGAGATGGTTGAGATGATGAAATGCCGAAATATGCTAGCTTGCAAACAGCGAGAATAGATGGACCATGGCCATAAGGGCAATCGCGATTCAACGAATAAGCTTCTTTTTTTCTGAGAGACAGAGAACTGAAGGGGAATAATTTTTAAATTGTAATCATACTGTGAGGACTAAATTGTAAATAAATGAGGTATAAATAGGAAAATGTTCCTCCTAAGATCTTTTAAACCGTTTCTTTACCGTAGATGAAATGGCCATGTGCAAGAGTGAGTACTTGAAATTTTCACGGTGATTGGCATTGATTTTTATTTTACGAATCAATGAGATATCTCCTAATTTTGATGGTTAAATTTGATGTAAAATACCTATAAGAAAAAAAAAACTTTTTCGAGCTACAATTAAAAATATATATTTAATATTTACATATATATTTCGTATATCCTAAAAGAGAACAGTGAAAACTGAAAAGTAAATGTTTAATTAACAGTTGTGCATAATGGAAAACAAATGATAACGGCCAAACTGGAAAAAATCCTAAAACAACTCTAAACATGTTTTTGGCTACTAATCGAAATTTCAATACAGATTCGCCTTCACATAATGGTAAGTAGAGATTTTTATTTTTATTTCAAATTGACGACTCAGAGGAGGTATACAACCGATCCCAAGATTTCACGCCTAAAAAGACCATTTGAGGACTGGATTCAAGATATGTATGATCGAAACAGTAAGAAATTCTATCCCACCCTACAAACAACACGATACGTGTAGCGAAATTATAACGATTCACGATTGTGAAATCAGCAATCTATCTACTTATGAAAATTGTTAGAAATTAGAAAACAGCTTATTTCCTCTCAATTTCGTTTGTTCACCGAATCTATCGATTTATTTTAATGCCGCATATAGATCTAAACCATTTCGTGAAATGTACTGAAAAAAGTGGCTATAGTACTTTTGTTCTTACAGAACTCAAGACCTCTTCCTTTCAACTCGCCCCAAACAAAAGAAATTATTGAGCAGTCGCCGCCTGCTCGAAACAGCGACCACGGGGCCACGGGGGAATGTTGTACAAGCATTGACGAATTAACGAGTAACGAGTTTGACCTTTTCGGTACATGGTCTATCCAGGCTACCCAGCGCATCCAGGACGCGTATCGCCAGTACGTCGCAAGATCCAGGTATAAACCTCCATGGATTCGGGGAGTGAAAACGGTCGGAGCGAGGCCGCCATCGTCCGTTCAAGACGAAAGCTCAAAGACGGTCACTCTGAGACCGTCTCCAAGCCCGTCTTTCGAATGTTCGGCTAGTTCCAGCTCGTATTACCACGATTTTGAAAACACGGATGCCACCCGTGAAATAGACACTGATGACAGTTCGACAGAATTTACTTCTTCCTTTTTGTCCGAAGATACCGAATCATCCTCTAGCGAATCAACGAACAACGATGATTTCACGTTGGATTCAAATGTCAAACACTTTGGGACGGAAGACGACAAACAAGGTTTATCGCATTCGGAGGCAAATTGGATGTTACCTCACAACGGGCCAGTTGACATAACTTGTGGGATGGTTTACGTCTGTCAGGACGGGCAAAATAAATATAACCGAGATACCACCGAAGAAACGAGGAGCACAGACGAATTGTCCGATTCTGATGAACTCGCGCAGCTTATTTCGAATAGTGAAAACGAAAACGACGATATAGAAAATGACGATGAGAAGACCGATGGTGAAACTATGGGACGAATCTCTGAAACAACTCGGAGACTGGCTTACCTCACGGCCCAAAGCGCGTGCATGAAAATGAAGCGTGATAAAAAATGTGAAAACCCCTGTAACACCAGTATCAAGAGCCCGGAAGTTTCCACCCTGACAAACAGTGGTAAGTAGTCCAGTCGGTGCTATTTTCAGGTAATGAAAATACTTAATTTACAGGTAGGCAAAAGGCGAAAATATATTCCCTGCTCGAAGTTAATCACTTGAACAATTGCAATTGCATGAAGGACGATCCAATGGATCCAGATCCGTTGATTGCGCTTCTTTTGGACAAGAAAGGCAAGCCTGCAAAGTCTGTCGTCCGCCTTAACGATTACGATAACCTCATGACCCGCGTTTTCAAATTCTTATACCCTTCTGCTTACACATCCTTAAATTTCACGTTCACACTAAAACCAAACGTAGTAAAGCACGTTAGCGATTTGAACAGATTCGAAAGAGAACTGACCGGCAAGGCTGGAGGTGCCGGGTTGGTCAATTCTTCCGATGAAGAGGGCGAAGGAGGGGTCGACAGGGATATAATTAACAATTTGAAAGTCAGCGAACAGACCAGGTAAGATGGCTTTCTACCGCATTCGAATTAGTAGCGTCAATTTACATAAGTTTCCATTTCTCAGGTTTATGGCGGCTTACAATGCGGCGGAGATGGCGGCCAGAGCTTCGGGTTGCAATGCCGACGAGGTCGAAAAAATGGTATTAAGCGCAAACAAGGACTTTGACGTAAATCTGAGCAACGTTCAGGGTTTCCCGTCGTTCTACACTCAACAAGAGCAACTTGTTACCGTGATCGGCTACGTGGGAGTCACACGACCTCACGACGGATGCCGCGGTAATCCGCAGCCGAATTGTCCTACCTGCAAAAAAAATCATGGGAACACCTCTCAAATACGGGCCAATGAACAGAGAAATTTAGCCTGCGAATACGATAGTTCCGACGAACTAAGGTTCAGTGAAACCGATTGATAATTGTCTTTCCGCTTTTCATTATAATATGTACGTCCTTTATCTGTACTTGTCACTCATGTATCGATTGTTCAATAAATAATAACACAACCGTGGGTCAAGTTCAAAATGAACCGTATGTTGTCTATATATATAAAAAACAGTTGCGAGACTGACTGATAGACAACGCACAGACCGAACTTCAGGCTCTATCTGGCTGAAATTTTGCAGTGCATTCCTATAATGGCATGGATAGCCGCTACAAAAGGATTTTTTGAAATGCCATCCCTAAGGGGTATGGACAATTTTGTTACCTGTGTAGATCGAAGTGAACAGAATAAGAGAAGAATTTGAGAAAGGAGACATTATATTAGACAGCCACACTAGCATTCTGCGTCGCATTAGAAAGGTACATTAAAACAGTTCCGCGTGGCCGAAGTTGGTGAGTAAAATCTAGTCTCTCTGTATTCGCTTGCTTTTCTCTAAGCGACAATAGAGTGGCGTAAGCGTTTCACTACTTTTTCTTGTGCAGGGGAAGGTGAGGTTCTAGAATTCAATAAACTAGGGAGTATATTCTTCAACATTTATTTTACCACATTTCTGTTTTTTATGTACACAATCACATCAAAATTAATCTAACAAGTTGGACACATCTGTAAATCTGGGACGAGTCTATTAACAAAGGGACTTAACTCAAACGACACTCGCCACGATGTATCCACAGCATCTTCAGCGCCTTTTCGGTTTCTCGACCGTTGTCCTGATCCGATGAGTCGCAAAGCTAGAGCTCACTGGCTAAGTCCCCTTGTTGGGTCCCAGTTGGAGTGTGGGTGTATCTGTTCCGGATTGACTCTTGGAGTCGACTGTTTACTGCCTGGGGTAAGTCTTTGACTAACTGTTTTAAGCCTTTAGTCTGATTAGTGTGAGCATTTAAGGAATAGGGATAGGGATAAAAGAGGCAACCACAAGGCCTATTGAGCTCCCCTGTTATTTATAACTCACTGGCCAGCTTCAGGTTATTAATCAGCCTCCACAGCTTTGCCAGCGGCTACTTAGTGTAGGATCTTGCTAGTGGTTTTCTTGTCCAAGTTACAAGAACATAGACCTTCACAGAAACATATAATTAAGGGAGCTTAACTCAGCTTAAGCTTGACTCACTGGTTTGTGCCATTAGTCTAGACTAACTTTTGATTTCCATATATCCCTTTTTGTACCAGTTTCTATACCGGAGTAGGGGTGGAAAGGAAAATCAAAAGTCGGGGTTCCCACGCCACGGGTGGACCGACTAAGACGAGTGACCCGCACCTGGTTTTGACGCGACCTCGATTTACGATGTCCCACGTCGCACATATTTTTGACCTTGTAACAACCCTTCAGCACTAAATAACTCGATGTTAGTTATTTATTAGATCGGTTGTCCAAATATGGCAACTTTGTTTTCCAATGTCGTGTGAAACATCCTGTTGCTTCCGACTGGGTCTACGACACCCTTCAACTTTCTTATTTATTTGACTAACTGTGTAATTATCGGAGGGCTAGGTTTCCTTGGTTTGTTAGAAACGTCTCGTCGCTCCCATCTAATGAACTACTTAATTATTGTAGAGTTTTGTTTCCCAGATTGGTGGTGGACGTCACGTTGATCCTGGATCGCTCCTTCCGATTTATAGTCGATTTTGTGTGGTCGTTTAAACTAATTTTTTGCCCTTATTTTAACAACCACAACTATTCTAATCCTGGGACCGGCTTACAAAAGAACTAATTATGTACTGTGTTATTAAAGGTAATTATATTTTTAAAATCTTGTATTAATTTACGTTATATAGCCTGATCTGGGTCGTTCAAGTCGTTAACAATGAAGAATTAGAATTAGGAGGAACCATAAAACTCATACGTATGTACAACAAATATATTTATTACATTTTCAATCGTACTCAGCGCCTATGGTAATGCTGATGCCTTCGGATACGATCTTGGTCGAGTGGTACCACGAATTGGTGTCCAGGACGACTGAAACAAAAATAAAGCCAATCTATTCTCATTGTTTTCAGCAGATAGATGGAGGTGTTTCTTGTTGAACCGCAATTAAATTTCGCCTTTTAGATATTGTATAAAGGTCATAATTATTTCAAGACTTACATATCTCTCCGGGGTAAATAGTAACCAGGTGAGATTTGCATTCGTAGAGACATTCTGGGGGCGGCTCTAATGTCCAGTTTTTGCTTCCGACTAGTTGAGCCTGCCAAGAAGGATTATTTACGTTGTCCACCTGCAAAAATGCTACTTGCATAACATATGGAAACTTTAATGACCTGTTGAGAACAAGAACAAATATTAACCCGACGATTTTGTTAAAATTATAAACGGAACAGTGACGAGGGTTGGTTTGTTTCAGTAGAATTAAAAAAGAGAAAATAGGATAACTAAAGCGGAGGTGGGAGCGTGCCCGGCGGAGAGGAGCTATGAGTAGACAAAGAGAGGACAAATAAAAGGACAGCGACTGCAAACAGGTCTAGTCCGACAGGCCCGAGAAGAATGACGAGTATATTGGTCGGTGTTCGTCAGATTTTCCTTCTCGTGCTTAGCCGAGGCTGATCGAGTGGTCAAAATGGACACCCGAAAGGGGATTTGTAGCTGTCTCAAGGATGACGATTTTCCCACCATCTGAACTGAGTCAGGAGGTATATTCATTAGGGTAGACCCGAGGAGGAAGACGGGGAGAGGATGTCGGCGGTTCGTCATATTTTCCTCCTTAGGTACGGTAGAATCCATCCTAGACGAGGGATCAAGATGGATACCCGGAAGTGGATTTGCGGCGGCCATGAGGAGGATGCTCTCTCATCGTCGGGGCAAAGAAGAGGATTCTCAGGAAAATTCACCAGAGGAACACTGAGAACATGTACCGGTCGCCTCCCGTAACTAACTTTTGTGCATGACACTTGAAGTTGACCGTTAAGCGAATGAGGCTTTTATACAATTTTTGTTTTTAGATTTTAAGTAGCGAAGAGATCATATGTAGTATTTTTGGTATGTTTTGTTGGTTAACCACAATCATTAGTTTTATTTAATATAGTTAAACAGTAGGAAATATTTCAATTTTGTACCATGTTCTTAATAAAGGTTTTATTTATTTTTAAAATATAATTCGACATTTTATTTTATTTATTTATTTATTTTTAAATTCATCAGAGTTCGTGGTCCGATTGACCGAATATCGTTTTTCAATTAATTAATCTTTATATAAAGTATTGGTTGAGATAAAAAGTTAGTTTATTTTTAAAGTTAAATCATCAAGAAGAAATCTTTCATATGGTCACCTAAGGTTCAGGAAAAGCTGGAATCTTTAGGTTATTACAATCTTCTCCTTTGCTGGGGTTTTTATTTTATTTATTTATTTTTAAATTTATTTTTTGGTTCTTTCTTATTTATTATTTTGTCCGGTTCAACTTTTTTCTTTTTATTATTTCTTTCTTTTTGTCCCATGGTATTTAACTTTTTTTACCTACCCCCGTCCCTATTAAAATATGGGATTACGTCGGTCAATTTTGGGCCGTAACAAGATAATCTACCAACCTACAGCGTTGTGCTGTTATACATTAATGGACCCCAGGTTTTCTGAAGAAGCTTAAATGTGAATGTATAAGACCTCGAGTGTTTCCATTCATCAAAAACCCCAACATTCAACATCTTGTTCATGTTCAACAATTATTAACAATTTTGAAAAAAATGTTGAAATTAGACAACTATTATATTTAAATGTGTGTTAAATTATAAACAATTTAAGTGGAGGTAACTTACATGCAAATGAGCCCCGTACCCTGGGCTTCCCATGAAAATCCAGTCGGTGTTCTTGTTTTCCGAGTTTTCTGGAAGAAAGTACGGCCTGGTATAATGCTGTCTCAAAATCCTTCCCACCTTGTCATCGCAGTTGCTCCTGTATTATACTCAAATCGGTATAACAACAACGAAAATAGGCTTGCAGAAATTGTTAGCATTATATTATTTGTTATTGTATTGTAATTCTAATACAGTTTTTCTTTAATTAACAATTTATGTTTTGTAATGAATCTATATTAGCTCTCCTAAGTATATTTGTAACTACTGTATAGTTTTCACAGGCTTTGCCTATGAAATAAATAAATTAACAAAGACCCTAGGAAGAGAAAATGAAATTCCACTTGTTTAGCATTGTGGTACTGTGAGAAATAAAATGGGAAACTTGAAGAGTTAAATTCGTAATACAAGGTACAAGGGTAGAATTAATCCTTTCACTTTGGTGAGAAATAATTAAATTCTGACAACTCACCAACCGATGTACCAAGGCGCTGTACCGTCAGTCAGACGTGCCCTTTCCTCGCTCATTTGAAAAACATGCCACAGAGATCTGAATTCTGTCTGGTAAGGGAAAAACTGGCATTTCTCCTGGGCCGTGCTATCAGCATATAAAGCCTTGAAAAACTCAAAATCGAATACTTGTGGTGCTGTCCAGTTCCTCATTCCGTCAGTAATTATGACCGGTCTTCCGCTGAATGCGTAACTAAAACAAAAATACATTGGATTTCAATGAACATGATCCGAGATGTTAACAACTCTTGAGAAAATTACTCAACAAATTAAAGCTCATGAACAAATCTATTGAACACATTTTAGTGGATGTAATTAAACAGGTTTATGGCTTGACCTTTCAAGGAAAGCAAGTTTCTTTGTATTGGGTAAAAATGGCACGCTGGAATCCCCTGATAACGAGAAAGTAGATAAAACTAAATCCTGGGGTCCCATTTGTTGGGTTTAAAATGACGTCCTTCGACATCCAAAGGAATCTTAAAACAGAAATTCAACAGAAATGGGAGAAAAAATACCAGTCCTCTTCAATAGGCAATCACTATCGTTTTATATTTCCAACAGTGCAGAAGAATAATTCCTGGTATGCTATCGCAAGCATTCTTTAGCACCATCAGCAGGTTGGTCACTATATTTGCGGGGCCTACCATTTCAGAATAGGTAAAAGAAATACACCCAATTGTGAAAAATGCGATGTAAGAGAGAACGCCCATTGGCTGCAGGAGTACGAAGAATATAGAGAGAATTTTTACAAAACGTAGATGGACATAAGGCCTTGCAGAGGCCTTTTAATTTTGACGCACTAATATCAAGAGAAAACAAAAGTATACGCTGAGATAGTGGAGTTATTAAATAATTGTGGTCTAGAGGTTTAAGGAAAGCTTAAGATTTATAAATTGCACATAACCACTATCTCATCTGAAAAAAACATGGCTGATGGAACTACCGACGGAAAAACAAAGAAAAAAAATTGAAACTGGAAATTCAAGTTTAGAAAAATATAGTGGTTTTATGTTACAATTTTTCATTCCCTACATGATACACTGTATTTAATTACAAGACTTTTACTATACTATATATATATATATATAAAATCACAAAAGACTCAGAAGAAAAACGCGCCGATCTTTTATCAATATTTTTATAAACGTATCATGTTTGTCAAACATAATAGTTAATCACGTTTTTTGAAATTGTATATTGCGATCTATCTCCACTTCAATCATATATCAACTATATTTTTTAGAAATTACCAACAATAAGAAAAAAAAATTGTATTATTTTGGTCATTACCATTTTTTCTTACGTCGGCGAGTTATTTTTACTTTTAACTTACCGATCTTCGAATTCTTGCGGTGTTAAGTTAGAGACACGATCGATTTCGTAGACGTCCCTGCACATCTTGCAGTCGACAGGAGGACGGAGGGCCCTGGATATGAAATCTGGCATCCATACAGTACACTGGACCAAACAGGAAGAAAAGAAATAAGAAACTTATTTCAGGTGCAAGATAAGTAACTAAATATACATAAATACTTTTGTAAGATTAAGTAGGATTCGAATTCGACCTTGCAGTTAGTAATAATTCAGGTATTATTAAGATTTTTGTGTGCTTTTTTGTCAGTGTGTAAATTAATAATTAAGCGAGTATTTCCTCTGTTGAGAACCTTACGTGTTTTCAATTAATACAAAATCCGCTTTTTGTCGTTTCTTCATACAGATAATTTATAAGGATATGCATGATTAATGATCATTATATTATGTTCTTGTTCTACAAATGTGCCTACTATTTTAAGCTAGATCATGATTGTTTTAAAATGTCCGACATTATATACAGGGTGGTCAGTTCGTCGTGTTAACAAAAAAATCAATGACAGTAGATTTAAAATGGAGTAGAATGCCGTAAAGTTCATTGGTTTTACCTCAATCCGTTCAAAAGTTATAATTTTTTTAGTGTTTATTTAACACGTTTCTTTACATAAAACCTGCGTTTTCTCTACTTTAACGGAACTTTTCTCTTCTTTTGACCCAATTTTTAAATGTAGCACCGAATTTGCTTTTAGATTTTAGATTGTTGGAAAAATTGCCAGCCTACTTACAAAATAACTGCACAAATATGAAATTTTCGAAAAGGTAATTTTGTGCAACTTCTTTAAACCGAAGCTTACTTATATTTGGCTTCCGAACTACCTGTGGTAGGGGCTTTGTATTTATGCGGGAAGTCGAAAAAATTGTTATCCTCCAAAATCGAAATTTCCATTCTCATTTTGCGTTGCAGACCTGTCTGAACAAATTGGTTGTCTGTCTGTGGTCAATTCCTTGTAACCGGCAAAACTCCGAGACCAATTTTTATGAAATTTCAGAGATTCTGCGGTTGGATTCCAGACGGTCTCCTATGAGTGTTATCCCAATCGGATCAAACCTAAAATCGTGTACAGCTTTATCTCCGAAACCATATGCCAAATTCTTATGATTTTTTAAAATGTAAAACCAGCTACAAACTTCTATGAACTTTCCAATGGTCTATTCGAAGCTTCAATTAGTTTGATTTTTTGATGGGCAGTGACGTATCCTGGCACTAAATGCATGGCCCATCGGGCTTGTAAATTAATAAGTAACAAATACATTCTGAAATAGTTTGGGACAAACTGTTCTTCAGAATAAAGTTGACACATTTTAAAAGAACAAACTTCTCACGTTTGATAAAAAAGAATGTGAAGCAAACATTTTTAACAAAAGTTACCACAGGGACATTGAGAAAGAGAGGATACTTTAAAAATCGAATAAAATAGCAGGTTAACATTTTTTTAAAATGTTTGTCACATTCATTTTCTTTTTTTTTTAAGTGTTAATTTTTATTCTGAAGTACAGTTTGTTTCTTTGCTAATAAATTATTTCAGAATGCATTTGCTAATTATTAATTTACATGCAAGATCAACTCTTGGGCCATGCATTTAATCCCTTGTACACGTCCTGGTCCCCCGGACCACGTTTTTCCAACTTCCAACTGAAATTGCTCATTAAAAAATCAAAATAATCCAAGTTTCGATTAGACCGTTGGAAAGCCCATAAAATGTTGAAGCTTTTAGCAGATTTGACATTTTAAAAAACGTAAAAAAAGGAATGTAAGGGCGCTGCGATTAAAAGAAGTTGATCCATAATATTACCATTTCGAAAAGTTCATAATGTTTGTGCAATAATTTTCTATGTAAATTGGGAATTTTTAAAACAAAAGTGGACTAATTTAAAAGGAAATTCGGTCTAAAATCTAAAAATGGGTTCAAAAGTTGGCAAAAAAAAACAAGTTAGAGTAGAAAAATTCAGGTTTTATGTGTTTTTATTAAATAAACACTAAAAATTACTATCTTTTGAACGGGTTGTGATAAAATCATGAGGTGTACGGCATTCCACTTCACTTTTGATGAACTGTCCCGAAATTTTTTTTATCACGACGAGCAGACAACCCTGTATACCTCTTGTGTTTAAGATTGTGGTGTTGAACGAATAAATTAATAACATGTATCATTTTTATGTTTGAATTGGAAGAAAGGTAACGGAGTGGCGTAACATCTATTGTCACCGTCACCGGCCATCCTCGTCTGCTTATTCGAGGGCGGACCGCAGAGAAGCATCTGTCGAACAAAACGTTGTTTAAATCCGTTTAAAATTTAACCAACTTGTTTCGTCCTTCTAATAAATCGGGTGATATTAAAAAGTGAGCTCTTGAAATAAGTTCGCTTTTCGCGGAAGATCGAATTAAGAAACTACAAAATAAACTTCTTCTATGTGAAAATGTTTTAATAACGACAATATTATGTAAAGATAATTTCCGTGTCCAAAATTTAAACATTATCCCACTGATGAACTTATAAGTGTAAGTCGTTTCAGTCTCCACAATAATAAAACAGTCAACTAGTTCTGTCGCTTGTCAGGATCGTTTTAGTCTCGAAACTGAAGAGAAAGTTCACCTTTTCGGATAATGGGTCCCTTTTGTTCCAGTAGATCCAAGCGACTGCGATGCCACTAGTGGTGTACAATTCGGCTTTGAAGACTAAAGCGAGGATCCCAGTGAAGGCGAGGAAGTACGGAATGCGCGAAGACGGTTTATGAGGACGTCGGGCCGCCACCATCCTGGCGAACCTTTCGCGCCCCACACCCAGCTTCTTCGCCTCGTTGACTATCTTCAAAAATCGTTCCTTCGCCTCCTCTACTTCGTCCATTTTCTATTCCACCTGTTTCAATCCAAGCGGATGGAGGCCCACCTCTGGAATGAGCCTCTCGTGAGGGTGTTCCCAACGAAAAGAGAAGACGTTCCTCAGCGCATGCACCTCAAACTCGGCAACCGCTCTAACGCCCTTCTCTAAAATGCGACATGCCCTTTCTTTCTTATCCAATCAGAAGTCACTGCTACGTGTTCTTTTCTTCACTAAACGTATTAATTTCAATTAGCTCGATTCGCTACAGTCCTGAGAGCAAATAGGATAAGTGCCCACCAGTTGCCAACCGCCAGAAATCTAGTTATATTAATCCATTTATGTTTAGTTATGTTACCATATTAATTATGTCAATTAATTATCCGTTTTATGTAAGGTTGGTTGAGATAAAAAAGAAGTCACGATAGCTCAGTCGTCGTATTGAATCCCGCTCATGACACTAACTTTTTCATCTCAACCAAGACCTTGCATAAAAAGAATAATTAATTGAACTAATTATATTAATAATTTATTATACTCAGTAATTTTATAAATAACTGGCAAAACTCTAGCTGTACATTATTATATATGTATATATTTACTACCGTATTTAGCATAAATTTTCGTTTCCAAACACTAAATGGTAATGGATCGCATGTCTAATGTCAACTTCCAAACCACATTAACGTTGTGTACCCTTCTGAAAAATTCTTCTTTGTAGTAAAAAACAAACAATTCACTAGACAAAAGTTATGGAAGTAGTACTTGCTCATATAATTTTTCGTACTTATCTGAAATATTTATGTTTAACATTTTCAACGAGGCGTCAGATATCGTGTTTCAATAAATAAAATAACATTTCCACGGAACACCGAGCAATCGTAAGTATCGAGGGTAGATTTAATTTATTTGTTTCCTGGCGCTTCATTACGCTTTTCGAGTCAGTGAGTTCAAAAGCTATTTTCAAAGATTTTACACCTGTTTAAACAGGCGCAATAAAACGGGTTTTGTGATGAACAGTGATTGTAATAATTATTGGATAGCGGAGCTTTTCTTAATTACAATCAGATCTACGTCCCGTTTCTACAGCTTACAATCTAATAGGGAAAAATTTGGGTTTCAATGCCAGTCTAGAAAGCAAAATCTTTCATTAAATAAATGATGAACGGTGAAAATTAGAAATTTAGTATGAACTGAAGGCAAAAAAATGGGCTCAATGACCTTCCAAATAAACACATTAAAAAATGATAACAATAAAAATAAAACACAAGAATACCTGGGATTTAAAACCAAATCTTGCAAGTTCATTTGTTTACGGATAATCGTACGACGGAGTGTATCTCTAATTAATTTAATTTCCTTCATTAACAAAACTTACGATCGATCTAGGGCAATATTTGGAAAAAAGTCTTCAGGTCAGTTTTATTATCGATATTATTATTCCGGATACATGTTTTGTAAACTGCGTTACAAACACTGAAACTAACATCATTGATTTATTCGTTTTTGAATAAAACTCGCCTGGCGAATTTGACTACGGACTTTAGCACTGGTAAACGTGGTTACTACAGGTCTGGAATTGATTACATCAGAATGGGGCAAGGATTGAGTTAGGATTGCTTGATAGCTGTGGCAGGTGTTCTCAGTTCAATCCACGAGACCCAAATGTCCAATTTGTGGCTCATCGACCACAGGTTCTGTTCTTGCTCGTTCAGCATGAGTCCAGTTCAGAGCGATTCTTAATTGAGTTATAACAAAATTGACAATCGGAAGGTTTGGTCCAGATTGAAAATGATTGACAAAGGACCATTGACAGGAGCCATTAATTAACACGCATCATTTACTCAAGAAGATGATCACCTGGATTACTCGGAGTATTAATTGCCCTCTTGAAAAGCTGAAGCTGCTTCACTGCAAATATTTCTGCATTTTGCTGTTTTTGAACGCAGATAGAGAGAGAGAGAGAGAGAGAGAGAGAGAGAGAGAGAGAGAGANAGAGAATGAGTGAGTGAGTGAGTGAGTGAGTGAGTGAGAGAGTGAGTGAGTGAGAGTGAGTGAGAGTGAGAGTGAGAGAGAGAGAGAGTGAGAGAGAGAGAGTGAGAGAGAGAGAGTGAGAGAGAGAGTGAGAGTGAGAGTGAGAGTGAGAGTGAGAGAGAGAGAGAGTGAGAGAGAGAAGGGAGCACAGCTCACGACGAGTGCCTGAGAAAATAACACAAGACACACTTGTGCCCGCGCACGCCAATTGCTGCTGTCTTACTCATAGGTAGTTCATCTAAAATAGATATATAGGTATATATTTTTATCTGAAGACAATTATGTTTATAATAAAGTATCTCTAACATAGATTTGGCAAAATATAAAATGAAATCGCGAAATGATCAATGATTTCCCAGTACGGGAATTATACGGTTTTTGTATAGTTGATAAACAATACAACCGTCACATTTGTGAGAAAAAAAGTTGAATGAACCTATTCAATTGGCATTGACGAACAACTGTCTTTAAAATATACTTCCTAATTTCTAGCAAGCTCGTCTTTAACTTTATCGCATAATACATTTAAATTGAATTTTACGCTTTTGCCGTTGAAATGGAAACGTTTATTCCTAGGGTATGTATGAACTATTTAACCAGTAGTCAATCAAGCATATGACCGGATGTACGTGAATTTTTTTTTCATACGATATACATTTAACTCCGTTCTATCACTTTGACAATATTACTGTTTTAAGAAGGCAATTTCTTAAACAATATTCTCACAGAATCTCAATCCTGTATACATGAAACAGATGAAACACATGAAAAAGATGAGTGCAGCAATGTGGGCATCTGGCAATAATTTTTCTTTTGAATTTACGATTATATCGTATTAACTTTAATACTTTCGAATGAACTTAAGTTCTTTTATAGGCTCAACAAATTTCCAGGTCACTTAACACTTAGGTCCCTTTCTATTTAACATCTTCATTAATGATGATCTCTTCTCTTGACACTCTCAACACACTTCTCCCAATGATGATGCAACTTCACTATACCCTCTGAATATAAATTTGAGCCTTTATTATTTACAAATTCTGTAAACATTTTCTATCGTCTTTTGATCAACAATGTTTTTTATGTAGTAAAACGTTGTCCAGGTGTCAGAAAAATGGTAGTTGCTAAGCGAGAGGTCTGGATAATAAGGAGAGTGAGGCAGAACCTCATAACCAAGGACCAAGATTAAATAGTTTTCGTGTTGTCACATGTGAGACATGTGGCCGAGCGTTGTCATGTAACAGAATCGGCCTTTTCCGATTGATCAAAGACGGCTTCGATAATGCCAATTTCTGGTGCAATGCTTCAATTTGAGAGCAGTACATTTCGACAATGATTGTTTAGCCAGGATTCAAGAAATTTTAGAAAATCAGCCCAAATGATGCCCACCAATGAGTCATCATCTTTTCTTGATGAGTGGCGGCTTTGGAAAATGTGGTGCTGCTTCTCCTTTCTCGAGCCACTGTCCAGAACGTCTACTATTATTGTTTCACTTTTTATCACAAGTAACAATTATATCCAGAAAAGGTTCGTTTTCTATTTCGGCAAAGAAGTGTGCAAACTTCATAACGATGATTTTTTTGGCGGTCGTTTAATGTATAAAGGACCCTAATTTCGAGCTTTTACACCTTTAATGTGGTCAGCGACGACGTTTTGCTAACTGAAAGATTCTCTGCAAGTCTCGAACAGATTTATGGTATTTTCTAAGATCAAAGCTCGCAGATCATCATCTAGGGAAGAAATCCTTCCACGACCTTCTTTGTCTTCAAGACGTTTCACATCGCCCCTAACTTCATTAATGTTTCTGGTCGTTTGGGCACTGTTACAACCGAGTTTATACTCATAAAACGAAATTACTTGAAAATCACGCGTTGACATATTAGTAAAGACTGAATTATTTCCAAATAACTAATAATCTACTGAGGTAAAACAACATTTTTGTTTGGAAGAGGATAAAAAGTATTTACATTCTTACAAAAGAATCCATCCAACATAAACAGTTTACTATATAGAGGGGTAATTGAAAGAAAACATGGAAACCTGCATTATTTTCCAGACAGCCCAATAATATTAAGAGTAAAAATGATCAAATATCTTGGTATTCACTTCGACCAATCTCTTTTCTTTAATCAACATATCAACCGATGAGCCAATAGAGCAAACAAATTATTATTTGTATTAGTATTCCTCCATTTCTACCCTCCTGTACATTTCCCTTGTGCGTTCCCTATTATAACACTGCTCCTTAATCTGGTCCCACTACAATACATAAATTAAATTATCACCAATTCCTTAGTTGGCTAGGTTGCAGCAAAATGGGTATATCCTATTATGATGATCCCATTCACATCCTGCAGCAGAAACCAAGTTTAATTTCCCTTGAATATCAACTTAACTACACTTGAGGCTCTATTCTTGTATAAACTTCTTAACAACAATATATACTCCCTGAGTTACTTCAACTAATAAATTTCCACATCCCCACTAACCGAACCCGATTTGGCTCACTCTTTTCCTACCTGTATCATTCTCCTATCAATAGGCTACACAGACTTGTAAACAAAATTAATAATAATATCAACTTCTTTAACAACTTTCTTGACCAATTCAGAAATTCTTTAAAATCACTCTAGTCACTCGCTACCTTCATTATCTTCCCTTATATTCCTATCATTAGATATTATATATTCCACATATCGCAAGTTATATTCAAGTATTTTATTGTATTAATGTGATATTGATTTATTTGATGTTAGTATTATTACGATTTTTATCACACAATTTAATTGCTAATTTCATATATTATTATATTTTAGCTTTTTATTTACGGCTTTTTTTACATAAATTGTTGCAATAAAACAAAACAACATCAACAAAGATCATCACAAGATTTTCTCATGGTCAGTTGACCTCCTGAGGGACTGAGCATTCTCAATTAAATACATTTATCAGATATTTATAATATGTGAAAATAGAAATACAAGTAATATAATCATACAAGTAAATAAATCGATGAAATGGAATGAGATAAGGTTACAAATTATAAAGAAAAGAAAAGAAAAAGTAGAGCTGAAAATATATTTCTAAACTATGATTTAAAATTAATAATATTATGTAGTTTAATTATTTTTCAACTTAATAAAAATTAATTAAACTAAACCAATTTTTCCGCTTAGGTAATTCAGAAAAACTTGTGTTAAGGTTGATTTTTTTTAAATAAATGGATATAAATTCTTTCAAAAAAATATTCTTTTCTTTTGCTTTGTGGCAAAGGGAATATTTTTTTAATACTTTTTGCAAAGTTATATTTGTCAAGTTGTGTAGGTTCTCTTGGAGCTTTTAATATCCAACTAATCTCTATACAATTTAAATTTTCACACTAAACCTAATTTAAGTATTTATTTAGTTGTTTAGGATATCAATCATAAGTGATATTAGATGACAGATACATATTGTTCTCTTAAATTTATGTTAACTTAATTTATAACATCTTATATGTCCAGTTCCCCCACCAATTAGACCAGGTAATGAAATGTTATGAGAATTAGATCTATTAGATGATAATCCCATTTACAAATATAATATAATTGTAATTTAAGTGTAAATAGAAATGTTTTAACATTATTTTTATTATTATTTACAATTATATAGTACTAATCATAAAAAGGAACATCAAAAATAAAAATAAATAAATAAAACAAAAAACAACTGTACGATTATTGCACAATTGTTGCACAAAATAAAAAGAGCTGCACTTTCTGAGGTTGATTGATTAAAAAAAAACCCTCACCAAAATCCTTGACTATTTTCCAGATAGCTTAATTAACAGTTGTAAAAATGATTTTAGGACACAGATTCCACAGAAGATTTTAGGCCGACATCTTCAAAGGTGAAATCTGAACAATTTCTATCACAACTGATTAAAACATCTATACTGAGGCAGATATACAGACAACAGGATTCATGCATGGATATGATTGAGGTCTTGATATTAACCAGTTGTGTCATGCTATTTGTAAGCTAAAACCTTTAGACAGACACATAGACGTAGTTAAACATACAGATATTATCATTTTTTTAGTGCAGTGGAATGATCGGGATTGTATTTACAAGCTATAGATGGTATTTTCTTCTGACAATATTTCAAATGAGTAATTATAATATGACTATCATCCCAAGTGTTCTCTTCTTAATAAGTGGCTTGCTACAACTAATTAGTTCTGTCATGTTGTTCTTTTGCATCAACTACTCAGATAAACGATATGCCAAGAAATTTGGTTTAGTGGTAAAGACATGTATTCAATTAATTGTATTTTTTTTTTTCATCTCAGATTTTTACAAATTTGCAATTTTAGAAATTCATGTTCAGTTGTTTAACAGATTCCTATCTACATACAGTTAGAGCCCTACTTATCCAAACATGTTTTGTTCATCAGAGAGGAGATACTTTACTTTACAAAACTTTTTTTTTTTTATTAAAAAATTGCTATTCAGCTTATCAAAAGTAATCAGGCTAGGTATCCATTGTATCTGCTGGATTGCAAAATCAATGTGTACAAATCCATTTTAGCACAAAGTGAAATCATTATTAAATTAAAGTAATAAATATGTATAATTTGTTAACCACACTTTTAGTATAATAATACTACTACTACTACTTGAATTATCCAGAATAATGTCCTGTTTTAAATTTTCAGATACTTTTGATGTGCAATTTCAGTGCAATTTTCCTGGCTTTGTTGCTAACCTGGGTCTTTATAGTACCCATAGAAAATGAATGGAAAGTAGGAGAGAGGTTGAATGCGACAATCCCTATAGGTCCATCCATGAGCAATTATTCAATAGTTTCATGGGACACATTGCAAAAAAAGGTACCTGAAATTCTGACATCATAGAGATAAAGAATAACTATTAACTTTTTTTTATTAAAGATGTAAATATTATATGTACTGTATTATGTACATATAATATAAAATGAATATAAGAAAGCTACTAAATAAATCCAAATCTCTTTACAGTGAATAGCGTTTTGTGTGTGCGTGCGTGCGAGCTTGTGTGTGTGTGTGTGTGTGTGTGTGTGTGTGTGTGTGTGTGTGTGTGTGTGTGTGTGTGTGTACACTCACCGAAGTGGTAAATGCATTCTATACAAAATTAATTTCAAAATTTCAAATGCTTACATACTTTCCCTTTAAAAAAGATAGTACATTATTTAAAGCGACATAAAAGCATCACATTCATGGTAAAAGCCATCTGTAGTAAAATCATTTATGTTAGTTCTTTTGCTGCGGAATACATAACGACAGTGAATGGCTTGTTCTGAATTTACCATTGCCTCCGCATTGCTGTCGAAACTCTAAGGTAAACTGATATAGTATAATACAAATACATCAATAATTTTAAAAAATAATAAAACTAATAATTTGTTTAAAGAATGAAAGTACAACATCTTTTAAATGTTCCAAACAAGGATGCTCGAAGAAGTTGGTAGATTACATAAAAGAGGGTAACAGTTTCTTCACAGGTTTAGCATGTGTGAACATTGTGAATAACGTGAGTATCTCTATTTCCTATGTTTCTGCTTTTTCAAAATGTAATACAACTTTAATATTAAAGAAAAACAATTCAATATTTAGATGATTTTGATTCCTTTTCTCATCTACCTTACTGTAGTGTGCAATTATCCTGTGGTGATAAAAGTGGACACATCAAAAGGAAACTCAGACAAAATAATATCTGTTGTTTCGAGTCTTACAAAAATGTTGAACGAGGTTGGCATACAACCAGCAAAGAAAGAGAGTAATTCCAACTACAAAAACTGGTTTTTTCACATTTCGAAGTACATTTGGAAAAACAATTAAATTAGCATGTGTTTTAATATATTAATAATTTACAAAGTAAAACAAGTACTTACATGAATAGATAAAAATCTGTTTGTAGAAGAAAAAACAATGTATTTTCATTATGCTGCATCAGGAAAAGAAGATGAAAGTGAGTCAAGAATGAGTGACCCAGGATTATCAAAATGCTAAAAGTTTGAATTTCTAATTTTCCAGTTAAAATGACTGAACTTATGGATATGAAAAGAGAACACATAAAGCAGCCTCCAGAACTTAAGACGATAAGAGGAGAACATTTTTATAAATCGATGCAATATGGATTGCGAATTGTGAATGGGATCAACACTGTGAGTGAGACATGTGAAATAATGCAAGTTTGTGACTCAGTAGATGTATTTATGACAGCAGTTTAAAAGCACTCTGCTTCACCGTTTTCTTATGTGGGTAAAGAGTCAAATTGTACATTTTGAATACCAGTGATTTGACAAAATCTCTTTGTCTAATTCACGGGGGAAGAAATGGATAGAAAAAATATTTTTAAAATTTTAATATGTAATTACACTGATCCAGCGTTCTTGAAGGTTTTGTAAACAATTTCCAAAAGCAAGTAAAACCTATAGAAATAAAAATAATCTATTTTCCTAATTTTAAACACCGGAAACATTCTTCATTTAAATATTACCTACTTGTTGCATTTGCTATTTACAAAATGGTCACTATTATTTCCATTCAGGTCCTCAGCATATCATTTCTATTAATAGGAATGATTTTGGTATACAAAAGAGAAGAAGGATTTGTCATTATTCAGAAAGACACCTACCAATCGCTTTCAACAGCCATGATGTTAAATGGAGCTGCAATGACATTATTTTCTCTCTTAGGGTTTTTCACTCTACAAGTCACTTCAAGAAAATATTTGTTGCTATTTGTAAGTCATACTATCATCTAATGGTTTACTATGAACATATTACGGTTGAAAAAAACATTAAATTTTTAAAAGAATAATAAATTTAAGAACTTAAATTCACTATTTTTCGTGGTCCACTTGACCAATTAATAACATTCAATTAATTAAGGTTTTAAGTTGAAATAAAAATGGCAAATAGGAGGGAAAATTCAAAAGGTGGGGTTGAGATGGGAAGTTAGTGCCCAAGGGGATCGAAGTCACGATAGCTCAAGTGGTAGAGTAGCAGCGTATCAAGACGAAGATCATAGGTTCGAATCCCGCTTGTGACACGGAAATTTAAGAACTTTTCATTTGTTAGCATTCTTTTACAATTAATATTGTTACAGACGCTCAATAAAATAATAGGTCAAATAACAAGTCAAAGCTTTATCAGTTGACTAAACTAAAATTCTTTCCAGCATGCTATTGTGGGTGCTGTATTGTTGGGTAATATAGTCGTATCAATACTCAAGATACCAACAGAAAATGATATTTTAAACCAAACCAAAGAATATCTGTATAAAAGCTTGGCTATGTATTACAACGATTCTACTTACCATTTTGTATGGGATAATTTGCAGTATAGGGTAAGTGATTTTATATTTATAATATCCTCCTTTAACTTTCCTGAAATTGAAATTTTAGATGCATTGCTGCGGTATTCTTAGCTATAGAGATTGGTGTCATAATAATAAAGACAATGTTTCGGTTTGTGACATACCTACTAGCTGTGCCCACTGCAATTTACCATGTGTAAGAAACAATAATTAATTGTTACATTTAGAAATACATTTTAGGAAAAATAAATGTTTTCAGCACAAATCAGCACACCAGAAAAATAATTTCAAGTTCCACGTAGATGGCTGCCTCCCTCTAATTAATGGATATATAATGTGTGCAGTTATCTTTCAAAAAACAATAGATTTTTTAATGCTTGGTTTAATTGTATGCACATTTATTCCATCTTTAAGATATTCATTGCAACATTTATGCTATTTTTCAGGCAATTTCATCAATAATGTCTATATTTGTATTTTATGAAGTGTTCAATAATCCCCCTTCATGATGTTGAATCCACTTTTGAAAACACACTAACACTTTCAACACAACTAATAATACATGACTTACGAAACCGAGAGTAAATTTTCAAGAAAATTATTTTAGTTACTTAATTACAACATTCAAGACATTCTTCTTGAGGGTGTGATTGATTTGGTTGATCAGGGATGGTAGTAGCTTGGGATCATCAGAGGCGGGTCGATGGCTGGTGAGCAGGGTGTATCCAGCGTTCCCTAGGAAAGTTTGCCCTTTGATCTCTGGACAATGAGGACTTTGCCAGTAAGTATTTTGTAAATGTTTTAATTGCACCTTCCATATGATCTCCAACAAAAACTCATTCATCCATGCCTGTCAATCTACTTGAAGGAATTATGATTTTAAAACCAAATTTCCATTGTCAGTCTAGATCATTTTTTTTTTTTTTTTCAAACGTCTTCCTGTAATTTTCTTTACCTTTAACAATAATTTTAGAGTAACTAGTTAGGAACAATCGTGAATATGTTTAGAAAAAATATGGAGGTAGGTGCTTTTGGTAGGCATCTTATTTTTTTATTTCTTATTTAATCGTGCTTACTATATTTCAATGTCGGGAATAAGAATGGATAGATACATGCATTTTTAGAACAGCATATTTTATTAAAATTTATTCTACATTTGAATAAAATTTATTCAATTTTATGTAAAAATATATATTTATATGAAACTCATAAAGAGCAATGTCCAGTTAACATTCATAGGATTGTAGAGTACCTTTTCAGCAACTTATTAGAAAAAATTGATGTAGAGTTAGTATATCAATTCACTGGTTCATTTTCAAAGAATAGTCACAAACAGTTTGTGAATAGAACTGTCCTTTCCAACCAGTATGAAACTTATTCCAATATCCTCCTTTCATGAATAGAAGGGAAAAGATATTAAATTTTTTTCCGACAGTCAGGCCAGTCTAAAATCATTACAAAAAGAACTATCAACATCTAGACTGGTAGAGGAAACCGTTGAACTCATTAATAGGACTATCACCAGGTATGAGAATAGGGTAACCCTCGTATGGATACCTGCTCATAAGGGGCACTATGGCAATGAGGAGGCGGACAGCCTGGCCAAGGAAGGTTCAAATACTGAGTTCGTCGGACCACAACCGGTATTACCCCACTCTTTAAGCACAGCAAAAGAGAGTATAGGTAGCTGGGGCATGAAACAATTCCTAAAGGAATGGAATATGTCCCCAGGATGCAGACAATCGAAGGAGTTTCTGAAGGAAATCAAACCTAAAGAATCGAAATGGCTATTCTCTAACTCTAGGAGGGGAATAAGGAGGCTGATAGGTATCCTAACGGGCCATTGCCCCTTGAGAAGACACCTCTTCATAATGGGTACTCTACCAGACCCCTTCTGCCGCTTCTGCGAAACAAAAGAAGAAACGGCCCGACACTACCTCGCAGAATGCGATAGGTATGCTAGGGAAAGATTTAATACTTTCGAAGGAGAGGACATAACCAAAACACTCCCCAGGATAAAATGGTCCACAATCCTGGGGTTTGTGAATAGGTCCAAAAGGTTTATGCAGGACTCGTGAGCCGACCAGGTCCCGGACCTTTTAGGGATGGGGTACGGGACTACTCTGGCTTTTAAACCCTCGGGTCCTGGTCGCCCGCCCTGTGTAATATGTATGACCTTTCATGAAAATTCTCTGAGAGATCAAATATGTCAATTCCATCCTTGAACAGTACTTTTTTTGGTTTTTATGGACCAATAATGCATAAATCATATTTGGTCTGCGTTTTCACTCTGGAAAAGGCATTTATTTCCATGCCCAAATGTGTATCACATATTATAAAAGGAAGGCAATACAAATCAACCACAACCTTGTCTTCACTAACACTTTCTTCACCATTTTTTTTACCATCATCATGTGAAAACCGAGTAATTAGGATGATATCCAAATTTAGCCCACCATGTAAACATCATGAAGGGGAACCCCCAATGAGCAATTAGAAGTATATATGTTACTTCAAAAATAATTAGGGATGGTTAATAATTTAAATTAAAACAAAAAATTAATGTCAAGCGAAACTCGAACCCATGACTTCCGGATCTATACCCGGCACTCTAACCCCTTGAGCTATTGTGGCTTCGGTCCTCCGCGACACCAACTCATCATCTCAATCTCCAACTTTTTTAAAGTTCCCTCTTTTTGCATTTTAATCAAATTTTGTATAATCAGATTCAATTCTCAGCGACTCAATGAGTAGTGATTTATCTAATTATTTAAATTAATTTATAATTTTCATCTCAACCATACTTTAAATAAAAATTATAAATCATTACTTTAGTAATTGGGACCAACTAAAATACTGTAAATAACGTTTATTTTTATTTATTTATTTTAAACAATGGTATTTCAACTATGCGGTTATATGAACCCTGGGCCGAAGTTTTCTGGAAAAAACGTCATGGTAGTTTAAGGAACATTTCTGCATCCTCAGGACAGAAGTGTACAAGTCAGAATTGCAATTTTAAAATTTAAATCTACTGTACAAATTAAATTTTTTATCTTTTTATTTTTTATTGTGATCACATTTCAATGTAGTTGTTGTAATAAATAAGTTGACACTGGATTATGTTCACTTACCTCATTTTGACAAAATTTTACTTATCCAATTTTGAAGCAAGGGTAGAGGGGAACTGACAAAACCATGTACATGGTTTATAGGGGTATAGACAGCCACAAGAGTTTAGGCGTTGACATAGCGTTCATCTCTTCAAGGTAAAGGTCCCATGTTCAGATCCAACATCCACATATTTCCAGTCACAGTTTAGTAGATGGCTCACCCCTACTGATACAGATGGGTAAATCCTAACCCAATATATTTTAAAAAGTGAGACCGATTATTATTTATTCTAACTGAACCCTCCTTCTATTGCAAAGCTTCTACACAGAATCAGAATAAACTTGTAATAATTACAGATGTTGCTATGATACTGTTTCAGTAATAATGACTACAAATGGTAGTGAGAGTGTCAACCCATTTGAATTTGTGTAATTTCTTCAAAGAATCTGCAGGGAATGAATCTCTAGTTAGGTAGTTTTTTTCCTGCTTTGGCCATGTTAGCCTAGCCATGTCTGGAATTTGGTTAGAAAGAAACCTGAAAGTCACTGAAAGGATCTCTCCACTCTTACATGCATTACTACTCTTCTAAACTTCATGTGTTATTATTTTAACTTATCAGCATCGTATGGTGGGAGAGCAAAAATACAACACATGGATTTATTATCAAAAAGTAAAGACCCAGTCGGATTTCGCATACATTTTGTTCTGTATCAGAACATGCTTAAGTTACACATTAATATGGTACTTAAAAAGAGGAGAGAAAGAGAGAGAGAGAGAGAGAGAGAGTGAGAAAGAGAGAGAAAGAAAGAAAGAAAGAGAGAGAGAAAGAAAGAAAGAGAGAAAGAAAGAAAGAAAGAAAGAGAGAGAGAGAGAGAGAGAGAGAGNGCGCTATTTTCAAAAAAGCTCTAATGAAATGTTTCCTTACAGACACCGGGGAATCCAACCACTCTTTTAACATTGGAATTATTTCCGCTTCAGGAATTTTCAATACAATACTATTTATTGATCCGACAATATATTTCAGGTAGTCCCCTCCAGCAAATTTCTTCATAGGGACAACTGCCAGAGCGGTGTCATTCAAAAGCTTCAAACTCTGGGCAATTTCTTGTTGTATTCTGTAAAACTCATCATCTTCATCTGTATATTCAATTTTAAGAGATTTTGGATAATATGGTTCAATCATTTTAAGAAAACAATTACTCGGCATCATTAGGCACAAGATCCTTATAGCATTCGGTTTGGCGTGGTATTGAAAATCCTTGCCATCGCCATCTTCGCTACTGTTCTGAAGGGCATTGATGCAGAGATGAATAATTTTCTGAGGGAGTTCAAAAGGTGAATACATTCTCAGCTGGCTAAAGAACTTCATTGAATCGACATTCAATGCATTTTCAAAAAAATTTTTTAAAACACTGTCAACATTTTGTACAATCAAACCTGGTGATTTTTTTAATATAAATAATAATATGTCAGTATCCATCCTTTCTGGGAACAGTTTTGGGAAAAGTTTCTCCCTGAAGACATAATCCTTTTTACAGCTTTGCATTAAGTTATACATATTCCAATCGAATTCTTTTTTGCGAGTAAATGACGATTTCACTTTTTCCACCAACCATTCTGGTATCTCAATTCGATCTTTTTTATTCCTCTGGTTATACTTGCAAATCTGCACTGCAAGGCTGTTTAAATGGTTGTCGATACTCTTCTCATCCATCTGAGTTAAATTTGATACTTCTGTCAGGAAGAAAAGCAGACAAGTCTTCTCATATATAGAATTTGTGCAAATTTCATAATTACATGCCTTGAACAATGATATTTGTGATTGAAAGTAATTTTTTAAGTGAGTTTCCATTGGAAAACCCTTCTTAAAGTAGCTTAAAACTTGTATATGTTGAGTTTTAGTTATGAGATGCTGTAAACGTGTTTGTTCCTTATTTAATTTGACAAGTTTCAGTAATTCATTTACTGTTTCCCAGTCATCAATTTTCAATGCAAACAACAGTCTTTTAAACTCAACCAAGCTAGAGTACACTTGTTCTCTCATTGGAAACTCTTCGTTTCTGAATCTTGTAACAAAATAAACTAATATAGAAGGCAGTTTCTCCAAATCATTATTGAAATTCAGAGTCCTGAATATTTTATTAAACAAATAAATGCGTGCATTCAGTTCAGACTGATTTTCAGCCAATTTCTTTAGAAGTGGAATTGAACGGGAAGTGGGAAGATATTCTATCAAATCAGCTTTGTCATATGCAGATTCTTTTTTGGGTAAAGTCGCTTCAATCCATTTCACCCTCACTTCCTCAGGAAAGTGAGCAATTACATGTTGAGATAACGCTGGAGCGAACTCTTCATAAACAAATGGCCTGGAAAAAGCTTTGCTGAAATTTTTTAAAAGTATTTCTGCTCTAATTTCCATTTTTAACTTTCTGGTTACTTCTATAAAATTGTTTTCTCCTCCCATTAAGAAAAATTTTGTAGTCGATTTAGGGAATAATGCTAACTGTAATTTTTCCATTTGATCTATACTTAAATAAGCCCTTGTAAATTCCAAAGAAATTATCTTGGAGTATTTGTCAAAATTGTTAATAAATGCCTCTGTATCTGTTCTAATAATCTTTTTTGAGGTCCTTCTACCCAAATTGAAATATGGCATATGTCTGTTATATTGTTGATATATCCTCATGAAATATTTAGGATCTGAAGATGCCAAATTTAAAAACAGGACATTATAATCATCAAAATTTAAATAACGAAATGCCCTTTTTTGTTTATTAACACTTTCAAGTATAAATTCTAAGTATTCCTTTGCCAAATCAGGATAATGGTTCAAAAGCTCTTGAAAAACCGAAGACGGGACTTTTGTTTTGAAAGTGGGAAGTCTATCTGTCACAAATTTTTGGCTGCAAGCAGGCAACAGGATTAAAGCCAAGCTCAATTCATATTTTTGGTGCAATGCAGTAAACAAGTTTTCAATCAAATCTGTTTTTTTTAAATACTTTGAATAAAGACTAATCACTTTCATCCTTGTGCAGAAAGATAGGTAAGGCAGGATGTCATTCATGAGAATTTGTGAATCTTGAAGGTCTTCGAAGAACCAGGTACATTTCAATACTTGTTTTAATGCAAATCTGTCTCCACTTTTCAGTACACTTAAAACTTCATTGTGACATTTAAATTCATTTATAAGTTTTATCATTATGTACTTGTGCAAATTATCATCGCTGTTCAACAGAGAGAGTACACCATTTAAGTTGTTCTTTAAAATCTCTCTTTTTCTCACCAACAAGCATCCAAAATTTCGCAAAATATCGGTCAAATTATTTCCTTGAAGGGTAAGTATCTCGTTTAACAACTCCTTCTCCATGGCTGCTTAAGACAAATCTGTAACATAGTAAATCAGACCCAAATATTTAAATATAATAATCTATGTCTCTTAGTTTAACTATGTGTTAGTTAAATTTATGCTGAGGTATTGAATTTTAAAAATGCAAGCATGGTGACACCAAGTCTGAACTTAAAAGGCCAACTCTGCCTTCTCCCTGTAAGATTGGTCGCTGTGACTCGAATGTGGTAAAAGCAAGGTGCCAGAGAATGAACAATTAGTTTATTTCAAGTAAGTTTAAGCACAACCTTGAGTGATGGAAATAAACATAAAGTCCTATTAGTCATTACTCATTACTAAAGCCCTGATTCCCCTGCAATTGCTTCTTTTATTTTTTAACATAGAGGAAATAAAACCAAAACAAAAATTCAAATCTTGAAAAGGACGTTCTTTTGATGCTAATTCTATTTTGTACAAAATTGCAATTTTTCCAATGTTTTTGTATTAGTTATTTTTTTATGCAAGAAAACAATGTGGAAATACATGAATTGTGAGTAAAATCTTTTTTTTATAATGTGTTTTATTGATGTTTTCAACTCCCAAAGCTTAGAATTTTTCAAGAAATTGCTTTATGTTTAACATCCGTTATTTTCCGCTGGTGGCGTATTTTTCACTTCCCATTTTTTTTCTCATTCCTTAGTATTTCTTTGGTAGCGGAGCAGAGCTAATCCACGTTAAATATTAAATAAATAAGAATAATGCCTGGTAAGTTATTACCTAGAACAGAAGTTCACAAGTGGAGACTACGGGCTACCCGATAACAAAGACTGCCGACAATGTGTTCATACGATGCCAACAAGTGTAGATGCAGAGAGAATCTTTTCTCTTTTGTATCATAAATTATTTATTAAATAGCCATTCTTTGATGCATACATTATACAGTTTAAAACTTCAATTATTGTTTTAAAAATGCTGATTATAAAACAAACAATTCACATCATGAATAATGTCACAAACAAGAATTAATTTGTTATGTAAATAAAAGTTTTTTTGCGCATTTCGAGATTTTTATTGCATGTTTTAAAATTTTTGCTGCACAAAAATACAATCTTCAGTCATTATTCATTAGTTTAATGTTAAATTTTATTTATTACAATATAAGTGTACAAGATGTTATATTTTGGTTTTATTATCTATGTTTAATAAAGCTTGTTTTTCCTTCAAGGATCATGGTATTTTGTTGGATCCTTAATATATTTAACAATTTATTTTTACTTAATTTTCCCAACAGTGGGTGTGATCTTGGTTCAACCTAATTTTGAGAAAGACTGCTACAGGGTAAGGATGAGGATTAAAAAACACTGTTTTTCGAAAATCCAAAAACTTCTCCTATCAAAAACCAATTTATTTATTTATAATTTTAATTGATAGTAAATTAATTGTTTCACATGTTTCAAACATTCTCAACAATTTCCTCCAATAACATTGAATAGCAGTTCACTCTGGATGTTACATTTAATTATTTAACCTCATGCAAATTTTGGTCCAATTTAAATGAATTAATGTTTATAAACAAAACATAAATAAAAAATTTCCCTTGGCTAATACGCATAGTTCATAAGGCCATTAATATAAATGTATATAAAAAATAACTAACAGTAAAATCTTAAACAAATAAACATATAAATAAATACGGATAAATAGCCTTCAAAAACTATTTAAGAAGTAAACATCATTTGTAGTATTAATTAAAATGATAACTAAATAAATTGATTGAAGTAGTTTGAGAAGATTTTAAGAAGAAATAAATTTAAGCCACACAAGATAATCCTAATAATATTAACCAGGAATTGACATGAACAACTGTTTAGACAAGGGTTTTTGAGTATAGTAAATTTGATGGAAGAAATTCAAACACGTCAAATAACAATATTATTTGTTCTGCCTATACTGACAAAGGTATTGGTACCAACTCTTTTTATTATTCACCTTATTTTAATATGATTAAATGAGGGGCGTCGGTGGCCACAAGGTTTAGTCTTTGACACAGCGCTCATCATTCTAAGGTAAAGGTCCCGGGTTCGAATCCAGCGGCCCTGCATTCGAACCCGAATACTTACAACACCAGCACCCTGAGGGTTGATATGACCTCTGCTGTTGCAAACCCTCGTTTAAAAAAATAAATAAATAAATAAAAAAAAAATAAGTGAACACATTTTTATAAGTAAATACAATAAAAATATTAACTGCTAGAAGTGGTTTGGATTGTACAAAAGGAAAAAATCCATATATGTATTTAGTGGCCATAATTGTCCATATTAGTTTAATTACTTTTAATCTTGGTTGAGATGAAAAAGCAAGGGCCACAAGTGGGATTCGAACACACAACTTTGTGAGGTGTATAGTTCAGTAGTGTTTAAATCTGTAGTTTCTCAAGTAAGATAAAGTTTCATGGAAAAACTAACAAAAAATTGTAACTCGCCAGGGACTGAAGTATAGGTACAATATGTTAGAAGTTGTTGCAAAAAGGGTGAACTATCATCCAATTTTTTTTTTTTCACTTCTCTGGTTACACCCTGTACACATAGGGTGTCCTTTTTAGAAGGCCTAGCTTAATTTCTCTTGAAACAATCACACTATCAAAAAAATACCAGTTTAATACTTTTTAGTTTAGTTTCAAATTTTTATCTTTTTTGGAGAAAAATTATACACGGGACCTCGGGCCCAGTTCAAAATTTCAAATATGACGCTATACATCCTAACACATCATTTTAAAGAATTTTTTATGTTGAAAACAATGGTGCAATCGGATGTTAAATTGGTCATAAAATGACAAAATTGTGGCAAAAAGTTTGGAAAAAAACAGTCATTTGGTGGTCACTAGTGGTCAAGCGTTGGTATGGTGTGGTGGAAAAGGATACTAGGAAGCGGGGTTTGTATTCCCCAGGCACTGCAGCCTTCTGGCTTATTGTACCTTCCTAGTTCCTTAGTTCAGTCAATAGACTCAATCCTTCTTCTTAGAAGTATCAGGTCTTTGACTGTTGCTATTGCAATTTGATTCCCTAAGTCTTTTCCATACGTTAGGTTAAACCTCCTTGAGCTGTTGCTTCGCATTTGAAGATGATATGAGTGGCTGTTTCCTCCTCCTCATTACATAATCTGCAAATGGGATCATCGCTGTATAATACCCATGTTGTGTAGATGTTTTCTCAGATACCAGTGACCGGTTAGTAGTCCTACCACTCATCTGAGTTTGGCCCTCTCCAATTGCAGCAGTGTTTTTGCCAGTCTAGGTGAGAGTAGTTTCATCATAAGTTTACTGTCTAGCACTGCTAGAGTTTATCCACTTCTCCTTTTGTTTTGCTTGGATCCATTCTGCAATGGAGGATTCTATATTTATTTTTGTTATCCCAAGAATAGGTTTGGGGCCTATGTATGGTCTTGCAGATCCTCCTCTGGCTAGTCTGTCTGCTTTCTCGTTACCCAAAATTCCCGTGTGCCCTGGCACCCAAGATATCAGGTTGTTGTGTTTCCCCAGGTTTTGGAGATTTTGAATGCATTCACTGACTAATTTTGATGTGATTCTTTTACATGCTAACGCTTTAATAGCTGCTTGGCTATCTGATCTTATGAGGATTTTTTTGTCAATGTAACCTCTTTTAAGATTTTCCATGGCACAAGTATTGATGGCATGTATTTCTGATTGAAAGACCGAAATGTACTTCCCTAATGAGTTTGATTGCTCATGTTTTGGGCTTGTACAGAAAACACCCGATCCGGTTACTTCGTTTGTTTTGAAGCCATCTGTGTACCATATCATTGTATCTGATGCTCTCCTGTGTTCTTCCTCTCCTTTATAGTCCGTTGAGACTTTGTAGGAAGTTGTGAAGATTGTTTCCGGGATCATGTGGTCAGTCCCCATTTCTAATAATGGGTGTCTGATTTTGTTGATTATGGTTGTATGCCCGAATTGTTTAGTTCCTTTCCAATTTAATTGTTTCTGGAGCCTAAGTGAGCTTTTCCTAGTCTCTCCTTGTATGAATATTTCCAGCGGAGGTAGGTTTAGCAAAGTTTCTAATGCGTTTGTAGGGGTTGTTCTCATCGCCCCTGCGATACATAGGTTTGCTAGTCTTTGTATGCTGCCTAATGTTTGGGTAGCTACTTTTTGTTGAGCTTTGTTCCACCAGATTAGTGATCCATAGGTTATTCTGGGTCTTATTTCTGCCGTGTATAGCCAATAGGCCATTTTCAGTTTTAATCCCCAAGATTTGCCTAAGGTCCTTCTTGTGGTCATTAGCGATATTTTACCTTTTGCTATATATGTTCCAGGTGAGGATTCCAGGTTAATTTCTTATCAAAGATTATTCCTAGATATTTGACCTCGGTCGAGTGTTAGTCAGGGGAGATAGGCTGACAAGCATTTTCTATCCTTTGCCGCAGTTCTTCAACTGAGGTTGCTGGGTTATGATTTTCATAGACACTGTTTTTTTAAAAGGTCCCACAGAAAATAGTTAATTGGAGTTAAATCGGGTGACCAAGGAGGACAGAAGATCAAGCCATGAGGTCCTATCCACCTATCCCTGAAGTGACGATTCAAATAATGTCTCACCTATAAAGAATTGTGTGCGGGGCATCCATCAAGCTGGAGAATCATTCTTTGTCTTTGTTGCAGAGGAACGTCATATAATAGTGTTGGTAAAACCTCCCACAAAAAAAAAAAAAAATTTATATTCGTAGAAATAAGGCACAAGAAGTCCAAACCAAATGTTGACACTGTGAACTACCCGATTATTATGATAAATGTATGAAATTCTTGGATTTTCCTCTGCCCATGTTTATAAAGTCTAATGGTTTAGTGTGCCATTAGAGGTGAACTTGGATTCTTCAGTCCATAGGATATATGGAAGAATGTTTTATTCAGCCTCCCAAATCGACTTTGTGCAAAGAATTAGATGCCTGTCATAATCAGAGTCCTGAAGTCCCTGGACAAGATGAGAATGATACGGCTTAAAATTGTAAGTCTGGAGTACATCTGTAATTTTATTTTTTGAAAAACTTAAAACCTTTCCAACATTTCATAGAGAAGAATTTGGATTTTCACGAACATACTGTAAAATATTCAGCTCCTTGTTGAAATTACGCTGCCGGTTTCTTGATGATGGAACAGCAACTGATCCGCATCTCCTAATATTGCAAGCAACATGAATAAAAATTGTGTGGTTTACTTAGGGGGGGATGAGGAAATTTCTGGGAGTATAACTCGACTGCACACGCACAATACCACCACTATCAATAAAGCAGTCGTACAAATCAACTCGCAGTTGATCAGAAAAATGCTGAAAAAAATACTGAATGTAACGAACAATGACAGAATGTAAACAATAAAGGATGTACACGCACAATACCACCACTATCAATAAAGCAGTCGTACAAATCAACTCGCAGTTGATCAGAAAAATGCTGAAAAAAATACTGAATGTAACGAACAATGACAGAATGTAAACAATAAAGGATGTTTATAGAAGAAGCAAATTATTGGAATTAACAACAAAAGAAATGAAATGCGTTTTTTCACTTTTTGCCATATCTTTGTCATTTTTGACCAATTTAAAATCCGATTACACCATTGTTTTCGACGTAAAAAAATCCTTTAAAATGATGTGTCAGGTTGTATAGGATCACATTTGAATTTTGAGGTTGAACAGGCCAGAGGTACCATGTGTAAATTTTCAAATTTTCTCCAAAAAAGGTAAAATTTGAAACAAGACTAAAAATAGTAGTAAACACGTACTTTTTTTTAGTTGATAACGTCTTGGTTCAAGAGAAATTGATAGAAAGGCCATCTAAAAAAGACACCCTGTATATAATTGGTAAATAACAGACATCAAATTGTGGGAAACGTCTGCTAAAAGTACACTACACTAAGTGGCGACACGAAGTATACAGTGTCACGGGCAAAAAAATAAAAAGAGAAAGAAAGAAAAAAAAAGGAAAATGTAAAAATTACCTGTTAAAAATGTTTAGGACGGGTTGACCTCTGACGAGGACGATTTCAACGAAAAATTTCCGGATTGATGTTCATGTGCCAATGTGGGCGCGAACGCAATCTTCAATCTTCAGTTTCGCCCCCTGAAACCGAACGGCGAACGCTCAAAACCGATCAATTCTAAATCAAATGCCCTGTCATAAGCTAATATTGTGAACTCGTTACCCATTGAAAAAAAGCTGTTGATATCTATTATCTAGGGACTCCGGAATATAGACAGCAGACATAATTGAAGTCTCGAATAATCGATTGTGCCGACATTGAAATGAGAAAATCGAAGATACACAAGAAGAAAAAAAGTAAATTACACAATTTAAAAAAATTCCCAAAATACCTTCACTAAATAAAGTGTCATATTTGATTTATTTTACTATAAATGATATCTCCTCTACCACAGACTAGTTTTACCAATAAGACTAGTTAAAATAAAATAAAATCCATTACCAAGTTTATTACTAATTGAAAGGAACTACTGCAAACCGGAAAAAAATGGAATTATTGAAGAATCTATAATTACTAACGACACAAGCGATGGATAACTATGACATAATGTTTACTACTATTTACTATCAAATACAAATATTCAATATTTGTACATTTGTGCAAGACAAATACTACAGAAAAACGAAAAGATAATTCAGAATGTAAGCATACATTTATGAAGACTAGTTCAAAAAGGCAAGCAAGCTCTTTAAAATGAAATAAGAAAGAATATGAATGTAACTAAACAGTTCCGGTGCTCAAATTTCTTATATTACAGCTTCTTTTGTTTGTTTTTATTTCTTTGACCATTATAATGCTAGCATATCACAATTTTTGAGGTACACAGCATAACAAATGATCTTTAAACCTTCACTGTCGATACTAGTTTTGACATGAAAGAGCTAGACTGAATTTTTACATTTTGATTCGGGTTTTCAACTAATAGTTTAATAATGTTTTTAAAGTATTTCATGGTGGAATCATCGTTTATTTGGTGTGGTATAATGCCTAATCCTATTAAATTGCAGAGTTCGGATGTCTGTGAGATTAAAAGTTCAGAAAGTAACAGTTTATCTTCTAGGGACAATAAATTGAATGGAAGTACATTCCGCAACATATCAATTTTCACAGCATCACTAATCCAAGCATATTTTTCAAGGCTGGATTTAATAAATTTAAAGAAAAATTCAGGAGAAAATTTGCCGCCGGTTACAAAATATTCGTGATAAGTGATAGTGAAGTCTATGAACAATGACTCTTCGATGACACTTTCTTCTGGCAGAATAGCTTTGAGCTGTGTCTTGAAATCCTTCAATACACAACAGGGATCCATGTACAGTTTGTCTCTTTTGTTACTGCTCTCACACAATGTTTTTACAAAGTGGGAAACAAATTTTCTTACAGGAAACACAAAATAACTATTTAAGTTGTATTCATGCCAGTGGACAGTGATTAGGTTCTTCAAGAGTACCATTGTTTTATCCAACCTCATCGCTTGAATATCACTGTCAGTACTGTATAAAATATAATTTGTTACAAACTGTAGTGTATGAAGATTTTCAAGATTTGCCAAGGAGAATATCTGCTGCAGAAGTGTTTCTCTGAATTCTTCACTGAGTAGCTGTAGAATTTCTTTGTCTATCATTCCAATAACCCTGTTTTGGTCGGTAGCTCTAACTTCAGGTTCTTTATGGGATACTAGTTCCCACAGCATCTGTATGTAAGTGGAAACAAAATCATCGGCCACTTTTTGGACATTGAACATTCTCTCTATAGCAGATGTGTCTGTAGGTTCAAGACACACAACAATCGCTTTGAAAGCGTTGAAAGTCTCTTGGCAAGGTTCCTGGCAGAAGAATTGAAAGGCATGCTGAAATAGCAGAAGACGCATGGAGAGATTTTTTTCCTTTATAAACAGTTCTTTTACAAAACTGCATTTTGCCGCTTTTGGCGCTATTTTCAAAAAAGCTCTAATGAAATGTTTCCTTACAGACACCGGGGAATCCAACCACTCTTTTAACATTGGAATTATTTCCGCTTCAGGAATTTTCAATACAATACTATTTATTGATCCGACAATATATTTCAGGTAGTCCCCTCCAGCAAATTTCTTCATTGGGACAACTGCCAGAGCGGTGTCATTCAAAAGCTTCAAACTCTGGGCAATTTCTTGTTGTATTCTGTAAAACTCATCATCTTCATCTGTATATTCAATTTTAATAGATTTTGGATAATATGGTTCAATCATTTTAAGAAAACAATTACTCGGCATCATTAGGCACAAGATCCTTATAGCATTCGGTTTGGCGTGGTATTGAAAATCCTTGCCATCGCCATCTTCGCTACTGTTCTGAAGGGCATTGATGCAGAGATGAATAATTTTCTGAGGGAGTTCAAAAGGTGAATACATTCTCAGCTGGCTAAAGAACTTCATTGAATCGACATTCAATGCATTTTCAAAAATTTTTTTTAAAACACTGTCAACATTTTGTACAATCAAACCTGGTGATTTTTTTAATATAAATAATAATATGTCAGTATCCATCCTTTCTGGGAACAGTTTTGGGAAAAGTTTCTCCCTGAAGACATAATCCTTTTTACAGCTTTGCATTAAGTTATACATATTCCAATCGAATTCTTTTTTGCGAGTAAATGACGATTTCACTTTTTCCACCAACCATTCTGGGATCTCAATTCGATCTTTTTTATTCCTCCGGTTATACATGCAAATCTGCACTGCAAGGCTGTTTAAATGGTTCTCGACATTCTTCTCATCATGAATTAAATTTGATACTTCTTTCAGGAAGAAATGGAGACAAGTCTTCTCATATATAGAATTTGTGCATGTTTCATAGTTACAAACTTTGAACAATGATATTTGTGATTGAAAATATTTTTTTAAATGAGTTTCCATTGGAAAACCCTTCTTAAAAAAGCTTTTAATTTGTATATGTTGAATTTCTGTGATACTTCGCTTTAACTTCATATGTTGATTATTTAATTTAGCAAGTTTGAACAAATCATAAATCAGGTCCCAATCATCAATTTGTAATTCTAACAACAGTTTTTCATTTCTTCCCAAACTATCTATTACTTTCTTACTCATTAAAAATTGTTCATTTCTAAATCTTGAAACAAAGTACCGCAAGATTGAAGGTAATGTTACAAAATCATTATTAAAATCTAATGAATACAACATTGCTTTAAAAATGCTAATTCTGACATTTAGTTCAGTCTCATTTTCTAGCATAGTCTTTAGACTGAGGATTGAAGCTGATGTGGGAAGATATAACAACAAATCAACTTTATCTAATGGATCTGCAGTTTTGCGCAGGGTCATGTTAATCCACTCCATCCTCACTTGCTCTGGGAAATACTGGATTATATCTACTGTCAATGCTCTTGAAAATTCTTCATAAATAAATGGCCTGGAAAATGCCTTGCTAAAATTTGTTAATAGGATTCTCTCTCTTGCTCCTTTATTCAACTTTTTTGTAACTTCAAACATTTCAAAATCCACATCAGAAAAAAAGTGCGTAATTGACTTTGGAAATAAGTGTAACTGTAACTTTTCTATCTGATTGGCTGACAAATAATTTTCATAATTGCAGGTAATAATTTTTGAATATTTGTGGAAATTAGTAATAAATCTATCTGTGTCAGCTCTAATAACTTTTTTTGATGTCTTTTTTCCCAATGAGAAATGTGGTAAGTAATTGTCATACTTTTCATACATCCTCATAAAATATTTTGGATCAGAAGAAGCAACTTTACATAGTACTACATAATAGTTATCAATTTTGAAACAATAAAAAGCCCTTTTCTCTTTATCAATACTTTCTAGTAAAAACTCAAAGTATTTTTTGACAGAGTCAGGGTAACAGTTGAAAAGTTTTTTTAAAACTGATGTAGGGACTTTAGTTTTTAATGAAAGGAGCGTATGGTTGACAAACTCTTGACTGCAGGCCGGCAACAGGATTAATGCTAAGCTGGAATCATACAACTGGTGCAATATGGTAAACATGTTTTCTATAACGTCAGATCTGGCCAAGTGTTTAGAATAGAGTTTTATCACTTTTCTTCTAGTACAGAATGACAATAATGGTATGACTTCATTTATGAATTTTTCTGGGTCTTGAAGGTCCTGAAAGAACCATGTACATCTTAATGCTCGGCTAACCAAAACTGTATCATTGCATTTTAGTAATTTTAAAACTTCATCACGCTTATTACATTCATCAATCAATTTGACCCTAAAAAATTTCTGTAAATTATCATCACTTTGCAACAATAAAAGAAGTTCGTTAAAATTGTCCTTAAATGACGTTCTTTTTGCCATCAACAACAATCTAAACTTTTGTATAATCTCATTTAAATTATTTCCTTGGAGAGAACTAATCTCATGTGCCAATTCTTGAGCCATGTGTGCAAATCAGTATCTGAAATAAATCAAACCCGAATAATTAAACTGAATCTTTCAGTCATCAAAAGGGCTTTTCACGTAATATAAATATAACTGATCTATTTATATTGCACATCTTCAAATTTGTTTGGAGTTTGAATTGAATAAGTTTTTGTAATTTAAATCCAGAAGACAAAACTAACATTTTTTTCTAGATTCGGTATACTTTTTGGTGGAACTCCATTATCATAGGTACAATCATCAATAAAGCCTTTAGTTTTAACTGTTTATTAGTTTATTTGGGCAACTTTTCACTACCATTGTACGCATTATCAGCCTTATCCTTATCTTATTCTTTACATCTAATGAATTGAATAAAATAATTACATTTAATGAAAAGAATAACAAAACAGAGTTCATCCTCTTATTATCTGGTTTATAGTATTTTCCTTACAGGAAATATAATGTAAGATGTAAGTATAAGATTAGGATTAAGGCTGAAAATGCTTACAATGTAAGTGAAAAAACATTCCAAATAAACTAATAAACTGTGTTGGAACTAAAGGCTTTATCGATATTTAAAGTTGAAGGCAATTTATTTCACATTTTATGTAAAAATATTCCACTGAAAATATTTTTCTAGCAGTATGAAATGTCCCGTATGAGGAACAGCTGCAGTGGCAGTGATTGTTGTTCTTTCTATAGTTTAACCAAACTTTTTTTTTTAATTTGGACTAAATTAAGTAATTTAACTTAAAACTATAAGGATAAATATTTGTAAAATATTGTTTTAAATTTTAAAACCAACCATTAAGTGTTATCATAAAATCAAATAATCTTTATCTTACATTTTTAAGTGGTAAAAACATTGCAAATGTTTACTTTTGATTATTGTTCTTTCTATAGTTTAACCACTTTTTTTTAAATTTGGACTAAATTAATAATTTAACTTAAAAGTATAAGGATAAATAATTGTAAAATATTGTTTTAAATTTTAAAACCAACCATTAAGTGTTATCATAAAATCAAATAATCTTTATCTTACATTTTTAAGTGGTAAAAACTTTACAAATTTTTACTTTTGATATTAGTTCTTAATTCAAATAAATAATTGTGAATTAATTGCGTTTATCGTAAATGTGCAATTATATTTAAAAAATAATTAAGTTACAAATAAATTATAAACCAAATTTAGACCATTAATATTACAAACTAAACAATGATTTGAGTAGGAGGGCTTGGCAATTCAGTTTTTGAAAAAGATAGTTCTACTCACAGAAGTTTTTTAGTCAGGCTAGTTGACTAAAACTTCTGAAAGTAGAACTATCTTAAAAAATAGATTTGTCTAAACTTACAGTAATCAATACCCAAATCTTCAATAAAATTTTTATTAAGTAATATATTGAGAACTTGACTGAAGTTTCAACTTCAAACTTACCTTATGGTCAATGTGTCATGTGATAAAGTGCAATCAAAAAGTTGTCAAGTTTAGGGCGCCGACGACAAGGACTGAACACACAACAGAGTACAGTCTACAGACGTCAGACCTTTGACGAGAGCCGAGGGGTGTGGGTGAGTGAGTCACACTCAATTCGAACTCGGACATCATCAGCCTGATAGGGCGTCAACAAATATATCGATATTTTAATCACAAAATAGCTTATTGAAATATCGATGATCAATTTAGCTAAAATATATAATAAAATAAATATACATACATAAGTAATTTTAAGTACTCGGTTGAACCGACGGATGTCTGAACCTTGGGAGCATACATTCTTTCCACGTAGCTCGTGTTGCTGCGGCAAAAGTAAGAAAATCCAATTGGTTCAAGTTCGGCGGTCTGGAAGGAGCACCGGCTAAAACCATAATCCTCTCCGAATTGTACATATCCTCGCTTCCTCACTCTCACTCTCACTCTCTCTCTCTCTCTCTCTCTCTCTCTCTCTCTCTCTCTCTCTCTNTCTCTCTTTCTCTCTCTCTTTCTCTCTCTCTTTCTCTCTCTCTCTCTCTCTCCCTCCCTCTCTCCCTCCCTCTCTCCCTCCCTCTCTCGTCAATCTTCCAATGTCCAATTCATATATTCCTGTGCGAATTGAAGCCTGGCCAAGAGGTCGCCAAGCCGGGTTCTGGGGTTATTTTTATTGAGCCGTCTTCCTTACACTCCTGGAGGAAATCTATTTAGATTCTGACTTGTCTTATCGTATTTCTATCTTTCCTGTAATGCTGTGTTTTTGAAGAGCCTGATGATGGATGAATCTATCTCATATGTAGACCTAGAGACCCTGTCCTGGCCTTCTAGTGTGAAGTCCAGGTGGCCATGAACCCTTCCTATTTGTTGAGTGATTTACACTCAATCTCCTAATGACTTCCTCCTTGCTATATCTAACACTCAAACTGCTTAACAATAGTCTAATTGTGTTTCCTAAACAGTTTTTAAGAGGGAAAATGTACTTTGTAAGAGCTGGTGTTATTTTGAATAACATAACCTTTTTTATATCACAAATACAATTACTCAAAAAAACATGCTTATTCATTACAAGCATATTCTTGACATTTTATGAACTGAGAATTCATTCCCTGGGGGGGGGGGAGTACTACTAATACTAGATTACTAGTACCTTGTATGTTTCCCTCGTATATAAATTCAGACCTTTTCTCGTTCTTAACGTTTCCTCATCCCGTCGGGATACAGTCTAATCAACACCTTTTCTTAAGAGATCATTGCTGAATGCTGAGTGTGATACAAAATAAAATATTAAATGCATATTTACACATGTCTGTACGTCGAGGAACGCACAAAATGTTATCCCGTTAGCTTCCTATGTCTTAATTTTTATAACGTCAATGTATGATTTGTCGAAGATCAAAATTTTTACAAAACCGTTTCTAAACTATTTGGACATTTTTTCATTGTCACGCTTTGAGCTTTGGTATTCTGTATTTCGATCAGAACGACGATTTCGCCCAGCGGCCTTGGCAACGACACAGTTAAGAGCATTTTAAGCCAGAAAATGGATAACGGTTCAATTATCTTTCTCTAATTCTAATGTTTAAATCTAATCGGATGACCTCAGAGTGAGGACAGATCTCCCTCGTGACCTTCGTTTGTTTCGAAAGCCCAGAAAGAAAACGTTCTCCTTCCCAGTCGACTGACTCTCGTCTGGACGAATAAAGATTTGCAGTATAAGTTTGAAGTTCAGTTTGTTTTGTCTTTGTGTGAGTGATCGAAGGTGGTTTCTGTCAGTCTACCACATTCACGACCGTCTCCCGAGAGAAATTTCCTGATTCGGTCCGTCGAAATTGTGTCAACACTGAGGTTCCGTTCCTTAGTTTCGTGTTGATAACGTCCAGTTATGAAAGATTCGAGTTCGCCCGAATAAACGATAATTGGGCTCATCGGACGGGCGTGTCTATTTTTAGGGTTGGGATGTATTCCAAGGATATCGCCGTCAGCCTAGATGTTCAAGACGGGGTAAGAGGCGGCGACGCGGCTTTGTTCGCCTTCCCAATCCAGGCGGACGGGCTGACAAGTTGTTGTTTACATCCCCTACGACACACGTCTAGCTGAACTTGGCATTGTTTTTCTCTTTCAGAGGATCTGCCCTCAAATTTCACCTCAGTTGGACCGCGCATCCCAGGACTCGAGGATCGAAAGGGTCCAGTTCACGATGGAAGGCACTGAACGAGGACCTCCTCCGACTTACGAAGAAGCCATTAATCCAGCCTGTATGCCTTCTCCTTACTAACATATTTTGTTTCATTTTTCTTTACTATTATTATTTTTATGTGGTATTTAGTGACCGTTAATTAATGATTATTTAGAGATCGTGAGATGCGGTTTGGTGTGATGTAGGTTTAGAAAAACATTTTGTTTATCGTGCCAACGTTTCGATCTTTATTGTGATCAACTTCAGGGCCTGGGATTTATAAACATTGTTTAAATTATACAAATACATGTAAGATGTGAAAATGAATTTATGCAATGATGTACACAATATAGAATTGGAATAAATGTGGAGACAAAATGAGAAGTTTGTGGCATGGGCGATCAAATTCATGGTAGCTCAAGTGGTAGAGCAGCAGCATATTTAGCCAAAAGTCATGGGTTCAAATCCCGCCTGTGACACAAATTTTTCATTTTGAAAAAATTCTGTATAATTAATTGAGTAATTATATAATTAAGAATAAGTTGAGAAAATGATAAAAAAGTTAAAATTAAAGATCACACACCAGTAACAAATAAGTCTGATGTAATTGAAAAAATCAATTGTATAAATTGTCCGGCAACTTACATTAGAATTACATCCCAATATCTGGATAAGAGGGTAAAACAACATATCTATGATGGCAAAAAGCCCAAACAAAATCCTACGGCATTGGCTACCCACCATTTTGAACACAAATACAACTTTGATTTCAACAATCCAAAAATATGAAACACAGAACAAAGCAAACATAAACGTAACTTTTTATAAATGGTCTACATCAACAGAGATAAACAGCATCAATTACACAACAGACACATGTAAACTCAGCCGCAGCTATGCTAATATCATAAATCAAATTCAATATCAATAACACTCAAAATAAATAATACAACATATAAAATAATCATTACACTCTACACATCACACAATTTGTACATCGTTTAATTCTCCGACAATTTGTATCTCCTTTCCCTAATAATCCCGTCTGTACTAATCCTGAAAAGCCAACCAGGCCCGAATGACAAACCATTACCCCTTTTTTCCTATTGTCGACCCCTTTCACCTCAAAGAAGCCAACTCCTCATGTAAAAATGGATTTCTATCCTTACTTCCTTCCCCACTCCTTCAAAATCAAACATATATAAATAAAAAAACATTAATATCTCATTAACATCTCAACACAACACACAATAATGACACAATAACACAGAAACACAGAAAACACACACTCAAAACACTTTGAGTGAGTGCAATTACTTTGATTAAACATAAAATTTCTATATTGAGTACATCATTGTATAAATTCATTTTCACATCTTACATTCATTTGTATAATTTAACAATGTTTATAAATACCAGGCCCTGAAGATGATCTCAATAAAGATTGAAACATTGCATGATAAAGAAAATATTTTTCTAGATCTACATCACACCAGACCGCATCTCACAGACTCTAAATAATCATTATTATTAAGTTTTTTAAAAGCTAGTATTAGAAAATAAATTTATTATTTTCCAAGAATCGTGGGTAAAAACAAACAAGAAAGGAGCTAAAAAAATCATTTATTCATCTTCTTCAGCTATTTTGTTTGCTTCATATAATTTTGCAAAAATTTCTGGGAAATTCTAAGCCCATACAATTTGAATTGAATAATATTTATTGGTGAAGAAATAGATATGTGGCATGCTTTCTAATTCATTGAAAAATTCCTTTGTCTCCTTGCATTATTTTGCTTTTTTTTTTGTCCAACAGACTACAAATGTATTTCATTTTGTATAGGTATTTTTGATTTGGATGCTTACATATTATTACTACAAAAAGGATTTTTTCATGTAAGATGACAGTAAATTTTATTATTCAAAAATGATTATTGTGAACCAAACCTCATCAAAAAGAGGTAGGGTCAGATTCGACCCAAATGTGTCATTTATTTCACCTCAAATGACTCCCATCTGAGGGTTAAAGTTATTGTGTTAGCAGTTGATTGATGTTAATTTTTGTTTTAGCTGCACCTCCACCAACATACGATTCTGTAATCAGGCGTGTACGTGAAGCTCATAAAGAGTCAACAGGAACTATTGATTTTGCTAAAAAGGTGGCACTCCTCCTGGTTGGAACCCGTGAGTTGTTTAGTTGTTTAAAAGTTGAAGTAGTAACAAGTGGTTTTAAAATGTTCTGTACTGACATTTTATGTTTTTAGTCGGATGTACAATTGCTATCGGTGTCACTATTGTCATTCCTTTGGCTATGTTCATTATTGGAAGCAATTATTTGTATGACTGTCCTGTCAACTCACATATTCCGTTATATTTATTGATTGGAGGTAAGAGGATGACTGCTTATTTTGATGGATGTGTATATTATTGATGTGTGCAAAGTATTAATAGACATTCTTTTAAGGCCTTATTGGTCTGTTTAAGCCAGTCTTCCATTTATTTCACCGTTTCAAATATGGCCCACAACCAAGAGATGATGAAGCTTTTGCAAAAAATTCTTCACTCCAATCTCTTCTCAACTGTTCACTAATGGCCTGGTTTATTCTTGGTAAGTTTTTTTTTTAAATTATTTTAATCAAAATGGTATTCAGTATTCCTTGGAGCATCAATTTACTTTAATGTAATCATTATCATATATCAATAAAAATATTTTATCCTGTAGACTTAATGAAAAATTTAGTAATTTAATTATATTCAATAAAAACTAGCTAATGATTGATTCACAAGCTAGGCTCTTTTTCAGTATGTGCAAATTCATATGATGAAACAGATTTATTATCATTGCTCGTAAATAATTGTGATTTGATGGAAAATTGACAGTTACAATGCACATTTGTTTACTTGCATTGAACTATAAAATGTACAAGGTTCTAAAACCCTTTCAACACCAATTACAAAACGTCATCTGCTGCGATTATAATTAAAAACATAGAAAGATCACGGGGTGCTCATGTAAGGTAAAGGTCCTGGGTTCGAATCCAGAGGCCCTGCATTCGAACCCGACATACTTACAAATGGGCTTTTTTATTTTCAAAAACACCGGCACCCTGAGGGTTTATATGACCTCTGCAGTTGCAAACCCTCGTAAAAAAATAAAAATAAAAAAATAGAAAGATCAACATTTTATTTTTATTATGAGTTTATCTCTACACAATCATGGTACCGGTGTTATTAAAAAAAATAAAAAAAATGTAAATATGTCAGGTTCGTATCCAACAGTCCTGAATTTGAAGCTTACAGTGACAAGTCACACAATGACTTAACAGTTGTGGCCACAGATCAAGTACTTTAAAAACATTTTCAATACTGTTTATATAGGTGCTGATGTTTTGTAATTGTACATCACCTTGCATAATAAAATAAAATCTAAATGAGAACCATTTATACTACTTTCAAAAGGTTGAACTCGCCTAAATCCAAAATCCAATATTGATAATTTTATACTACAGCTGTTCAAACAAAAAAATGTTAAAGAGAATGAAGAAAAAAGAATTTAAAAAAAAGTTACAAAACCATTAAAGTAATAGTTGTTATATTGTAGTTGAAATACCCCCAGTTAAAAAAGTTAATATTGTCAAGAAAAAGAATAGTTAATAGATCAATTTCAGTTGGTGGTTCAAAATGGTGGTCAAAAGCATTATTTGTGTTATCAGGGTATTCGGGGAAATGTTTTAAAATGGATTCTTTTGTACCTATTTGACTGAAAAATGGAAATCCTTTTTCATGATGACTTTTCCTGCAATATAAATATGTTGAATATAACATTGACAACTTATTCAGAAATCATGAGATGCGGTCTGGTGTGATGTACGTTTCAGAAAAACATTTTCTTTATCGTGCCAATGTTTCGATCTTTATTGAGATCATCTTCAGGGCCTGGGATTTACAAACATTGTTTACATTTAACAAATACATTTAGGATGTGGAAAAGTGAATTTATACAATGCAAAATATATTTTTTNAGAGTTGTGTGTGGTGTTATGTTGGGCCATTTATCTTTAATAATGTTCAGTGTTGTGTCTATGGGAATGTTGGTAAACAATGATGAAACATCTAGGGATATGAGAGAGTAGTGTGAGGGGATGTGGATATTATTAATTTTGTTAATGAAATAAAATGAATCATTTACATTATACGGTCACTAATCACCACACATGACAACTTACTTTTTGAAACACAGTGGCTAAATTTTTGCTAGATGAAACTGTCAAATCCTTGTGTAAACAACCTATGGAAAAGTGGGTCGTGTTAATAACAGTCAAATTACACCGTTTAAAAATATTTGAGATCTTTTATGTAAGGGAACAATTAATAATGGCATTAAAACTGATGCTTCTAATTTTTACTCTTACCATTTATGTACTTATATCTGAGCCTTGCCTGTAAAAATTTAGTTAATAGTTTTCTTTTTCCACTTTAGTTGTCAATCTACTTAATTTTATTTCAGGATCTTACTGGGTGTACAAGGAGTACCAGCCTAACTACGAGCGCAGCAGTGGGGAAAGATATTGTAATAAAACAGTTTACCTTTTTGCTTTTTGGCAGATAACTTTTGTTTATATATTGCTAGGCATTACTTCTCTTTGTCTGTGTTCGATTAGCTTTTGCCTTGTAGCGTTTGCAAGACGACACATCAGAGTTGCCACTCCAGAAAGAGAATCCCCACCTAACGAATAAGATTTGTTGAAAAATATACAAATGACTGAAATGAAATAAATTAAAGCCTTGCTAATCTAATGGTGGGACCAGGAATTGGTTGATTTAAAAAAATAATAAAATGGGTTAAATGACAGACCTTTATGCTATTTTTATTTATTTATTTCGAGGCAAGACAATTGCAACACATTGTCTATACTTATTCAACTGCTTTTTATATGTAAGTATAGATCTATGTTAGCATTTGAACAAGATTTTATACATTTGGGCTTTGTAACATGAACATGACTTAGTTTTGTATATATTTTTTAAGAATTTTTTGAATGAATTCAGTTAAAGAAGTAAAAAATATTTTTGGTGGCACTCATAATAATTGGAAAATTACCATTGATGTGTCACATTATTTAATTTTAGGTTTTTAATGTTATTCTTTGAGAAAATATGAAAATGTAATCCATCTACATTTATTACAATGAAACTTGAAACTACGACTTCTACGTTATTTTCACATTCATGATAGATTATTGTCATATAGGGTCACATTTCTTGTTTATAACTGAATAATTATGATGACTGTGTTGATAACTAAGGTGATATTATCTGCCCTATTTCTTAATGTCGAAACATATTCAACTCAATACTTTTTTATTATGCTATGTGTATTGAGTACATGCTGTTTTTGAACATTTGTTCTTCCTACATGAAAAATTCAAAGGTCAGATTAGCAGGGTTACAAGGTAAATAAATAAAAATTTAATTTTGTCTCAAGGACAAACTGGAATGCAATGATGTGACAATAAAAAGGCTGTAAAATGACTTCAGAAAATAGATGACCTTATTTGTTTTGCCTGTTCTCTACATATGTAACTTAGTACTCTCTGTAAAAGATATTTTCATATAAATTAATAATGTAATTTTTAGAAATGTTTCTCATTAAAAAGGTACATAAAAAAATTAAATAGGTGTTACTTATTCAACTGTTCGAGGTTTTGGAACATACCTGATTTATTTCAACTTACTCATGAATTAAGTTTTATCAGTAGTTAAATAATATTTGTGTATTATAAAATAAAATAAAAGTTCTTTTTTAAGAGTTAATTTTTATTAAATTAAATATACTTTAATACTTAAATATTTTACTAGTCTCACTAAGTCAATTAAATGTTGCTTATTTGTGTATGTAAAAGACGTTGGAAAATTAAGAGATTTTTTGAAATATTATTTGTATATAATATGTATAATTATGCAGTTGTATTGAGAAGTCTCTGCATACTTCATAAAATAGTAAAAATAAAATTTTAAAATTTTGCAACTCTTGTTTTAACTGGGCTTATTCATATAATTATCTTTCATTTACCTAATCGTAATGGATAACATTATCAGAGTTTAAAAAAGCATTGAAATTTATTGCTTGTTGAAATAATGTTTACACCAACAATGTGCAAGTTTTTGAATGTTCATTAATTTCATAAATAGTAAGAGGATCATGAGAAGTCTTTTATTTCCAAAAACTGTACATACAAAAAAAAAAAACCAAAGGAAAGTTAGTCTATACTTTGTGTTCATTTGTTGTTGATCTGTTTGCAACAATAGCATATTTCTATTGTTCATTGTAAATAAGATTAATGGTTAAAATTGGAATTGTGTTTTATGATTCATCATATGAACAGCAAGCATTGTGTGCCAATTAAAAAATATATATATATCCAAAACTGGTGGTGCTAATTAGAATAAGTTTTTTAAAAAATTAATTACATTTGTATTGTTCACACTCCTTTGTTATTCTGTATCTATCAAAACTTTTTTTTTAAATTCATCATATATAACAGTTCTATTTTGTTTTACTAGTTGTTTTAATAAATGAAAAAAATGAATGTTGTTTTAATACACAAATCTTCACAGTTATGCTGAGTTTGAACTTGAAAAGGGAGGTTAAAGTTTAGTTAATAATAATTTCCCTTAAGGTTTAACTAAATCATAATTTTTTAAGTTTTTTTTTTTTCATCTTTTTATTGATTATGTAAAATTGACAAAAGGGAGATTGTGCTATCCTCAGCTAGTTTTAATGAAATTTTGCCAACCCTAATTAATTTCTTAAAATTTATATGTACATACTGGTATGAAACTTCACCTTACAAATTTCCTATTTATTGAATTAATAATTGTTGCAAATATTTTATAGAAACTGAAGTTGTAAGCGAAAAACTTCCCTACAATTTTTAAACTTCAGTTGTTTAAGACACCCAAGTAACAATTAGAGGTAAATATTTCATATTTGTTTGAGTTTAATTTTAACACGTTTTAAATTAAGTTGCTTATGAAACTTTTTCTCTTGATCTGATAGGCTCTTTAAAAGTTTTCTTATGACACTGACGAGATCTTTGAATGCTAACTGTCTTAATCATTCCTCAGTCAAAACTTTCTAGAAACCTAGGATGGTTTTTCTATAATTCATTGGTTTCCAGCTAATATATCTTTTATAGTTGTACTTCAGGCTCACCATGCCAACTTCAAAAACCTGAAGGAACCATTATTTTGAGTATACAATTTATACATTTTTTAAAGTAATGGCTTAACCATCTGCTAAGTTTGTTGTAACAAAAAGTAAAAATATAGGCAAAACTAATAAGTAAAAGTACCTCTAATTAGAGAATATTCCCAGATTGATTGATTTAAAAAAAAGAAAGTATTATACATAAACTGCAAAGCAGGGATTAGTAATGGGCGTTCGCATCACCAGCAGTCATATCAACCCTTGCAGTGTTGTGGCCTTGAAAAAAAAAAAGCCCATTTGTAAAAGTATGTTGGGTTCGAATCCCGGCAGTGGTATTAGATTTTAGGTGTTGACATTGCTCACCTTGAACCTTTACCTTATAGTGATGAGCATTGTCAACGCCTAAAACCTAATACCACTTACACCCCAAGAGGCTCTTACTTCTCTGAGTTGAGTACTCATTAAAATTACAAAGTAAGCGCATTTGAACATTCAGGTCCTTTCCTAGTCATGGTTTGTTATTTAGAGTAATTTGACCTGGAATTTAAGAAACCATCAAATTATGTTACTTTTTTAACATTTTATTCTCCTGTAAAATTCCAAGGTCTAGACTGGGATTTGCCCCAGGAACATCATTATGTACAGTTCAGACGCCTTAACCACTCAGCCACTGCAGTACCCTTGTAAAGAATTATCTATCTACATAAATAAAACAGTTCATGACTAACAGAGAACACACAGACCAAACCACTGGATCTAAATAGTGAAATTTTGACAGTGCATTCCCATAATTACATGGATAGCTGCTAAGAAAGGATTTTTTGAAATTCCATCCCTAAGTGGATCATATGGACAATTTTTTACCATTTATAGACTTAAGTGAACTAAAGAAAAGAATTTGAAAAATGAGACGTTATATTAGAAAGCCATATTAGCACTCTATATTGCGTTAGAAAGGTTTATTAAAACAGAGTCCTGCTTGGATGAAGTGGGTAAAAGCATAAAATAAGACAGGTCTTAATTTTAAAAGTAATTTATTATATAAAACATACATAATATATACATAAAATATATACATAATATAATATAAATATACATATTTATATTATATATTACAGTGTAACTATTCCAATTTACAATAATTATGAAAATGTTGCAATTCATTTTGATTATTAATATTACTTTTTAAGCAAAATTATTTAGTTACGTATATTTGCTTTTTTTTAAAATCTTTATTTGTATTTATTGATATGAACACATTAAACATCTTCATATTTGAAAAATCTTGTAAATTCAGGCACATTTAATTGCAGACCTACAATCACTTATATTGGCCCCATGACCTTGAAAACAAGTTTTAATATACATAATTTTAATTTGTTTGTATATCATAAATAAAATATTGTATTTTATTTTACAAAAATGAAAATCAAATCTGTACAAATATATATAAATTCAGAAAGTAAGTAATAACTGCAGTAAAAGTAAACTTGTCTGTAAAAAATAATACTGTTTAATAATTGAAGTGACAATGTTTATAAATATATTTACAATAATGAATGTCAAATAAGGTCATCAGTAAATATAAAGACTTGGTTAGTCTAATGTAATTTTAATAAAGCTTAATAAAAAGAATATGAGCTGATAGTTTTAAATACATCAAACAAGAATTAATGTACAGAGTAATTGGGGAATCAGGTGTAGATCTAAACTTGCTGTACAGACTCTGAAAAATTAGGTTCCACTTAGAAATCTGAAACAATTTGAAAGAAATATCAACTTAATGTAAGTGAAGTGATAAGGTGACTGAAAAAGTTTTTAGTTAAGTTTTCAATGTGTAGAATTTAGCCTAAATTTATAAATTTACATTTGACAGATTTCTCCTCTGAAAAATAACAAGTGGAAAAAGATCACTGTCATACAGGGTTTGAGGTCCACAATTTAAAAACTAAATGGTACTTTTAAAACATAAGGCTAGAAAGAAGAAAAAAAAAATTATGGAAGTTTTAGAAATTAAAATAGCAATTAATTACATTCATACAGAAAACACTGGTGTGTGGATAAGCTTGCATCACCTCTGACACCTCGGAAAGCAATTAATATTGTGCTAATCATGTGAAAATGAGGTGTACTAATTTACACGTTAGCTCTTCAGTCATATTAAAATTTATTATTGTCGTGCAAATTATAAATTTTTTCTTAGGTGTACTTTTGTTTGCAATAGAAAATAAACGTTATTAAGTTGTTATACAAGCTTTATTAAAAATTAGCTTGATTTAGCATGTAGGTACTAAAAACTTTATTTAAGCAAGCACATTTGCATGCAACTAAGTCCACACTTGCTGAAATATATGTCAATTAAAAAAAAAAGTATAACTTATCCTGAGGTAAATGCAATTACAAAAACATTACTCCCCTGTCATTAACTGTCGGACAGATGATTTTACTTACAGAAATTTTTTAAAAGTTAACTGACGAATAAAGAAATATCTTATTTGTGTACGGGGGAGGGGGGTTAGTGAAATATATGTATGGCTTTGTACATAATACTGGCTTAAACACAGCATTTAATCTATCAATGTAGGAACTCCAATATTTTGTCAATGACGTACAAATACTCTTCAAGCAATTCAGTCTTAAAAAACACTGAATTTGAATGAAAATTTAAAAAAGTGTAATTCATGTAATTTCCATTTAATTTGTTTTTTGGGGTATTATTACTTTTTTAACTAAATAAAAAATCTGTAAATTTATTTGATTACAGTATGAATATTGGCTCATTACTTACTACCTTATTAATTTATAGAAAACTACAATGGACTGTATAGATCTCTAATAAAGGCATGTTAAGTGCACACTGAAAATCACAGATTTGAAAATGCATCAAATATTAACAATGCACAATCTCAAGACAGAAATTTTTCTTTAAAAGTTATTGCCACGCCATATCTCGATGTGCATGAAAAACGATTTATTTGCCCTAGTACAGTAAGCCAGACACAGGTGCTAGTGTCAATATCCAATTGAAGCCGTGTCAATTCCACAATGTCAAACAAGTATTTCAGGTTGCTCAAGTGAAGGCAGTTTGAGCTGTAATCTCACTGCTGACGAGTTGACAATAATAAAGACTATTACAGTATGGGTTATAGTCCTGACGATGTGCACTAGGGTGGGTCCGTTCTAGTCAAATTTCTTCTTTAATCTGTTCTTGAGGAAGACCGGGACCAGTGAAAGGCCAGCAAAGACAGCCAGTAATAGAACTGTCGTCCATGAGAAAGAAGAAGATGTTGAGGAGAGCTGGTTCAATGTTTTACCAGCTTGAATTGCCACAAATGAAGGTGGTGCTACACCTGAAATAAAAATTTAACATTAAAAAAAAAAAAAAAAAAAGGAGAACAATTATAATTTACCTAAGAATGTTCCTAGCCAGAATGGTAACAGTGGAACATTTATTACTGGAGCAGCTATGTTGATAAACCAATTTGGCAAGAATGGGGTCACCCTCAGAAAAATCATATAATTAAAAATATGATCTTTGTGTTTTTCAACCTGAAAATTGACTAACTGCTGTTAACTATTACAACTTTCCATTGATACGTTTAAAAAGTGTATGACATTGGGGTTCAAAGCATTATTAAAAATCAAAATTATACATTTTTTTTTTACAAACAATATTATTTGAATGTGCAATTCAAAATGATTAAGTTCAATACGTTTAATCTCAAACGAAGTCTTTTGATATAATTTTACGATCAAACCATAAATTAACAGCAATAATCTGTCTTGAAATATTGTTTATAATTTTGGAAATAACATCATCAATGATACTCGTGTTGCATCAAGGAATAATATAAAATAAACATACAAATTTTAAAAAAACTAATAAAAGTTCCAGAACATTTTATTTATATTTCTAACATCAAAGTGAAAAATTACCATTGCAGAATATTTATCTGCTTTTTCAGGAAAATACTTGTATATAAGTCTCCTTCCAGCAAAAAATGAGATGAGGTAACAAAGTGAAGCCCCTGTTGCTGAGCAGAAGCAGACCAAGATTATAGCCAAAGGAAAAGGAAATAAAAAACCAGCTAGGATGGACAACGATATCGATCCAGGAATTGCAAAAGTTTGCAAACTGAAATGATTGTCAAAGAAGAATATAACAATTTGCATTACACGTACCCCAACCTTTAGAAAAAGGTCAGCATGCTATTCTGAAAATGCCATTTAAAGGATACAATATATAAGTTACAAATACAGCAATCAGTACTTCAAAATAATATCTATCTTTATAACGGTCCAAGACCCTTCCCAGTTTCTTGGCATCTTCAATATCATAAGGAATTTTGATATATCTCTTTTCCTCCCTAAAATCAAAGCACTTAAGACTGTTATAAGTGAGAAGTGTGTGGATTCAAACTTACTCGTCTAATTTTGGAAAGCTAAAATATATATAAACAAGAGCTGATATTGAAACTGCAAAAATAACACATATCGAGATAATGGCTGTCTTAGTTCCGACATCATTATGGTGCACAGGCATTGCCTAAAACAATAAAATATTATTAATGAAAAATATAATCTTGGTAATTTATTTTTAATTATGTATAATTGGCCAAAATGGTAAATGTCGCAATAATCAGGGTAATTTTTAGTATCACTTTTTGTAAAGGATGGTTCTTGTGTGTGAGAGGTATAAACCTCTGAGTACGGACCATCTTTTATTATACATATATATATATATTTATATTAATAAAGGCAAGTAGTTGCTAGGGGTCATCATCTGCCTTCAGCAGAAATATGTTTAGGGCTGGCATGCCGTCACGAGCAAGGGGACTCTGTTAGTTATTTCATCTCACTATTTTTTTTTTTTTGCATGTATGTGCCTCCATTCGCATTCTTCAAGGCCAACCATCCTTTACAAAAGGTGAATTGACATACCCTCACCCCAATTATACTTTTTTTATTCCAAAATTGACAATCTTCAGTTTAAAGTATTAATCAGAAGAATGTTTTCATAAGTGCTGTAATGTATCCCTCAATGGAAACTCTTCTATCCTGAATAAGATCAGAGATAATCACCTTTAATTAACTATTGTTTTAAACTTTCACTCCGAAGGGTTGTCTCACTCCCCGATGTGCTGACTCTAGTGACTATACATCAGGGAGTTCTTCCTCCTTGTATCCTAAAGCCAGATCAGATGCCCAAATCTTCACTTTCCTACCAATGGGGGCAATCAACAGATAGGTCCTTTCAGCCCCAAACGCACGCAAACTATAATCTAGCCTAATTTTAATAAAATAAAATAAGTCAGTCATACAAACAAATACATACATAAAAGTACATTCATGCATTGCACTCATTCTAAGAATCTGTGAAGTACCGGATATTCCTTTGTCGACATACACACAATATTAATAATCTACCCTAAATTAGGGTCAATGGATCATAAACATAAGGTCAATAAACACACACACTGCTGGCGGGTGACGCTATATTTCACCATCACCCCTCACATTAATAAATACAAGCATTCAACAAAACATACAGAATATATACAGTAAAATAACCCCACGTCCCTTAAAAAACGGAACAGAGGACCCAGAAACTGGTGGGCTTGAAACCATTCTTAAATCTGTATGCAGTTAAGGCATGACACACCTCTATTATGTGGGATACATCGAGCCATTTTCTCTGCATAAGGGGCACCTTGCAGGCTTTGGCCCAAAAGTAGGTGTCTGTGTATGGCCAATCCTCAGTTGTTGCAAACTATTAGGAAAAATATGGCTCTCAATTTTATACAGTAATCCCTTAACGCGGTTTTGACATTTTCGGTTTTCACTATCAAGGGACGAAACAATGGGGAAAGTTTTTACATTGGCCGAAGTCCGATTTCTTTATTTGCAGAAAGAAAAACAGTTGCGTAAACAATTTAATTTCCTATCGAAAATAATTCTTTAAAAATGGTTTGGAGGTTCTAATTGTTTTCAGAAAACTTTTGCCTGTTTTCAATATACTTTCTTCTCCATCTGTTTTATTCTCTCATGGAAGTTGTGTTGCAAAGTGCCTCCTCTTCACAAAACGGAAAAAACCGTCCTGACCCTTGGTGAAAGAATAAAAATTTTGGAGATGCTACATTTTTACATTTTATATGCAGGTCAACGCTTTTCTTCAAAATAACTCAGGAAAATTTTAATCTTGAGGGACCAACTCATTAAAAAAAAAGCAATGGATTTCGACCCATCTTTAAATCTGTTTTCCGTGTGAAAGAGATGTCGAGGCCGCTTCAAATCCTTGTGTAAAATTCTCAAAGAAATAATTATTCGGCGAAACAATTAAATTATTTCTTTCCTTGCACTTCGAAAAATACAAACAATGAAAACAATAAACCATGTTCAAACACCGTTAAGTCTTCTATTACGTTTATTTTGATTTTTTTTTCGGATTGTATATCAGTTTTTTCAGCATCATGGAACGTAACCCTCCTTCGTATAGGAAAGTAGCCTAAACAATCAAATACACGCGAATGTTAAGTGATTACTGTATTTCAAGTTGTTAAACCTAATCCAACAAAATAGCGATAGTTCAAGAAAACCCCTTTCCAATCTATGCATGCGAATAATCTGTAAAGCCAAATGACAATGGTAGTAAATATGATAAGCACCTGGTTGTGATAGAACATGCTGGCAGAAACGTACTCACAGGAATTGAGATGGAAACCGGCAGGAAAAAAGGGGGCAAAACTCGCAAGCCAATAAATCACAACGAGGATCGCGTCCTGGGTTGTCGGCGATAAGTCATGCCGTACGTCGAAGGATCGAATTCAAAATCAGCCAGAAATACGGCCGATTTACGGCACGTTCGAAAGTGACTGGCAACTCTCAAAGTCTCAACTGGCATGGGAGAGCAGCGAGTTAAACCGAAAACACGACGAAGGCTGGATAGTGGATATTCCTTGATATGACAGCTGTCAAAAATCAAATGATAAGGGAAACCCCAGTCAAGTGGAAAAATTCAAAAGAACAAATCTATCCTTCATAACTATTATTATTTTGAATTTTAACGTTGTTTCCATTTATGCGTAGTGTTTTAGATATATTTTCTCAAAGATACTAATTTTTTTTAAACCTTGCTGCTTTCTTTTATCCTTGTTTAAAAAAAAGGATAATTGATAAATGGCCGAAGTGTATTTCCAATTTTAGCATTTTTATCCGTTATTGTATAATTTATGAACATACGTAAATGGAAAAATGGAATATGAAGGATTTGAAATTTGTTATCACCAAAGGTTATATTATCACGGGAGTAAACAATAATTTAAGCTTCTATCTGTATTCAGTAATAACACCATAATTGATTCACTATCTAAATAATAGATTGGGAAGTGTGTACGTTTGAAAATGATTTTCATCCTTGCGATTGATCTGGTGTGACTGAAGAATCGGCCTTTTTGTGAGTTCGGCTGCGTCTGCTGTCGTACGCTTGCGAACTTGGCCCGACGTCGGTGTGAAGGCGAAGCGGAGAGTTTATGTTATTGAATTAATTTCCACTAGAGTTGTGAATTGAAATGAGTAGATCGGCCCTGTGTTAGTCTCGTCTTTTGGAGGAAAACAAGCCCGAGGATTAGGACCACCGGCTGGAAAAAGCCCCTCAAAATCAACCCGAGTCGGTCTTAACCTTCAATAAGAAAAAATGGGCGAGAACGTCGACTGGAACGAATCAAACGTGAGTGTTTTTACAGTTTTTTAGAACTCTGTTTCTCATTTAAACGAGATATTGTGAATGAATTCAGTTTCGGGAAATCTCCCGAATTCCACCTCGTCTCGGTTTTTAATAAATTTCATATTTTCAGATCTTTATAAAATGTAGGTATCAAATAATAAATTTTAAATAAAATAAATTTATGGCCTCCTCGTACTAGGATTTATAACACAATGAAATTTGTTGTTTAAAAAAAAAATTTATATATATATATATATTATATATAAATCTTGGATCTTGGTTCATTCCGTCGTAGATTAACCCTCAAACAGTACGGAATGGGTCAGATCAGACCCAGTGGTTATTTTGCCTGTTCCGAACTGACCATTCATTGTCAGTGGTCAAGTCGGCAGGAACCCTACCTGGCAGGTGTATGACATCTTTGTTGTTTATTTGTTTTTATTAAGTACATTAAGGAAAAATTCCCAAAATACCCAATTTTATATATACATTTATATACGAATAGTGAGAAATACAAGTAAAATCTATAAGCAGTATAACATATGCCGTGTGCATAGTTAAAAGTAAATCTGGTACATAACACAAAATGGAAATTTAATAGAAAAAGCACAAAATGTTTATTGCCACAAATGACGAGTTTATACAAATTTTTTCTTAAAGGAATCCTATTTACAACCTAGAAACTCTATGCTGACAAAATTATCATTGAAAGCCCACCGATAAAAAGAGACTCACACTGTCTGTAACGAGTTAAAAGAAATTCAAAATAAAACATATTATTATTTTGAGATCGTGAAGTGCGGTCTGGTGTGACGTAGGTTTTAGAAAAACGTTTTCTTTCTACATGGGAAACAAACACGTTAAGCCCTGAAGATGTTCTCAATAAAGATTGAAACATGGCACGATAAAGAAAATGTTTTTCTAAAACCTACGTCACACCAGACCGCACCTAAAGATCTCCAAATAATCATTGGCTAATGGTCACTAAACACTACACATAATACATATTAACACTCCTTCTACCCTTCTACTGGGAACTAGGATATTTATTTTACTTAATAACTCCAAACAATAATAGATCCTATTCTCCAACTTCTATAAAAAAACATATGCCAAGGGCCAAACTACGATTCTCATGGGCCAAGACCCAGCACTCCTGGGCCCAAACACCATATTCCTTTTCCTCCCATCTGAGCCCTATTTTAAAGACCATGATTTTCACGAATCTTTTTTTGGACCTTTTCAAATTTGATTGAATAAATCTGCAAATTCCAAGGATACCAAACAGAGTAGCAGTGGTCAAAAATATTCCTACCAATACCAAAAAAGATTTTCGGTTTTCTAGTTTGTAAAGTTTGAGGTGTTCCTTTTAATAAAGCCCATATTGCAGTTTCCTTTAGAAACCACTTCTCAATAAGCTTCTTAAATGTTAGTTCACAGTCAAATACCACACCATGATTGTTGATTTCAGAAACTTTGTGAACTGCAGTGCCACCTAAAAAATAGGTTGAAGGAAACCTCTTTCTATCTTTATAAAAAGAAATAAAAAAAAACAACGTTTTTTAATATTAAGATCTAACTTATTAATAGCACATCAGTTTGAGAACCTATCCAAATCCTTTTGTAATAGTTCATAATCACTGATGCAGTTCACATTCTGAAAATTTTAATATCAATGGCAAGTAATAAAAACTCGGAGCAATGAATAACTGTTTTAACATCGTTAAATAAAACAAGAAAAGAAGAGGACCCAAATGCGATCCTTGGGACCCCTGAAATAGCAGAAATCTTTGACACTTTACCACGAAATTTAGCAAATAACGCATATTTGCTTAGTGGTCATGATTGACCATATTAATTATTCCTATTAATTATTATTTTTATCTAAGGTTTTTGGCTGAGTTGAAAAATTAGTGTCACAAGCAGCATATTGAGCCGAAGATCGTGGATTCGAATCCGGCTTGAGACTCTGACTTTTACCTTTCATCCAAGACCTTAGATTAAAAAAAAATTAATTGAAACAATTAATATGGTCAATTATGACTGCTAAACATATATGGCTTAATTTTATACATAATTTTAATTGTAATTAATATTCATGTGGTATTAAAAAAAATCTCAATTTAAAATAAGAATCCTAGAATAATGAAATAGAAGCTCCTAGGTTCTTCTCGCTCCTGGCCTGAGCGCACCAATAATATTCCTAATATTACTAAGGACTTTATTTGTACTTTTGACCCCAAAATGTCATAGCAATAACAGTTTCACACTGCTGACATTCTAGCTGAGTTTCGTTGTCAGGACCCTGACCTGGAGGAATTTGTGTCAGAAGTGGAAGATGGAAGTCTATGAACAGTGATATTGAAGATGTTTTCAATTGTGATGAGGAGAATGAATGCTCCAAGTCTGATGGAGAAGGAACAGACAGTAGAAAGTTTGAATTAGGGAAGAACTAGAAACAGTCTGGACTGATAAGCCTTTACGCTCAATATATTCACTAACCTCTTCTAACGTGATTACTCACCTGCCTGGACCTAAAGAGAATGCACCGTGGGGGAAGGGGCAGATGAAAAACCATCATTTTCACTTTTTGTGACTAATGAAATTATAGGAATGATCGTTTGTTATACTAATAAAGAAAGAAAACTGAATGGTCAAGTACAGTGAACCGCTCTATTCATTACCTTTGCTGTTGGCAGCCCCAAATGGAACTATAAAGTTCATCTATCAAGACAAAATGTTGTTTAAAAAGAATAAAAATGTTTGATTCATGTAAGATATCAATAAATATTATTGTTCAATAAGAATGATTATTGTGAACTTAGTCCTACCAAAAACCTCATCAAAGAGAGATAGAGGGTTAATCTTAAGTGTACTTGTTGCATGGCTTATTTACACTCACAGGTTTTTGAATTACCATAGCACCATCTTCCATGAGGAACTGGATGGCTCAATGCCAAAGCATGTTTGAGTAATTCAAAAGCCCATGGTGTGGATGGACCCAATAAGTAACCAAGCGCCAATTCAATGTGTATTCACAAACTTGTAAGCTGACAACCACCATCAACTTGAAGTGTACTTTTTAATCTTTTTTTTAATGCTTTTGTCAACTTCTGATTGTAAATAATAGCTTGAAAGAAACATACTGAAAGAAAATATTTTTCTTAATTGATGTTTCTTGTCCACTGGATGACAAATGCATGATTGGATAATGAACAACTCAGAAGGTCATGACTGTTTTTATTTTTGGCAATGTTTCAGACTTATTACGGCAAAACATTCTAGAAGAAACAAAATACAAATAACAATTTCTAAACATACCAGACTTAATCGAATGATGTTGCTGAGTTGCTCATTCTCTGGCTGCCACCCTGACAAATTCCCTCTCTCTTTTTTGTTTTTTAAATTGATTGATTTCTCTTTAATATTTTATAATTCAAACTTATGCACTGTTTTATTCTACCCTTCTGGCAGGATTTTCTGTGCTTTATTATTATTAGAATATTGTTAACATATATTTATTTTGTTCTTGCAGGTTTACAAAATCCTGCCAAACTCATTTAAAGCCCATGTCATATCTTTCCAACCGTATTTAAGAGGTTTTAACGCTGTACTCAGACTCAACATAATGAACAAGATTCAAGCAGATGACTGGCTTAGAGATTTCAGCGAAAAGAGTTTAACCAACTATCGAGTCGACAGGACATTCCCAGAGAATACGCCCAAGCTTCTGTTCAAAGTATTTTCCTGTAAAAGATTATTTTTCTTGGAACTGCTAAATGCACTTGGTACATTTCTCATTTCCAGAAAGAATTTAGGTGTTTGCACAACACAAGACCTACATCTCACAATACAAGGAAACCACATTCAAAACATACTGCTTGTAATGCCAAAGTCACTATTACAATCAAACAGCAGGGCATGAAAAGGTAAGTTTTGATCTCTTGCATCCCTACCACTGTTTACATGTTCAGAAGATCTTAACGTTTCATTAAAACCAGTGTAATTTTTCTTATTGTTAATTATCTATGTTCAGAGTGTTTGTTTTTCAATGTGACTCTCACTTTTCTCAAAATAGAAGGGTTATAAAAAAAATTAAATGGTAACTTCATGTAGTTTTTCCCAGAGATTTAAAATAAATCATGTAAACATTTTTTTATTTCACAGTAATATAATTGAGTATCAACTATATTTGTTCAAATGTGGATTATTTTTAATATAAAAAATCACATCAAGGACAAATAGATTGGTTACATATTTCATACTTTCAATGTTGTTAAAACAAAGATAAATATATAATTGTTTACTGTTCTTTATTGTCATAATAAATGTAGTTTGATTTATTATTTTTTAAGATTTAAGATGTGGTCTTGACCACTCCTCATGAATCTCACAAAAAAATAAATTATTTGTATAATATTTAAGATGTTGTAATTTTCTACAATAAAAGTGAAAATGTAGGAAGTGTAGTGGAGTGCAGGAGAATGGGGCAGGAAGATTCCAGACAGTATATCCTAAAATTTCCTGGGCAGATTAGACAATTTCAATACTTCCTTGTTGTATTATAAGAAAGTTCAAGACAACTGGTTTTGAAAATTTTCGGCCCCAATTGAATCAAACAATAAACAGAACTTTGTTTCAGAATTAGTTGTCTTGATTTTTATGAAAGAAAACCTAATTCATCTTTAAGAAATATACTATATAATATCTACAGTGACAGAACTGGAGATTTCTAAAAATAGTGTCCAAAAAGTTCTAAAAATTTATGGGTTAAATCATAAGCAAGATTTTTCTTGTTCAAGGCTTGCAGCAAACTGGCTTTGAACGAAGGAATACTTTTTGGCATGTATGGAAATTGCGGAGATCTGGAATGATGAATCTATAAATTGATATTTACCTATCATCTTGGTCTGCCTAATCTATCAAGCATATGGAAATGTTAATGGAGCAAATTCCTATTACTATATCATACTCTTTGAACTGATGAGACCACATTTACCAATAATGGGATTCTCAACTGGTGGAATTTTCAAACCTAGGCAGAGGAAAATCCTTGATTGATTTACAAAACTCTTTATCAAAAAATATTTTCAATTAATGTTTGGTGTTGCTGTAACCCTGCTAGACTATTTATTTGGGGATATTTCAAGAATCAGGTCTACAGTCAGTTCTCTCAGATCTGTCCAAGAACATAAGGAACGAATAATCAAAGCGTGCCATAGAATTTGTTCCAAGTCACTGATCACTGATCACTGATGCAACAAGCGTGCAGTGGTAGTTGAGAGCATGCTACTGTTTGGGAGCTGGTAGAAACATATTGGAACAGCAGTAAAGTAACGATGCCAGTGACCTTTGAATGACTAAAAGTATGAATATCTACATATTACATGAAATATTTAACCCAGTCTTTGAATTGAAATATCTACAGAAATCCTCAACCAATCTAATTGTTTTTGGTCTCTAGTTTTGAGGTTGTTTCAAAAATTGTTAGGTCTCATTTGAAAAAATAAAGTTGATTAATTACATATTACTGTGACATTCATAAATGTTTAGACCACTTAGTTCCTTGGGGGCTTTTTAATTGATGATAGTATGAATAATATATTGTTAAGTGGTTTGACCCCTCGTCTGGGGCATCTAGCGGGTAGTTATGCGTTAAGCCTTTCTTCATGACAGAAATTACTTCCTTTTTTTAATTTTTACTGCAATAATGAATTCAATAACAACCATTATTAATTTCAGGAGTAAGGATAAATATCTGAAAGACTTTCCATGTGAGATTATGTTGCGACACATCCACAATCACCCACTTTCATGTTCAGAGTCATTAAAGCACAGACGTCCAAGCAAAGAAGTTGAAAATGCCATTATGGATCTTTTCTCACAAGGGCATTCACCGACTTCAGCCCTTGACAAATACAAGTGTCGTCTACAAGAGATTCATGGTGAAGATTGTGAAGAGATTCTTGAGGATGGCTCGCTCTTTCCTTCACAGAAGTGGTGCTACACCCTTTACTACAACATGTATAAAAAGCAGAACACAGGAAATGATACCAATGGAGAGGAGGAGATGGAGGGAAAGACCACTGAAGACATAGCGAATGTCAAGCATGACGAGGGTGATGTAAATATGCAATATGAGCCACTTGTCAAGACTGGTTTGTAACTTTGTAACTTGAAATTTTATAGTCTGTTTGAAGGAAATTAGAATTTAGTAAAACAGACATTTGTAAAATCATGCCATAATATATAAATTTATATTTATCATTTTTAAAATACCAAAAGTTTTATTTATTCACTTGAATTCATTTTTATGTTTTTAACAGGCCTTCATTTAAATGTATTTTTCTACATTTAATATGCATATCTGCATTTATATATTCGTTACATTTTAAATTATGCAAATTGTACATTTTAAATTATTGTGATATACTGTATACTAAATTAGGCTGTTAAAATATTGTGCATTAGAAAGGTTTGATTTTTCAATTTTTTTAAAAGTAATTTTAACTTAATTTGGTGGTAAAAATTTCTTACATCTAGAATTTGGTTATAGTTTGTAACTAAACATACCATTTATTTTTATGGCATATATTGCTCATGCATTTCGGGCCACATTATTATTTATCTAAATAGTGAGCTCTGACGAGGAAAAATAAATGACATGTTTAAATTTAAAAAAATAAAATAACCAACATTCTAGGTTTGGTTCTTTGCATATAATATTTTGGTTATTTTTTATTATTATTATTATTAAATTTTTTGTTTAAAGTGAATTCAAGTGATTGAATGAAGAGGGAAATCTGGTATGGTCAAACGCTTTCTAGCAAAACAAAAGTTTATGCATTATGCAAATGGAGATTTTAAAAGTTATTTTAAATATAGTGGTTATTAGCTGTATTTAAATTTAAAAAACTACTCCTTATTGTAACCTATAAAGGTTAGCTTATTTCCTTATTGTAATGCTACAATCATTATTGTGAATATTAATTGAGTTATGTAGATCACTTTTTAGCTTTATTTCTTATAATAGCGCACACTATTTTTTTAACGTTTTTAAGTGAACTAAAAATACTTGGCAAATAGCGTCAATATTGGAAAAAAATAACCAAAAATTAATATGTAAGTCTGCACATGAAGAAGTATAAATATATTTTCTACTGACATTAAAAGTAAAGTAATATAGAGTGATAGAAGAGGGAGGGAAGGAGAGAAAGAGAGAGAGAGAATGTGAGAGAGATAGAGTGAGTGAAAGGGGGAGGAGAGAATGATCCATAGTGCAAATTGAGCCTAAACAGAGCTTAGAAAATTTTGAATTATTACCATAAGGACTTTCCTGTCAATTTATAATTTATCTGAAATTGTGATAGACCAATCAAAAGTATGTTTCAAATATTGCAAGATTTTAATAGGTGATTCTATTATCATTATTAATTTTAAAAAAGTCCTTTAAGGTATGTATCGTGAATTTTTCATTGTGGCTGTTATTTTATAGTATCCTGTGTATGATCGAAGCAATTCAATTGCCTATTATTTTAAAAAACACATTTGAATCGTAATTTCAGTGCAACTTATAAAGCTAAATTAGCAAAAGCAGGAATGTTTGACACCTGTGATATTCTATCATGTGATTTTCATATTGTATTTCAAAAGTATTATAAAATGTCACTCTAAATATAGCGCTCTTTTTTTCCCTAAACGGTTAAACAGAAAGTATGAGTTTAACACAGATGACATTTCTTAATTTAAAACTGATGAAATGTGTTAAATAAAACTGATGTTTTCAGAAATGCTTTAAACTGTTTTGGTTTGAAAATTGTAATTCAAAATGGATAATTAGATTTTGTGACAGTATGAATCTCAAAATTAATCTCTTGCGTTAGAATAATACATGAGGAGATAATTTTGCTGAAAATTATTTATAATATATTGTATTCCTAAATTAAATGTAATTATTTATATTGAGTTGAGATTTTACAAGTTATTTCAAGTAAATAAAATGTTCAGTGAGTATGATTGTGCTGATTATAGTTTTAATATAATTGACACATATGTTTAAGAAATTAGAATTCAAGTTGGACATTTGTAAATTTGTATTCCATTTAAGAAATCCGCCATTTTACTTGTTATTATTTTTTCTTTTTTTAATATGGGAAATAAAATAAAAATAATAAATTAAAATAGAATTATAGTGTTACTTTACTTAATTTTAATTTCACAATGTTTGTGGAGTTTTGCACTTATTTTTTAAGTCACACACAGAATTTCCTTTAATTATTAATTGCACTCAAATAAGTAAAATATAGTAAATTTGTGTTAAGTAAATGTTAACTGTCCCAAAAAACAAAACGATAAATAAAGTGTTGATTTGATATTAGAACATATTAATATGAAAAATTAAATAATAATTTCAGCCATTTGATATATTTAACGATTTGCTAATTTTTGTTAGAAAAATATCATACTGACTATTTATTGTTATAAACAGAGTTACTATCTTCTAATATTTTAACATACATGAATTCCTGCTATTTGTGTAAGTTAATTGTCCTGAAGTATTGTAAAACTACTAAATTATTATTATTATTTTAGCTGTTTTCCTTAACAATATTGGTTGATTTCCCAAAATAGATAATGAGATGTATGGTGATTAGTAAAGCTTCTAACTTTAAAAACTATATTTCAGGTGTTTATTGACCACTGCAAACAAAAACAAAACAGAAGTTTAGAACCATTTGTATTAGCCCAAAGTTGAATATCAGTCTTATTTAGTTATTAAGTTTTTTGGTCCATTTGTTGGAAATGAATAAAAGTTGTCTTCTGAATGTTGGTAATTCATCTTTTATTAATAGTATTTATTTAATTAGTTATTTTAATGAAAATAGGCTTGTGATAATTTTATTTGATAAATTTTCACAGATAGATAAGTTTACAGCACAGCTAAGTGTTTTTGTATCAATGTTTAAGATGATTAGATACATTTTCTTCCAACTTTTTATATACATTTTTATATGTTCACATAATATGCTTACCATTCATGGTTTACCAGCTATAGTCATAGACTTAATAAAAAGGAAATATAGACATGTATGAACTACTTATGTTAGATCTCAACCTAATGTTGTAATGAAAATGAAGTGTATTATATATGTGAAATTAATTAATAAAATTGATTTTTCTTTTAGTTGTTTTTAGCTCCCCCCCCCCCCCAAAGAAGTTATTGGCTGGGATACAAGCTCAAAACATGAGCAATCACTCATTAGGGAAGCACACTTCAGTCTTTCAAGCAGAAATTCATGCCATCAATGTTTGTGCCCTGGATAATCTTAAAAGAGGTTACACTTGCAAAAAAATCCTCATAAGATCTGATAGCCAAGCAGCCATTAAAGCATTAGCATGTAAAAGAATCATATAAAAATTAGTCAGTGAATGCATCCAAAATCTCCAAAACCTGGGGAAACACAACAACTTGATGATATCTTGGGTGCCAGGGTACAGGGGAATTTTGGGTAACGAGAAAGTAGACAGTCTGGCCAGAGGAGTATCTGCAAACCATACATAGGCCCCGAACCTGTACTTGGGATAACAAAAACAAATATAGAATCCAACATCGCAAAATTGATCCAAACAAAACAAAAGGAGAAGTAGATAAACTCTAGCAGTGCTAGACATAGTAAATTTATGATGAAACAACCCTCACCAAGACTGGCAAAAGCATTGTAACGAGGAGAGGAAACAGCCCCGAATGCGAAGCAACAGCTCAATGGAGATTTAACCTAACGTAAGGAATAAAACTTAGGGAATCAAATTGCAGCAGCGACAGTCAATGACCTGATACTTGTAAGGAGAAGGATTGAGTCTATTGCACTGAACTAAGGAACTAGGAAGGTACAATAAGCCAGAAGGCTGCAGTGCCTGGGGAGTGCAAACCCCACTTCCTAGTATCCTTTTTACCATATCATACCATACCATATTGACTGAGAATAATACCAATAACTCTTTTTAGGCAAATACAAGTTAAACATATAGGATAAGTAACATATCATAATACACAGTCTTGCTTATTTGTTTATTACTTTTACAATATTTATGATTCAGGGTAAAGATATCACTCAAGGGAGTTTGTCATGAAATTATACTTTATGCCAACAGGTGTAAGACCTGAAAATGGAGAATCTCTCCATAGGGTGATATTAATTGAAGTGAGAATTGCCAACCCTTCTAAATACCAAGCATACCCAACTCGTGATATTCCACTTGTTGAAGGGTCCCAACGTGCAAAATCAAGTGGAAAGAAGAAGATCTTTGCAAAGTTTAATTCTCTTGCTAGGCCAAATAAGAATGCTCCGCCAATATAGTAAAAAAGTGTAGAAACTATTGGGAAAAATTTAAGCCAGGTTGATGGCACAAAATCTACTTCAAACATTTTATCTGGCCATAATTCTTTTTCTCGTTTAATGTTATCTCCAAATCTTCTTACTGAAAAATACGCTAGTTTAGGTCAAATCTCTGCAATGATTGAATGATCCAATGGTTAACTCACAATTGGCAATTCGTCTTCTTAGAAGAGAAAATTTATTTTCAATCTCTTTTGAAAAAAATTGTATCTTGAGAGCAATTGTTCTTCCTAAATGTGTCAAGAGCAGTAAGTGTATTGGTACACCAATCAAAGTGAAGATAAATGCTTCAATATTACCCAGAGTTGTGAGAGGCAGAGGTGTTGCAAGTCCTAAAAAATACAAGTAAAATACAAATATTTTGCTTATATTGTTGAACAGTTTAAAATTTTTGGCAATGGTGTACAGTTCTACTATTTAGTGTGGAAAAATAATTAATTTACAATGTGATAGACAATTAGCACTTCTTTTTCATTAGGAAAAGCAGTAATGAATATTTTATTTAGAGATCATGAGATGGGTATGGTGAGTGTGTATCTAGATATATTCATATAATAATATATTCATAAAATGTAAATTAAATACTTTCAATTAATTAATCTTTTTATTAAGGTATTGGTTGAAAGAAAAAGATAGTCATGAGTGGGATTCGAACCCACAACCTTCGGCTCAATATGCCACTGCTCTAACCACTTGAGCTATCGTGACTTCAATTGAAGTGGGTTTGAATCCCACTCATGACACTAGCTTTTTCATTTCAACCAATACCTTACAAAACAAGATTAATTAATTGAAAGAAGTTTTTTGGTTGTGAGTTCGGATCCCACTCGTGACACTAGCTTTTTCATTTCAACCAATACCTTACATAAAAAGATTAATTATTGAAAGAAGTTTTTTGGTCAATCGGACCACGAAATGTAATGGGTAAAATAAATATTTTACCTAATTTAAAATAGCTATATCCCATTTTTGGAATACAAGCTAAATAAAACTCATATTACTTTTTTGTACTGATTTGAATTTCATATGTATGCATATGTAAATGAATATTTTTAATTGACCTAGAGTAGCCAGAAGTGAAATAGAAAAAGTAATGCTGCCTGCAAAAGTCCAATAAATTCCATTGTTTCCATAGCTATTTATCACACTCTCATCTATTAACTCTTTGTGTTTACGAATATACTTTTGTATTATTCCTTTTAAAGCTCCAGCTTTATCTTGATCACTTATATTCCTCAGGTCTGTTGCCAATGACATGATTATGGTATTCTCTTTCATCTTAAATTCGTTCATCTGAAATCACAATCATTAATGATCATAATAGGTATAACAATAAAATGGTAAAATAAAGCATTTCTAAACTTATGTTTTTCATTCATTTGATTCATATTTGTTATTTATTAATTATTTAGTGCTAGGGTTTAAAATAAAAAAAATTGATCACCTTAATATATTCATATGGACTTTCAGTCAAATAAAACGTTAATGCTCCTAAGATGAGCCATACAAGGAGAAAACAAGCAAGAGTGCTTTCACACAGCAGAAACCTAAAAAATCTTGCCATACAACAATCTGAGTCCTTCCAATCATCAGCTGGAAGAAAAAATAAACGGTAAGGTGGATATGGACTTGCCTGACAACCGACAGACTTCAATCTCATGCTTTGATTCCTGATATTCTGCAGTGGGCCAGAGATTTCAAACTTATTTGAAGTATCTTCACTTATTTGTGTATTGTTAAACTTAGCCATTTCCTTATCTATTGTGTATATTTTTATTTCAGACTGTCTATTGCCAAATTGTTTGGCGATGCTTTTATTTTTTTCAAGGAACTTAGAAGCCTTTCCGCTTAGACTGTCAAGTATTTCCAATTTGGATCTTTCCAGTTTTTCTTTTGGCATAATCTGTCCATCTCTTAAGATTGTATCCAAGGTTTCTTCTTCCTTTCTTTGATCTAGTGTCATTTTCAACTCCAAGTTATTCTTATCAATGAAACTTCTGTATGAATTTGAATTAGGCAACTTTTCGTTTGTGCTGTTTTTCTTACTTGTTATACAAACCAACATTAATAGGTGCTCACAAAAGATTCAAACTTTCCTTTCAAAGCGCACAGTGTTAGTGTTGAACACAATCACTGATATATATGATCTTAATTAATTCCATTTCAATCATTGCTGACCTCCTAACATTAAAAACATAATTATTATTATAGATATACGTTTAAATGATCTTGATAGTGGGCAAGGGCCAAATAAATATACACGTAAAACATATCTTAAATTTAAAACAAAAAACATACCTTATATCCTTATTTAATGTAAATAGTCATTCAAGGGACAAAATTCTCTAGATTTTAGTTGCCAGTTTTTGTGATAGTTAATTTAATAAGGCGGACCTCTAACTGGATTAAAACAACCTAGCTAATCTGAGGCTTATGAAACCTTGTTTACAAGAGTAATGTTTCAAATCAATATCTTTATACATGCATCTATAAAATTTAATATAAGTTGTGTTCTAATGCATCTCATTTTTAAAAATTTTATTGGTTGACAATACTTTATATTACAGAATGGTAAAAAAGGATAACAATTACTACAAAAAATGAATATTATGATTATTTGAAAATCAAAGAGATAAGAGAGATATTTCATAAAATTTTTACCTGAATGAAAGTTTACCTGGGGTGTTTATTGTTTTTAATAGCACTTTCATTTCTTAGAAGTTTAACTAGAGTTAATTTGTTATTTTGAGTTACAATAATGGTTGTACACATCTCTTCATACATATATCAAAATTACCCAAAAAGCATATTAATTTGCGTTAAAAAAATACATTTGTGTATATGTTGTGGCTACTACCTCCCCAAGTTTAATTATTATTTTTAACTACTAATAACAAATAAATTCATGAAAGATTAAAAAAATGAAATTCTTAGATCAGTTATAATCTGGTTTAGAGAAATCAATATTTTTATTTCACTGTTACTGTTTAAATAAGCATATTTCAAATAATATAATAAATCATGGTGTATTAACAAAACTTTTATTTATGTACACTTTATAATAAAATTAAGTAAATAATTTTACTTTAAAAACATGAATATTACAAAATTATTGGTATTATAGAAGATAATGTATTTCTAATTTGGCCGTTACAATCATTTTGGTCCAATCGGTCATGTTTCGTGAAATTAGCGAGATTACAATCCAAAATGACAGTTAACGACAAGACTAAACTCTCATCACCCTACAGACCACGAGAAATCTCACAATATGTGTAATTATTACAAAAAGGTATTAATTGCATTTAAAAAAGCAACAGTGGCAGAAAGATAACAGAAGAGGGTAGAAATTTCAATTTACATTACAAAGTATATCACACTTGTCACTGATGTCATTAAATTAACATTGCTGCTAATTTTATATTTTTGTACTTTATTTGAAATTTGTCAAAAATAAAACCAAATTCTTATTATTCACACAAACTAAAATAATTAACAATCACAGAACACTGGGGTAAAGTTTAAAAAAATATTTGAATTTAATAATTAATACTTCCACCAACAGTCTGGAAGAAATTTAAAATTTCTTCTAACTTTTTTATTTTTAGCATATTTCAACTTCACATCATTGTAAGCTTGAAAATTGAATTTTATTTGCTATTAACACATCTTACCTTTAATTTTGCTTTGTTTTTAACTTGGCCTTTAAAAACTACTTGGCTTACTTTCTCGATTAAACAAGAAAACTGAACTCATTGCAACAAAAACCACACCAATAATATGTACTTATCTTTATTGTTTGTAGAATAGTCATTTAACAAACTGGCCTATAATATAAACCCATTCATTCTCATAAAATCAAATACAACTTTTAGAATGAAATTGTTTAATTGGACAAGTTGTATTATCTTTATTCTTACAATTTTAATAGTTTTTAGATATTGTTATTTTCTGTTTAAATTATCACATAAAATTTCAAGGCAGAAAACGCATGTTATAATTAAGCGTATATATAATAAACGATTTAATATAAGAGATGCATACTCCAATTTATAATACTGAGTACTGCATAAAAAAATTAATACGTTTAAGAGATATCACTATATCGAAAAGTTATTCAGTCTTTTACACTGACTTAAGATTAATAACCAATCAGTGAATTTTGCATCTAGAATTTTTTTTCTGTTTTTCATTGATATTTTTCATAATGAGATCATAATAGAAACTGTTTTTCTTTTGTTGAAAGTTTCTCCAGCTGTCCCTTAGTACATCAACCTTTCTTTTGACTCCAGGAGAGTGGACCATGAAGGCTCCGTCAAGAATGACAAAATGGTATTTCATTAGGCACATCTCATGCATCTGAAAAAAGTTGTTAATAATTTTGAAAATAAGCCAGAGGAAAAGTAATAATTTTACCTGCGTCATCTTATCTTGTTGACCTTCCCAAGTCAATAACTCACTATACAATGGCTCGGAATTGGTTCCAATGAAGACTGGCTCCCATCTATGGAAAGGAAACTCCCTTCTCACAACAAAGAAAGGCTATAATAGAGTGGGATGAAAAAAAGTTAGAATTGTAAATGCTGTCGTTATGATTAAAAAAATGTTATAATTTCAAGACCCTTTATTAATCCAATTTAAATATATAATTTAATGTAATTTAATAACAAAGGGAAATTTGCGATATTAAATTTTGTAAGAAATTGTTTTCAGGCATTTTTATGTTGATGTTTATTTTTTGATCACATTACCTGAATAGTGTTGTCCAACACCTTACTCTTTTTGAGAAGCCACCTCTGCAAACCTGGAAATCTTTGACAGTGGCTGCAAACCCAGCGGTGAAAGTAAAAGGCCTGGTTTTGTGAATATAGCTCCAAAAGCTTTGACTTAACCTCTGGAACTATTTCATTGCTTTGTACTTCAAATACTGGTAGAACATACACAAGCCTATTTACAAATTCTTGCAATCCAAATTTGCTGTTTTTCTCTAATGCATTAACCATCTTCATGAAATTGGTTACAAGGTTCCTACTAGGAAGCAATTCAACATCAGAAACAAGAGTATACTTTGTCAGTGATTGTACTCTTGCTGCATTTCTTGCAACATTTACTGGGTAGGTCAATTCTTCACTGTAGCGGAAGGTTTGAATGTTTTTGTTAACAATGATCTTAGGTACAATACAACTTGGTGTGTCAGCAATTGACGGCGGGCATGACAAAAGCTTAGGTGCATATTTTGATGGAAAGACAAAATGAAGGGATACTCTTACCATGTCTGGCAAACAAGAGCATAATCTGTCTAATATACATAAAATCAAAGTTGCATCTGTGCTCGGTACAAATGTCGCAATGCTCACTGGGCCTTCCCATCTGTAAAGGATCTCGGCCAAATAATAAAAAAACTCTGGAGTAGCGTGAGTACAGTATGTCACATTGTTGTCGTACTTTGTAGTGTTATAAGCAGGCTCCACAATGTTGTATATGATTCTATAATCACTCTCTTCCCTTAGCTCTGGTGGAAACTCGATGTCACTCTCATTTATTTCTAAAGTTTTAGGAAGACCGAATCTATATTTGCAATAACTGAAATTCTGAGGAACAAAGTTCTGGAGGAACATACCAGCTGTAAAATGCCTGCTCTTGGAAAGATTGGTAAAAACGTTTATAGAAACATCTTCATGTTTTTTTAACATCGAACTGAAAATTTGATATCTCCTGAGCTGGTACATTCTTCCGAGGAGAAATATGAAACTGAACAAAGCGAATATAACACAGCACTTTGTGCGAAGACATCTTATTGCTAGTAAGTAGCATCTCATTCTTATTGTAGTCATTGAGAATTGTAGTCATTAAATGCACTACATTAATATGAGGGAAATATTAGTAAAATTAAGAGCTTCTAAACAAGCCTCATTGCATGATACGATATGCAATAATAATTTTGAAATCTGGAGACACTTGTTTGAAAAAACTTACTAAATGTTAGTCAAGAGGAGGTTACCTCATGGTTGTTATTAAAGGGGTAAGTTTGTTCATAAGGGTAGTTCTTCCTTAATTCACCCCTCCCAAGCTTTTTAGGTTTAATAATAATGGCAGATATTTAAATAATTTATATAATAAATGAAAAATTGTATACCATCTAGAATAATGCGACAACTGATGTAAATAAAACTTTCTTTGAAGAATTTTACTTGCCCAATACAGTTGAAACTCTTTTCTTTAAAAAATAATACAAAGACAAAAAAAAAATATATATACAAAACACTATAATAACTTATTTTTTCATAATACTATACAAACAAAAACTGAACTGTTTTGTACATTTAAATTCTAACTCTTAACACCGCAACATAATTGACTATATGTGTCATTAACATTTAAGCCAACTGACACTTCTAGCTTTACCAAATTTAAACATAAAAAATGTGTATGTAATGTAGAAAATGAATGTACAAATCATACTATTTGTTTTCGTAATGTATCTTCATTAGGTGATTTTTCAGTTTGAAAGAGAAAGAAGAAAATACTTTATTCTGGGGTAAAAGTTTAAATTTGTTTTTATAAATCTGGCACTTGAATTAATGATTGTTAACTAAATTGACATAAAACACATACTACAAAATATAGAAAATAGAAATAATAATTCCAATACTAAGAATTTAGAGAAAAATAATATTAAAAAATTCTATGTCTTGTGTTGCAGTCATAATCACAAACTGTATACTTAAAAGTTGAGAAAAGGAAGGAAAACTTTCTTATGAAGTAAGGTGTTGATATGGGATATTAAATAATTTGCCTCCTCACAATTACGTATAAGTTGTGTAAACTCTTGTTCCACCTTGTGGCATAATATTAAAAAATGTGGTATTTGCAAGATTCCATCCAGATATCAATTTTAAATTCCAAAGATTAATTTGCCAAAACATAACTACTGAATTTTGACCTATTAATGATCTTCTGTAGTTTAAATTTTTTTTTAAACCCACAATATGGTTTTTGTACAGGACATAGCTGTTCTACAACTCTATTAAAAATAACACAGGATATTTGTAGACAAATTAATCAAGGTAATTATTACTTATTATGGTACAATTCTTGTTTTGATTTCAGGTATGCTTTCAGGCTCGTCAATCATTCTATTCTCTTGTCAAAACTTGTCTCTCAATTCAAATTTAATTCCTAATGATGTAATTGTAACTTGTGTCTAAACAATAAGGAATTAATGTGATCACTCACCTTTCTGGAAGCAGATGATCGAGCAACACAATGCCCCAACCAACTCCTATGCAGCTTCAGAGAAAAGGATAATGAAAAAATAATTATTATTTAGGGAAGCCTAACTTTTGTGATGTTGCTTAATGATTGGCTCCTTACTATCTATAATACTAGTTTCTATTAATGTCCTAGCCCTGCCAGCTAACTATTCTATGATATTCATCTCCAAAATCTCATTGAATTAGTTCTGTTTCAATTTCAAGGTTAATCATTTTAATTTCTATATTATTACATTATATCTACAGGTTTTCAATTTTTTATAATTGTGCTTTAATTGCTGCTGTTTACATAAGTAATTGAATGAATAAATAATGAAATAAAACTATTGTTGTTTTGTTAGAATTCAGGGCCACTGACATTTGAACTAAGATTTACGGTGATGACTCGTGTCAACATTCTAACTGTTGTGCCAACAAAGAAGGGGCCATTAAAGAGTGCAATTCACACATTATATAAAAACCATCATTCTGCAAATGGCAATACTGGAAAAAACATGGGAACACAATTCCTTGACAGCATTTTTTTTATTACTAAAAGTTGACATATTGGGTAATATGTAAATATGCTACATAAATGACTTTTTCTACTATTTGAAGAAAATTTAATATCTGATCTAGCTCCAGATAACTAAATAATCTTAAATAGGAATTACAAATTCAACAAAAATGTCCACATTGTAAACAAAAATAAAAATATCTTTTAAATTTTATTACAGATAGTACTGACTTTCAATATTAACATTATGTTAATGTGGTTAAGTTTTACAACAATGTAAAAGCAAACAACTGTTTTGGGAATGAGAATTTTTCTTGATTCAACCAGCGCAAAAGTTAAGACAATCATCAATTTAAAGTCAGACTAATCACATTCCCTGAGAACAATTTTGTTTCTATACTTGTCATCCTTTGTTTTTAACTGGAAACAAATAAAAATAAATTACAATAAAATTGAGTAGTATATAAAATTTCTGTTGAAAATACTAAATAATATTACTATAAAATTACTTTACAATTATACTCACCAAAAGAATATTTATAAAATTCAACTAATTTTCAGCCAAATATAGATTTTTTAAGCTTTTCTAAAAATCCTGGATTCGCCTTTTCATCTGACCCCGCCATTGTCTGTATTTCCAAGTTATTTGCTATAACAATAAGACTGACTTAATAACCCCTCTTCTTTTTGAAAATGTTATCTTCTCCTTTAACAGATAATTTATTTTGTTACAGTCAATGGCAGGTAGATGGAAAAGATCATATTTCCAAAAAGAATTAAAATATATAACAGCAATAATAAAACAAATATAAAAAGTTGTGTAAAATTACTTTAAAAAAGATTATTAGAAAATGTTGAATAAAAGAGTAATTTTTTCAGTAACAAAAGCAAATGTTGTGGAAATGAAATGTCCAATGGGGTCCAATTTTCATATTAATTTACCACCTTTTCTTCATGTAATCTCAGTGATAATTTATTGTTTATTTTATCTTGCCTGCTTAATATTTTTGGTGTATAGCAAGTCTACATAGAAATTAATGCTTCCCTGACAGTCTAAAGTACATACTAAGTGTTTAAAAATATTATTATTGTATTCAAACAAATAATTTGATAAAACATTATTATTATTTATTATTAATACTTGTTGGGGCGAACCCTTTCAGGTGTTTATATGTGTACATCCTGTTCAAGCACTATTATTTTAATCAATTGTAAATAAATAATTTGCATTGTATTTTGTAAATAAAAATACAAATTTACTATTGTTTAAAAAATAGGGTAGACATTTTTCACTAAAATTTTCCTCTATAAAAATTTTGAAAAATTCTTGTTTATCATGTAAACAATTACAATGTTAATTCGTGTTGTTTTTTAAGTAATTAAAAAAAAAATATTATACCATCAAATAAAGGTAAGCTAATTATAGAAGATTTATCTCTACTTTATTCTGTATGAATGAAAGCCTCAGCAAAATTAATTCCCCTAAGCCTACTCTTCCACCAATCCTCCTTTCGAAAAATTCAGTCATGTTTAAAATAATATATGACGGTAGTTATTTTGTAGAAATTCCATTCCAGTACAATAGTCTAACAAATTTGGAAATCAATGAAAGCATCCTTAAATATGTTGGTAGAACATTCTTATTACACTTTCAGAAATACACTGATGGACAAAACTAATGAACTGCCCTTATACTCTAATTTTAATGTATCTAGGTTTATTCATATTTTGCATACCAAAATTGGTTTGGTTGTAAAAATAAGATTTTAAAAAGAAAATGTTAATTACCTAATCCTAAAAAAAAGTTATTGAGTAAAGAACACAAATAAATAAATAAATGTGTAGCAATCTTTTTTTGTACCCTTTATTTCCACCTCTCATGAATCACGTCTGTTAAACGCTTTTGCATCCTTGAAAAATATTTGTGATAAAATCCTGAGGAATTCTTTCCCAATCATCAAGTGATTGTTTCTAACTTTTCTAGGGTGTTAGGATATGAGTTTTGCCATTGTCCTCATCGATTAAGTTGATCCCAAATGTGTTCAATTGGTTGATTGGGTTGAAATCTAGTCTCCGAGCTGGTCACACCAAACATTCAATTCCAACCTCATTCAGGTCGTCATCCACAATACTAGCTCTAAGGGGCTTGGCTTTATCCTGCATTAGTAAGAATCTCACACTGATGTGGGGGGGGGGCAAATGGCACTACATGTTTTGCAATTATGTCTTTTATGTGCCTCTGTGAAGTTAGACGCACAATAACCAATTTGGTGCGGGTATCTAAGAAAATGCCACCCCAGCACATCAACGAACTACTGTGGAATGCTACCTGAGGTACCATACAGAATGGAGCGTACCTTTCTACTGAGCATCTCCATATGAAATTACACCCATCTGAAGATAGGTGAGACCAACAGTCAATGGACCGGGCCCTGAGGTTATTTTTATTTAGCTTTTTATTAGACTTTTTTCAGTCCTCGAGGAAATTGAAACATTTTGGATTTATGGTATCAGATTACATATCTCATTTCCTGAAATGCTGCTGTTTTGTAGACCTGACAATGGGTAAATCTATCGTCTCTCTCATCTGCAGACCTAGGTTGACCCTGTCCTGGCTTTCTATGTGAAGCCCTGCTTCTCTTAAGCACCGAAGAACCCTTCCTATTGCAGTGATTTACACCCATTTCCTGGAACTTCACAGTGGCTATATTCTTCTTCTAATATTATGACTCTGACACTGTCATACTCACTCAAATGCCTGACTTGAGCCATTGAAAAAGGTTTAAGAATAAGAATAATATCAAATGAAATCAACAAAAGAAAAATATTAACTGAAAGCGATTTTTAGGCGTAGCAGAATGGAAAGGCATTATGCTATTTTTTGTGCAAACTGGATTAATCAGTACTTAAGTGAATAAATAAGTAAACAAAGCATTATTTACTGTTTATTTTGACTATTATAGCTCCTAATTACCTGTAATTTATTAGCAAGATAATGGATTTGGGACCAACTTAATGTTATTTTCAACTAAATAAATTGAGTGGTGTGTTAAATTTGTCCATCAGTTTATTTGAATTTTCTACAATTATATTAATGTAAGACTTAAGACTCAAGACTTACCATCTGATTTATTACTGGACACTCCTCGAATTGTACCAGGAGTCCCTTCTTCTAGGCTTGCATAGTGCTGTATCAATTCTTTTTGTTTCTCTGACAGCCTTTTTGGGATTGCAATTTTTATATGAACATAGTGATCTCCACTTCCAACTGATGTTGGTTTTTTAATTCCTTTGCCCGAAAGACGAATTCTAGTATGTGAAGATGTGCCGGGTGTGATCTAAAAAAAATATATACATAACAATAATTATTCCCTTATCTGTAAGTAATCTTTCCTCCATTTTCTACACCAACAATAAATTTGCTACATCTAATTATTCTAGGTTTGCTCCCATGACCAGCCAGACCCTGGCAAATGAAAGATGCAATTATATGAACCTATTTTTTGGTCAAAGGCTGAGATCATTTATGTTGAGTTAAGAGAATAAAGAAACACCTAGTCTGCATTTTTAACTGTTTTGTGTATGCAAGTTTTCTTTATTGTTATTTCATATTAATTCCTTGTCTTTATGAGATATTAACATGTGTTGGAATTATTGGTTAATTTGTTTATTCATATCATGATTGTTTTATTAATATTTTTGTGTCTTCATTCTTAACATTGTACCTACTATGTAAAAGGATATTTATATTCATTATGTATATTATGTTTACTATGTAAAAAGGCAAATTGTCTTCGTTAAACTTAATAAATAAATCCATTATATTTCGTGGTTTGATTGACCAAATAACTTCTTTCAAATAATTAATCATTTTTATATAAGCTATTGGACAAAATGAAAAAGTTAGTGTCATGAGTGGAATTCGAATTCTTTTTCAATAAATAAATAAATAAATAATAAATTGAAAATAAACAAATAAATAACTTTTTTATAACCTAACAAGAACAAGAGCATACTTGAATAAAATGATCTTCATAAACTCCTTGAATTTTTATTGTGCCTCCAAGAATGGCTTGGGAAAGTGATATTTCAGCATCAGTGTGTACATCAGCTTCATCACGTCTGAAATAGTCAGATTTTTCAACTTGAAAAGTGATAAAAAGTTCCTTGCCGCTGACTGGCAATCTGACTGTTTGTCCATCTTCAACACCTAAAGATGTAAAAAAATCAATAACAGAAAAAAATTATATATATATATATAAAANAAGGGAATCATAAATCCAATGATAAGGCATGCCCTGAATTTATTCGAATTTCATCTTTAAAACGCAATAAAGTGGTTTCTAGTACATTATATTCGACAGTCACCTCAAATAAATTTAATCTGCTATCAAATCTAGAGGACTTCCCAGAGTTCGTACAACCAAATGGGTTTATGCAGGACACGTGAGTTGAACAAGTCCTAGCGAGCAGTATTCAGATTTGCTTGCGGTGCAGTATTCAGCCCGATATATACTGAAGATTTCACAGATATTTTCTCTTGTAAAGCTTTCCCCGTTTAACTATTTACCCCTGGCCTAGCAACAACATTTTCCTCACTTTCCACCGCTTTTCCTCTTATATTTCGTAAACTGCTCGATGGATTTTCTTACTTCTAACGTGTTTTTGTTAATTTTGGAGCGTACCAGGTGGAAAACTAGTCAAATAAATTTTCCGAGTTTTCCTCTGTTTTTCCACTTATATTTTCATCCGCTTTTCCTCTTATATCTCCTAGATGACTCGCTGGATTTTCTTACTTCCAACGTTTTTCTGTTAGTTTTGGATCGTACTAGATGAGAAACTAGTCAAATAAATTTTCCGAGTTTTCGTCCGCTTTTCCTCTTATATCTCCTAGAAGACTCGCTGGATTTTCTTACTTCCAACGTTTTTCTGTTAGTTTTGGATCATACTAGATGAGAAACTAGTCAAATAAATTTTCCGAGTTTTCGTCCGCTTTTCCTCTTATATCTCGAAGACGCCTCGTTCGATTTTCACACTTCCAACATTTTTCGTCTTATTCTCGTAGACAGCTCTTTCGATTTTCACACTTCCAACATTTTTCCGTTAGTTTTGGACCGAACGA